AGAAATGGCACATTTATTCACAAAGTCATTTTTCATTAGTGACAAAGTGAGACATCTTGCTCGGGTCTGACACTGTACTCAGACAGAGCTTGACCTCTGTTCTGTTTTGGCATTCAAGACATTTCCTTACACTGTAGGAGTAGCAGTAATATGAGTGATAGCTTTAATCGCCGAACAAAAGGGTGAGCCGCAGGAGGGGGAGTGAATAGTGGAACGGCCGAATAAGTGCTCACTTTAAGAATCAGTGTGTGACCTCTGAGAGTCCAGACCCGAGGATGTGAGTTATGGGGACAGTCATGTGTATAACCACCACCCCCTCCCACTCACACACACACACAGGAAAGCACACTCACAAAGACATCTATGTGTCAAAGTAATAATCCATGTAGAATCAACCATTCACACGGCAGTATGCATGGGTATTTCTGTAGTTGTAATCTGTGCGCAAAGTGTCTGTTTTACTGAGACAGCACACTCAGAGAGTTTTGTTAAAAAAGTGGAGAGGGCAATACTTTCCTAAAATTTGGGAAAATCCTGTATACCTTTGACTTATTGACTTACCTTCAACATCAATAGTAATTCCTTATTTTCAATTCCTAGTCTTGGAACTTTAAATGTTCCAGAATCAGAATTCTTGTACTGCCTTTGTCAGTGAACAGGAAGTCAGAAACTAAGAATTTTCTTTGACATATGGTGCAATAACAAATAAAATAAAAAATCGAAAAAGTTATAAATGCCTACATACAAAATATTAATGGTAAAATGCAAATAATAGCTTAACACAGACGTTTAACGGTGAAGGTTATCAATGTAAAAAGTGGCCAGAATCATGAGATAATAACGTTACCCAGGAAACAAACAAAGATAAAACTTAAGGAATGTGAAAATACAAAAGCAAATGCTCAAACAAGACTTAATCTTGTAAATCACTGTCTCGCTCGCTGTGTGAAGGAGAGGTTTCGCGGTCTTTCCTTCCTGCTGCTGTCAGACTGTACAATGAGAACTGCTGAGCCTGTAAGTTTCATTAATCTGTAAATGAGTAAAAACTAAAATCATGTGCAATGTGCAATACCCCAACTTCAGAATGTCCACCGAACTATGTCACTTTATTTTATCTACTGTACTTATTATCCTGCCCTATATATATATATATATATATATATATATATATATATATATATATATATATATATATATATATATATATATATACATATATATATATATATATATAGGGCAGGATAATAAGTACAGTAGATAAAATAAAGATAAAATAAAGTGACATAGTTCGGTGGACATTTATATATATATATATATATATATATATATATATATATATATATATATATATATAGGGCAGGATAATAAGGATCCCTTATCTTATCTTTCTATAATGCACATTTTTAGTTTTATATTGAAACCCTAAATAGTGATTACTAACTCACCCAGGCAGATGAGATAAGAGATAATCCAGAGCCTGCTTATGTCTGATCGCCACTAAACCACTCATTGCTGCCCAAGCCCAGCTCTGCAGTCTGCATATGTTTGTGATTGGATTGGTCCAAGAGGATTATTCACTCTCTAAGAGTTCACCCAAATTATATCAATCACACTTTTGTATTTGTGTACTGTACCTTCTGTTGTGTACCTGCTCCTGTGTGATTCTTTAAGAATCTTTAGAACAACAATGTTAGTTTCTTAATTAATTACATTAAACATTTTTCGTAATTTAAAAGACATAACTTCCCAACTTCCAGTAACATTGTTTCCAAGAATCAACAAGCCTAAGGTATACTTATTGCCCTTCGGCAAAGGATTTGAGCCCACAACAAAATGAACATTTGTTTTTCCAATTATTGTTGGTACTAGCAGTGGCCAATAAATCTAATTAATTCAATGCATCTGAATTTGAATACCGATTGCATGAAACATTAAAAACATTATGAGATTAATGGTATGATGGTTGGAGTTTCTTCTGCCTCTGCTTCTAGGGACCTCTGTAGTCGCAAAAACAGCAGAGCAGTCCACAAGGGGCAGTGTTTACAGAAAATGCACAACTTTTCTGGTTTATATCTGTCATGTCAAAATCTGCACAAGATTTATAATTAGTTTGAGGTGAAATTGAAAATGGATTTGAATGCGCAATAGCACATCGTATACCCACACGTCACCTTCACTGTTCTGGCGCAGCCTGTAGCATTGATCTTAAATGCTTTCTTGCGTTACTACTACTATCCAGCACCATCATCTGTGTTTTGGGTCTTTTTGTGTGTCAAATCGACTAATTGTATATACATTTTATGAGGTGATGTCATTGTTTACGTTGATGCGTTGTCCCAGCCTGATTGTAATATAATCAAGTATTGTAGTTTTAAGACAACACAAGCACCCAGGTCTTGTTTCTATCTTGCCCCATCGCCACAGACTGTATATAATTCGGTAAAGTAGAGCTTTGTTGAAATAGAAAATCCATCCATCTGTAATGGATCCTCTCTATAATAACAATACACTTTATGTTCCTCATTACATTCAAATAAATTGAAAGCTTTTACAGCACGGCTCTGGGCTGTCCATGGGGACCACAAGGCTGACCTTTTACAGCAAAATGAAAAGTGATACAGAATCGAAATCACATTCATCTCCCAGCCACCATCTGTGAACTGTCACATGCATATCGGGCCACATCCACACACAACAGCAGCAGAAGAGGACCCGAACACTAGCTCAAATGCACCTCTCCTGAGAGGCGGAGGTCAGAAGGTCCAGCCCTAATTGAAAGACCACATGGAGCTACAGTCACATTAAATGGCCAGGTCTTCATTAGAGGCTCCAAAGAAGACGTAAGGAGGGCTGATTGTGTTACCAATGATTCTGAGTAACCGCACTCAAAACATCTCCTTAAGAGAATTGTCTTTGCTCCACAGACAAATCAAATAAGAGAGTCCAGGAAATAGTACAATGTGAAATCATTATTTACTTGAACATACAAAGACAATTTGTGTAAGAATTTAGTGCTTTGAGTTTAGTGCAGGGGTGTGCGTTGCCTTAAATCTGGCAATACAATTTGCCAAATCTTCACCACAATTCACCTTAATACTAAACTATATGTGATGATTGCAATTTTGTATATGCCTTCGGAAACACCTAGGGATTATATGCTTTTGCTTCATCTAACTCCTTTTCAAACCACATACTTATCTGTTTATGTTGATACTGTATATGTGAAAATATGTGCAGGTTTGAAATAATTATAACAATAATAAAACCATCTATAACAATTAGGCTCTCGTGAGATGCTCAGGATTGGTGGCACCAGTCACACCAATGGACCACAAAAATCATCAAGACCTTGTGCAATTGAAATAAATAAAATGTTAAAAACTGCTGTAAATTCATGTTGACTTCCCAGACAACTGGACAACAATGCAGTGAAGAAGAAAGTCTGATAGATCTACTGATGTTTAATGAGCTGCACATAATCACTTGATAAAGAGGCAGGTCTTTGATGTTTAAGGTAGAAATTCTCAAAACTTGTTACACTAATAAAGCTTAAAGAGGCTTTGTCAGCGATTTGGTGCCAACGCTGTAGGACTCTGTTGCACCTGAAACAGGGTTGTAAAATTAGGTAGTTTAAGATTAACCTGCCTTTTAATCATTGTTCCCCTAATTATGTGTCCTCTTTTATTAAAATTCATGAACTTCCTGACCTCCTTTTCATCTGTGAACCATTTCAACCTGTCCCCCTTTTTTGACAAAAAAAAAAAAACATTGTCCTTTATCTGCCTCCTGAAGTTTAGATTACAGTTATTAGAGTCCTCATCCCACCCTCGGAGTAAATGTAGCCTGAACACACTTCAAATCGGTTTCTAACGCCTGTAAGGGCCAATTACAAGGGCTCAACCACGTCCCGAGACAACAGCATGCTTTAACGAGAGAAGCTGTACCCCAAAAGGACCCCGCCCCCTTTTAACACAAGCAGCTGCTACAAACTGCCACAAAGACTTCATACAGTAGTGCAGCGCAGAGGTTCAAGATCAGAAACTATAAGGACATTTCAGTTTACAAACAAAACAAGAGGTAATCATTGGGCTTAATTGTAACATGGCTATCCTATAATGTATGGGGGGTTTTTGTCTTTGCTATTTTTCTCAAATGATTGGAGCAATGTGAAATGAGATCTGAAGCAGCTCAATTTTCTGTGCGTTGTATCAAAATACAGAGATTTGGATTGCCCATAGTCACGTCAATCTGCTCACCGCTGTGAAAAGGGCTCATACACTCATCACATTGAATATTTAGGACGAGAGGAATATGTGAGAAAGGTATTTGAAAGTAACAAATTATGTTTAAAGTAAGGCGTGTCCACACGTGAGATCTGCAAATTAATTCAGTATTGTGTTAAAAATGTGTTTAGAACCTTTCTTCATGACAAGCTAGATACAACTCTCTTTTTTTCTGTGACCACAATTCTCAGGGCAGAAAATGATGAAGTCATGCTGGGACAGTGGCTATTTAGGTCATGCAACTAACAAGGTGGAGGAAAGAGAAACATCGGCAAGAGGAAGAGCTTGACATTTTTTTTGTGTGAAACTTAGTAAAGTCTAAAAACAAAAACATTCAATGGGTTGCATGATCTTTTGAATCAAATCTGTTCTTTTTGGATTATTGTTTTTATACATAGCTTTTATACATAGCATTTGTTTTACCCACATCGTCCTTTGTTTATCATACGAGAAGTTCATCTTGGGACTGAGAAACAATACCATCCACCAAGACAGACTAATGGGTTCAAATTGCAGATGCTTCACTTCTGACTCAATGTCATCAGCCATACATTTCCCCATTGTGTGAAAAATCTCAGCTGCTTTGTCTGAATCCAATGACAAAACAACATCACTAAAAACTCTAATGTAGTAATACAGTCAATTCAAACCCATAGTATCAACGTCTAACTAAAAGCTGTCATATGTACAGTACAAATGTGTGTAGATGGGGCTTACCAGGAGTTATGTCGTCACAAAAGATTTCAATAGATCCAGAAGAACAGTCACTCAGTTCATCGATCATGGAGAGGTCACTGTCTTGGATCTGCACTCTGAAAACAAGACACACGGAACACAAACAATCAGCAAACGCCTGCAGCGGTCATTTCTGTCACTGCATGTTCTTTATCTGCCAACACTGTCCATAAGTCAAACATTTATGGAATTGACACAGAAAAAGAATTAACTTAAGTACCGACAACAGATCACTTTAAACCCCTTAAGCAAGCTTTAAATGAACTAACATTAACTAAATACATAACAATTACCTGAAACTAAATGGTGCCACAGTGGCCATGTTGACTTTGATGTCTGTGGAGAGCTCCTCTTTAGGCTGCTGTTGGTCTTTCTGATGAACTATTGGTGATTTCATGTTGAAATCCATCAGCGGTGCCGAGGGTGCCGGAGAAGAGGCGGGACTTCCTTCCTCAGGAGTCCTCATCTCTTCATCTGATTGGCTCAAAGAATCAGTGCGGTCTTTTACGGTAGCTTCATAACTGGACTTCACTTGACTTTGAAAAGTTCTGAGGTTACTGTCACAGGACAATGTGTTAGAGTTCAGCCCACGTCGAAAGTGTAGCTGAGAGTGTTGGTTATTGGCCCCCAAAGTTTGATTCTTATTAATACAGCTGTTCCTGTTTCCATTTTGTTCGATCTGAGAGTAGGAGAGTTTCCCCAGATCTAGCGTGTCTTTAGAGTGTGGCGGTGTGATCCTGCGGGGGGTGATAGGACTGCTGTAGGCCGACCGCGATGCTTGAGGAAGTGGAAGAGCACCAGTTCGCTGAAAGAGCTGGCTTTTTAGGTTGTGCTCCCTGGCAAAGAATGCAGGGATGCCCGAGTGGTGGCCAGGAGATGGAGAGTGGACTGGGGTGTGAGAGGGTGTGACTTTAGGGCTCTGTGAGGATGTCCTGTGCTGGGTAGAGGCGCGATGACGGACGTCTGCTTTGGGGGAAGTGGGGAGAAGGCTGTGAGGAAGAGGAATCCCTGAGGATGAAGCCCGGGGAACAGACTTCACATTCACTCCTCCGCTCATCTTTTATCTGAGGAAGTAAGAACAAGTTCACTTACTAAATTTGCTGATACAATTAAAGGGTGACACACCTGAATCGTACATTTCATTAAAAAATGTTCTATATAGATACTAATTGACACTAAAGACTTTAATATTAAAGAACTGGCCATTCTCATAATATTACATAATGTCTCGTTTTCCTGACATTCCCAACACAGATAATAAGGTTAGCTTTGCAGGTCTTCAATGGCATGTGACCATGTGAGTCAACTTATGACAAAAAGGAACATGGTGTATCACGGGTTAAGATTATTTTCAACAAAGAATTGACAGACTGCGAATCCATTTGGCCCTCTAGACATTGAAAACACAAAAAACACCACTGATACAAATCAGGCAGTGCCACTAAAGAATATAGTGAGAGCAGCATGTACTCTAATAATTAATTAAAACACACATCATCCTAGAAAAATGCGCTCATTGACATTATGTAACATACAATAAAGCAGTGCTTTTTCTCAAAAACAAACACGGGTTAGACCTTTTAGTCAAAATTTAGTCCTGGTTTAGTTCCGGATTAAGTCTTGTGTTATTCCTGGTATGACCAACACACTCTTGAACACTTGTCTTTCTCCTCTATGTGTGTCTGTGTGTATACAACTGGTAAAGCTTTCATAGTGAAAATAGATAGATAGTTTATTGATCCCCGTAGGAGAAATTCAGGTGTCCAGTAGCAGCAAAAATAAAAAATAAAATTCATTATTCTACAAAGATAACAATAGTAATAATCAGCAACAGCAGAGATGGAGTAGCCCCTGGGTGGAGCAGATCGGGCAAGACGGTATAATACAGTATTGTTCTAAAATTGTGTTTTGTATATAAGATGTATCAAGATCATTTGTAGAACACAAATTAAACATCATCTTATGCTTCATAACAAGAAAGAAATACTAGAAAAGATTATTTATAATCTTTTTTTTAAATTAGCTTCCCCTTTTTTTCTTTTGGAAAGCATCATCACTATAAGAATTCCGGTCTGTGTGTCCTGGGGCACAGGTGCACATGTGTGTGTCATTTGTATGGAAATGTGCTGCTCTCCAGGGACGGACTGAGGTCAGAGCACGACAGTCCTGATGAAGACTCAGGTGGTAGCACCATTGGCTCCTTTTAACAAGAGAAGGATGAGTCCACGTAAAATATGACAAATCAATCCTTAATCAAATGGCTAATTTTCGTTTTCTTTTACATAGTTTTAGAATTGATGTTATAATTTAGTTCAGGATTATTTGACATTATTTTGACAGTTGAAACACCAGACTTCCAAGTAGTGCGACATTTGGAATATGTCGTCAAATACTGTCAACATTTGAAAACATTTGACAGAGAAATATTTAAAATACTAATCATATCATCATATTCATCATGAACCCAAAAATGTACAAAGTCAATGTAATATGCTTATCAAACATAACGTAACGAGGAATATTTCCGTTTAAGTAGATAAAGTTCTTGAAACGAGCAGTTCATTTGGCAGAGGATAATGCCATCTAGCGGACAAATGGTGAAATAACAGATCGCTGGAGGTACCAATATTGCCCTTATTGTATTGTGGTTTATTATCAATTTCTCGCCACTTAAAATATTCAAGGAAAAAAAACATGCAGATGATTATTATAATAATTAAAGTCTGTCTGATTAGGTAAAGCCATCAAAAGGTAAACTAGAATATCACTGTCTGTGGCCAACATTACTTCTAAGTTGGCCATTCAAATACGTTTCCATGGTTTTTAGTTCATGTATATATAATGACAGAATGTATATTTACACTTTTTTTCTTTTTGTTAAATACTGCAACCATATCCTCAGCACAGAATTAATTCAATAATACTATTACGACCCAAGTTTATTGGAAAGAAACAGAGATCATAATCTTTTCTTTGCCCACGACAGAAATGGACTGATTCTGCTCAAAAATCCCGAATCAAACTCTAACTAGGACATGAAATGGATATCCTCTGACTCATCCCCCAAATCAATAGGAGGGCAGCATCTGAAGGACAGCAGCAGAGTCAATGTTTGACTGTGGCACCTAGCATTGGTCAACAGTGAGAGCATTTGGCTGCTTCATGATCAAACGGTTTGAATGGAAGCTGAACTTGAAAAAGTAACAAACCCAGAAAGCAGCAGTTGTGGTAGTTCATTATAATAATTGTCACAGCACACATTTTAACCTAAAAGTCTCAGGCCTTACCTCTTAATGAGTGCGGTGCTCCTTGGGACGTGTCTTGGCGGGATACTCAGAGCTGGCTGGAGGTAGGTCCCACTTCAGCAAATATCCCACTAACAATGGTGTTTTTTCCTGGATTACTGTTGCATCCCCTGAGCCGCTCTGTGATAGGTGGCCTGCCCCTAACCATTCACCAAGACAGGAAACAATGACAAACAGAAATAACATTTCAGCCAATCACAGCCTCCGTTCTGAAGTGACTCATATTCACAGCAATTTAAAACGTTTGTTTCTGACTATGAAATTATCTGTTTGAATACTACAGTCATTTTTGTTTATGTTATTGTGAGCCAGAGGCCTGGATGGAAATTTTCTTGTCCTACAGTGACCCACAATGACAGTGTCACACAGAGTTGAAAATCCAGATGTGAAACTTTGTAGAAAAGAGCTTCACGCAGTCATGATGTTTTATGTATATGTTTGAGCTTCTTTCCAGTCCAGCTCTATTATACTTATTTTCAATTCTAATTTAGCCTAAAAGTTTTTTTTAATTGTTTCCACTTTCTCCTGAGAGTTTGTTTAAATATGACGGTCTGAATCAATTTGAGTGTTGAGTCCAAGAGTAGCACAACAAACCAAGACCTGAAAATGAATTTCTGGAAGTTGAAAGGTTTTGATACCAAAAACAGTGTTAGATTTGTTTAGTATTGTTTGCTGTATACTTATTATACTCATATCATGTGTATTCTCTTATATATTTTTTCAGGAGATAAATGTGGGTGCACGAATGTCGGATAATAACTACAGCCCAATATCATAATGTATAACACATATGGTTGTCTTTTCAGTGTAAAATTGATGCATCCTGCTATATAACTTTGTAATTCATATACGCAGCATAACAGCCCATAAAAAAAATATATATATATACACAGCCTCCTTAGGTCTCTATTCCAGATCTCAGGAGAAACAGTAGCTAATCGTAGACCTTGTTGTTTGAGCCAACTTGCAACTAAGATAATTAAGAGCTGTTTGTGCTTGGGCCTAAGATATCATAAAGTACATGAAGGACATGCAGTGGAGTCACATGCCAGTACAGAGATGACACGCATCAAACAAAACATATGCTTATCTGTCACTACTTCTTCCACAGCGCTGATATAACCACAGAACACTACAGTGAGTAGCACAAGACACTTTCATGTCATTTATGCAATCCAGCAGCGTCCGTCAAGCCCAGATAGAGACTTTTCAGCATGCTACTGGTGCCGCCCTGACTCATACAGGGGATAGAGAGCTGACTCAGGCACATATCACATCATGTCACCTCTGCTTCCCGTATATCCCCCCTTCCCCCTCTTCTCATCCACTTAATGCCTCCATCACACTGTTTGCATCTTCACCGCTTATAGTCCAAACTATGAGGTATGAAGTTGAAACTCAACAAAGCATTAGTTATGTACTCGGCATTGTTTAGCATTCATTTTCTCTATTCAAGTCAATTCTGCACTTCTAAGTTCTTGTAGCTTGCATTTAAATTGTGCATAAGATTTACACTGATTGGCTTGCCATTACAACAGTTAAAGGGGCTGGCAGTCGTCAATTTTGGTGCACGTTGATACGAAATAGAAATAGTAATCAATACATTCTTTAAAAGTTCAAGTGAAAATGAAATGGCTACTTACTCTCAAAAGGCTAAGATACAAAGCAGAAGTCAGTTAGTTCCCCATCTGTATGCTGCGCAGTGTGTGTCCTGGCTCAGACCCGGTCTACTTTTGGCTGTCCCGGTGAACTGGGAGCATGTGCGTTTGTGTGTTTGTTGTCTCTTCTCACGTCACACCACTCGTGTTGCTGCCGCAGTCCGCCCGCAGCCAAAGCCCCGCCTCTTGCTCTACTTGCCCCTCTCTCCTCTCCTCTCTCAGTAATGGACCTGTTGGCTTGGGCTGCCTCCCTGTGGTGAAACATAACCTCTGTTATAGCAGGCTACCCGTTAGCTGGAGGAGAGTATCTATGTGGTGGTGGGCGTATGTTTTCAAGCACAAGACAGTGTTACTCATAAAGTGAGTAATGTATGATAATTAAGCAGATGCAGCCACAAAAGTGTGGGGACCGAGCCTTACAGCGCCTAATTGGTGGTTAGCAGAAGTGTTTTAAAAAGACAGCAAGAGCTCGAGTCACTGGGAAAATAACTAACAAATCTGTCCACATGTGCAAACCAGATGTACTGCCTATACTTTAGATCAAAACACTGTTGGGGCAAATGAGGGAAAACGACAGCGAATGCCAGGTTAAACTCATGCATATTAATTATTTCATTTTGAGGGAAAAATGGACCAGACCACATCAATTGAATGAATTCATGACAACTTCATATTACTGGTTCTTTGCAATTATTATGCTAAGAAATAATGAAATGGCTTTGTTCCAATAAAGAATTGTTTCATTCCACAAACAAAAACAAAGCATTCCAGCATCAAATGTATCATACACAACCCAGTTTGATTATTATTATTATTATTATATTATTTACTCTTGCCCAGGAGGTAAGGCACTGGCATATGTTTTTTTGTGTTTGCTTATTTGTTTGTTTGTGTTGTGTTGGTGAGCAACATACGCAAAAAATGATATGGAGGTTGGAGGATTTGAACAACATTTTCAGATTACATCCAAATCCAGTGAACAAGTGATTCACGTGAAGTGTGCCTCCAGGCGCAGTTCTGCGCTCTACCAGAGCTTTTTGTGTTTCATAACAATTTATAGAATCAGAAAAACAAAACTGTCCGTGGATCGTCCCCAAATGTTATTGGTGTCTATCAAATTTGATGTAGCAGCAATCCTGCCAACAGACAAGGGTAAAACTATAGCGATGTGCTCATCTGACAAATCTGGAAAAGCAATGTACTGTATACATCTGACAAAGTTAATGATACAGCAAGAGGAGTGTTAGTCTTTAGGATGACAGTCCCAAACAATCAATCCCTTCTTAAATAAGCATTGACACAATTCTCAGACTAAAGTCACTCAGTTTCATATTTCTGTCATCTTTAAGACACACTGGTGACACATTTAATATTTAATGACAGAGTTAATACATGACATGGCATTTGAATATGAGACTCTGATATAGATTTAGGTAGATTTTGTTTTTCCAATCAATATTTCCACTTCTCAAAGCTCCTTACACCTTCTAACCACGGTAAAGTATAGTCTGAAAGCTTTCTGGTTTATCACATATCGATCAGGATTGACTGTGCTATCTCTGGCTGTCTCCACTGTAAATAAGCAGTGTCACAGTTTAAGGTCTAAGCCTGATAAGCAAAGCCCAGCACAAAATATACTATACATCATAGATTGATTACATTAGAAATAAGTGTGCTCTTGTATACAATGTAACAGTAAAAGCATGCCACAAACTCCATGTTGGGGTCTCCATCTGGAGTTCCCAACATTTTATAGTAATTTATACATAAATCACTACTAATTAAGCAGTGGAACCCCCAACTCAGAACAAATATTCATATTTTTGTACTTGCAAAATGAATATTATGTCGGCGTGTCCAGCGTCAAGACCCTCCCCCTCAGTCTCACTTTACGATGCACATACAGTATGCACTAGTGAACATAAACAACAAGAAAACAGACTATTCTCACCTCTAATATTCTCCTTAGTTCCCCAGCGTCTGTTTTAAGAACCACTTCTGCAAAAGCCCGAAGTCAACCACATGCATCTCCATCACATGATCTGTTGCTTTGTCTTAACAGCCCATGCACGGGGAAGTCACAGCATAATGGGGGATTATGGGTATGCGTACTATACACCGTCTATGTCAGAGGCGTGTGCATGCGCTTTGGGGCGAAGGGGGGTTAATGTCATAACTAATCGGGCCATGTCCCTCAAGACACATTCATCTGCCCCAGGATGTGGACTGTCGCAGACGCTGCCTTCACAATGGGTCACTTGTGGCACTCCCCCTGAAGGGCACAGAGGGTCCAGGGGGAGGGGCCTACATGTCTGAAACAAACAGAGATCATACATACTGGACAATGTAAACACTAGGGGTCTACCATAATGGTTAATTCAGGTAATTCAGGTACCGATAATTAGAAGCCAAGGAGATAACCGATACATATGTGTGTGTGTGTGTGTGTGTGTAATTGTGCGTATGTGAGAGTGTGTGTATATTTTGTGTTGTTTTGTATTGAATGAATCAGAGGGATTTGAGCTAAATAAGCATCTGCTTCGTCCTACTCCTTTCTTTTCAAACTGTGTATAATGGTTTTTATATCTGGTGTCTTTTCTGATCTGAAGTGTTTTACAGTGAAGATATTTTTTAAATAGTGTCTTTATTTAAGTAGTTTAAGATAGAGCAAATTAAAGATTACTTGCCAGAACATTTTATTTTTTCAAGATGAAAAAAATTAAATGATGTTCACTTTAGTGTTGGTATCATTATCCAGTTGCCAATACGGTTCTGAAATAACATCAACTGATACAGCATCAATGTTTTACAGTTAATCAAAAAGTTCTACACCCAGTGAGAGCTGTTGTAACTAGCTACAAAGTTGCCAAATTGTACTGTACAGAATCTTAAAACTATAGAAGAATGTAAGGGTTCTCAGTCTAACTTACGACAGTATATTAGCTTATTACACGTGGCTTTCTCTAACTCAAAACAAAAAACTCAGCTACATTTCGTTCTTATATACTGTATAGTGTTCGCTAGAAGAGTTTTATGCACTTTTGTAATTATTACCAATATTAATTTATCCTAAAAAAACATTGGTGCTGTCTGTGTTTGAATGGCTGCAGGTTTCTAAAATGAATAAACTGTAACTTGAATGCACAGCTGGATACGGGAAAAGTTACTATGGCCACTTCACACAGAGACCATAGGGTGAAGTTCTCCGCAGTCTTTTCAGTCTTTACAAAACCTGGACTAACAAGTTAAACCAGCTCGGAGCACTGACATACGGCTCTGTTTACTGCCGTATGTCAGAAAGACATACGGCAGTAAACAGAACAGACTGCGGCGGCTGCACAGGTAAGGCACTCTAACTTCTCTAACATGAATTATTTGTGAATTCATGTTTTACATTACAGAATACTGTATAGTCTACATATATCAAGCAAGTACATAAGTAGTTGTTGTTTGTACTTTGTACTAGAAAACAAGGCTTGATAAAGTATGAAAGATAAAATAATATGCTGTGTGCTTGATCACTTGTGGAGAGCATACCTCTCTGACGTGAGAGTTAGAGAGTTCAAGCACAAGGCTGTCATACGTGCAGGCTGTGCACATGTAAACTTTAATCCTCTTCTATATTGTTGACAGAATCTGTCCAAGTCAAACTAGAAAATTGAATTAAATCATGCTACAAAAGGTTTCAATTACTTACTTTATTTTTCATTCTTAGTTCACAACAAAATATGTTCTAATTGCCTTGCATTCAGTTACAGGAAACTGGAAAACTGAGCCTCATCCGAGACAAGCAGCATGGCTGGCCTGCAAAGAACTGCTGCAAAGAAACAGAGACTCCAAGAAACTTTTTCTAAGTGTGGATATACGCAAGGATAAAGAGAAGCAAGAACCATGAACTAGTGGATTTTTACAAGAGGAACAACATCCAGTGGGCGTCACCTCTGGAGTGCAAACTTCAAGGTAATGACAGAGACATGAAGAGCTGCTGGGGCCTCTCTGAACACTGCACGCTCTCCACAGGTGATGTTGCAAGCGGAAGCGGAGTTGAGCGCCACATGTTGTCAATGGTGATTTTTAAACTCATAAGTGGATTTCACATACATATAGGTTAGACAAAAAGCACACATACAGTAAGAAACCAAAATGTATTTTGTGCCATGTACCTTTGTTATGTTGCAGGGGTTATGGATATAACTAAACTTTTTGAGGGTGAACCGGACCACCTAATCCACCTCACTTGAGTTATTGGAGCGGGACATGTTCACTATAGCAGGGCGGATGATTGGACACTCATTCTTGAATCAAGGCCCAAGTGTTCCAGGACTGAGTCCTGCCATAATCCATGTGTTATTTGGAGGTTCTGAGGAGAACAGCCCCATCAGTGTTGCAGACTGCCCTGACACAGACATCAGGGACGTGATCAATGAGGTGAGGACCAACACCAATTAGAATGAACTCACTAACTCAGACAAGTGGGCAGCATGTTTTTGTTGTTCTAGATTCAAAGTGAAGTTGAATTTAAAAATGCTGAATCTATAGAAGAGCTGTGTTTATCCTGGGACCTTCCAGTACCAAACATCACCAACAGAACATTGATATGCAGAAGAATTCTTCAACATGCTGTAACGTCAACTTTTACAGAAAACACCATGCTGATATACACATGTTAGTAATGATGACCACTTCTATGTTTTCTTTGAAAGGTCATTGGAAAAACAAGGGAACAAGTAAATCAAATGAGATTAGGATTACAGGAGACAGGACTCTGGCCCCTTCTAATGCAAAGAAAAGATGTCTACCCTTGTTTATTTCCTAGAGAGGCAGAGACATACATCTCACCACAGGTAAAGAAACAAACAGGGAGATCAAATCAAATCAAATATAATTAAAGCAGCAGTAAGCGATTTGGTCGTTTCCGGCAGTTTCTTCTGCCTACGCGAGTTAGTAGCCCCGCCCCCGTCTCCTCGTCACACCACATGAACGCGCATCGTGTTGGTGATGGCAGCAGCAGATTCATCTCTGTCAGGTCTACTCGTAAGTATATTAACAACAAACTCTGGGAGTGAAATATTAGCATAGAATAGCTCAGTTGTAACCTAGCTATAACACTGGAAGCAGCTTGGTGTTAGCTAGGATAGCATCACTAAGAAAGAGATAAAAACAATCCAGTCTTTTATAGAATAATACTGCTTTTATAGTTGGTACACTGATAACTGTTGTGATAAACATGTTGCAGATTGCAGTGTGACGTGTCTCAACATTATGCACTGTAACATCTGTTACAGTGCATATGTATTAGATGAATGTAATGCATATACATTACAACAACAAAGCTTTACATGAAGGTTATTTAAAGTAATACATTACTGCTTTCCTCACAATTTGTATATTTGGAGTTCTTTATAGACAACACTGTAGTAATGTATTGTGTGAAAGTAAAGCTGCATCTCACTGGAAGCTGCCTTCTCAATGTCACAAAATAAAGATACATTTATTGATGTAATCAACATCTGTATTATGTGCTTATTGTTCAGAGAATGAAGACAAAATCAAAGTGTATCAGAGCTGTACAGTGAGATGTGGGACTGAAAAACAATTCCAGTAAAGCTTGTCCGAAACGCAAAAGTACTGTCATAACTAATTACGTTACACTATTACACTGTAAGGAAACTCACCACTTTGAAAGAAAAGCTACAAGTAACAGAATATATAAAGTCATTTGTCATAACGGTTCTTTCAGGAAGCACTGAACGCCCTCTGTCCAGAGAAGCTGATGACCAGATCCTCCCAGACCTGGCCCTGGTGCGTCTGTGAAAGGTGCCAACAGACATTGAAAACGTGCTTTCCTCAGCGGCCCCCATGGTGCACGACCTCAGTGGCCCCCCATGGTGCACGTCCTCAGCGGCCCCCATGGTGCACGTCCACTCTGCAGTTCTGAAATATGTTTGTAGTTGTACTATTTCAAAATAAAAAAAAATACATTCACCTCTTTCAATGTGCTTTGTTTTATAGTAGGAAAACAAATACAGTCTGTAACGAGTCTAAGAAACTTTATTATGTAAAAGAAGATTTGAAGTTATAGCCGGAAAAATATACACAATGTCCCTACTAAGACGAATAATTACAAGTGATGGTAAGGCAACGTTTGTGTTATCACTTTTTGCTCAAATGAATAACACTGTTATTATCCAGGTCCTTATCCATCGCTGCAGCAGCGAACACTATCAGAGATATCTAACAAAATGTTAATCTTTATGTTGTAGCTTGTTTGAACACATTTCCTCAAAATAATTCATAAGCAGCCACAAGCACACACAGCCACAAGCACACACAGCCACAAGCACACACAAGCACACACAGCCACAAGCACACACAGCCACAAGCACACACAGTCACAAGCACACACAGTCACAAGCACACACAAGCACACACAGTCACAAGCACACACAGTCACAAGCACACACAGCCACAAGCACACACAGCCACACACAGTCACAAGCACACACAGCCACACGCACACACAGCCACACGCACACACAAGCACACACAAGCACACACAGTCACAAGCACACACAGCCACACGCACACACAGCCACAAGCACACACAGTCACACGCACACACAAGCACACACAAGCACACACAGTCACAAGCACACACAGTCACAAGCACACACAGTCACAAGCACACACAGCCACACGCACACACAGCCACACGCACACACAACCACACGCACACACAGTCACACGCACACACAGCCACGCTTCAGGGGCCCAGGTTGAAGGAACTGGAGTCTTCCTCTGGCAGAGATTTTCCTTTGAAACATAATAGAAGAGACATCAGTTTTATCTACTCAAATATGACTTTGATATATTCATCATCAACAACATCAGTATTTATTGATCACCAGGAGTGGCCCCTGATCCACAGGATCCTTGAACATGTTTATTTGGACTGTGAGAGACTGTGCATTGTGAGAGAAAGACACTTACATCGGCTGTTTTGGGAGTCGAGTGATTACTGTATCTCACTCCTCTTGATTGTTGAAGAAACTCAGCGACAGTTTTGTCAACACTGACTCCTGGAACATGATCGATATTCATTTTGGACCTCAGGGCAGCAACACAACTGTAGGGATGAACGACACACACATCACAACATCATTATCATAATCACTGCGTCCCATATATGCATTCACAACAACCTACATGACAAATGTGGGGTGTAAAGTCTTCCTCAGGAGATGACAATGGCCATTCTTCTAATTCTGGAAGCAAAGTCTTGTCTTCCCAGTCAATACTAGAGAAAGAAGAGGTCAGCAGAAAAGTATCTAGTCGTTATGGCATTGTTTTTTTTTTTATAGTTATTTAACTTGCATTATGGAGGCTTTTGAACTCTTGTACATTGAAGACCTCATTCCAATTGATTTAGGCCATACTGGAAAAGATACAGAGAAAAGAATGCAATGAAGACATGTAAATTATTACAATGTCTATATTATATCATGCTCATAATTTATTTGGTAGTAGTCAGCAAGACTTTTCTTACTTATTCTCAATACATAATAATAAAAATGTATGTAGTGGTCACGGAAGTTAGATTTGAGGTAAAGAGATATTGTTTTTATAACAATAAAACTAATATACAGAGTGCAAGTTGCAAAACTTAGTCATTGAAGAATGAAATGTAGACCTACATATATATATATAGTGCAAGCAACTATGTTTATTGGCAAAAACAAACGATTCATACAGATCAGAAGTGTTCGTAGCAGCCACATCATATTCACAACTACAGACAGCTAATGCTAACAGCGAACGCTAATGCTAACAGCGAACGCTAATGCTAACAGCTAAGCTAATGCTAACAGCGAACGCTAATGCTAACAGCTAACGCTAATGCTAACAGCGAACGCTAATGCTAACAGCGAACGCTAATGCTAACACCACTTCACGGGGGAACTCTGGTGATATGGTCATTTAATGTTGTACATGTGGGGAACTAATAATTGACCGGAGTTTATGGATGACTGAGGCTGGGCTAAGGCTTCGATGTTGTGTTGTCTGTTGTTGTTTCTCAAAGCTAAGCCAAGGTAATGCGCAGTTATTGCCACAAAATGCGGCCGTATTTCTACAACAGCTGGGGATTTTTAACTAGCAACTTGGTGAAAACCCGCATTACAGTCTCAGGCAACAATATGTATAAATAATACAACTACTACTGCCACTACTGAGTAACATGCTCACCTGTTCAGTCGGAGAGAGGAATCCACGGAGCTAGAGGTCGCCAACATGAATGCAGCTGGTCACCATGTTGCTCATACTTTTTGTCGTTCCTCTGTTTCTGGCGTTTTGCCTGTATTTAATAGATCGATGGTATTTAGTCTGCAGCAGCGCTGGAGGCGGCTTTTCCTTCTCCGCCATGTTTGTTTTGAAGAGTGCGCGTGCACACACGGGAGAAACCCCTTATAAGGCGTGCTCTCTCGTCATTGGATAAGCGCATAGGATGTGAGGTTTTTTTATTAAATATGTGGGAGAAGACTGGAAGGACTGAGAGATCCGTGTTTAGGTACAAACACTCTATATAAGTGATGGCTATTGGAATATATCAATATTTAAGACGTATATTAACACCCAAAAATCGCTTACTGCTGCTTTAAGATTTTATAATTTGATAATTATTATTTGTGGATGTCCATAATTTCAGATTATCCTGGACTGCATCATCTGGCCAGTGTCTGTGACGGTCTTATTTGACAACTATCAAGATGTAGATGATTTTGTTGAGTCGGACTCAGAGGACATATGTCGAGTGTCGAACTACTTAAAAAGATTTATTGGAAATGGTAAGAACATAATCTTATAGTTTAATTCAAATGACGTATAAGAACAATATGAACAAATTACTTAAATATTAATTAATAGTGACACTCTAGTTTGAGCTAAAACAGCGACAGTGTGGTTTCACTTAAGTCTCCTTTCCCCTCAGCTGCTCATGCAGAGCTCAAGAGCCTCCTGAAGTTCTGGATCGGACGGGAAAAACCCACCACAGAAATGAGGGTGGAAATTGTGATTGCCGCTTTTCCCTCAGCGTCGACCTGCTTTGAGAGACTTCGGCTGCCACAGCATTATCAAGATTATGACACGTTTTGTCAGGATCTGACTGCATGCATATCAACCACATACTCTGGCTTTGGATGTGAATAGAATATTCTAAATGGCTTATCTAAATAAAGATTTTGTCTAACATTTGATTCCATATAATAACTCATATTTCTGCAAATAAATTGGAACATGAAGTACACATCGCAAATGTTATCTTGCTATTCTATAAAGGAATCTAAACGAGAAAATTGGAGGTTGCCCTTTTGTGATAATTAAACAATCAGTAATGAGTATGTTGTGATACAATATGATTATAAAATGTCAATGTGTCACAATTATCAACCATTAAATGATTATTTATATTTGGAGTTATATATCATAAATCATAAACAGCTGAGAAATTATTTTAGAATGTTTCGAATGAATAGATAAGATTTGTATGAGAAATGTTCCAAGTTTCATGGTAGTATAATTCAGAGTGTATACACACATCATTTGCCCTCCATGGGCGGTTATCCCTCTCTAAGCTCGGGTCCTCTGGGAGCCTGGGAGCTTGTGGGTTCTGCACAGTGTCTTTGCTGTTCCTAGCACTGCACATTTCTGTACCAATAAAGATACATATATATATGACACCCCTATTATATATGTACATATATTAGGGGTGTCACAATTTAGATTTTTTTCTAGAAAACAATCAAAATTACATCATTTGAGGATTGATAAGTACTGTAAGTAAGTAAGTAAGTAAGTAATCTTTATTTATGGACCGCCTTTCACAGACCAGAGTCACAAAGCGGTTTACAATTGTTATTTTTTGGGCATTTGTCCTCTCACTTCACACAGAGATGGGAGCGGGGTCCTCATCACCCCCGCCAGGTTTACATGTATCAGGGCGGTGTGCAACACCGGTGTGGAAATATTTTGCGTTCCCAGTGAGTTATGTTGACAACGTTCACGTTGTTGAAGGACTTACACCGCAGACCACTGTGTGTCAGTTATGCTATGATATGCCATGATATTGCGCCGTGTACCATACCCAGCCACGGGAAACACTAAAAGCGGGACACATTTGCCAGCGTCACAGAGATGTAGATTTGACAACTGGGAAAAGACCTCAGCTCGCGCTAAAGCCACTTTTAGTGGATTTACATAATTCACTCATGGAATGTTAGTTACCCACACAGTGTTCCAAGGGGGGGTATAGGCAAGGCAAGGCAAGTTTATTTTTACAGCACAATTCATACACAGGGAGACTCTAAGTGCTGAACAAATCAAGATAGCATTTAAATCATAAATAATCACAGTACATTAAAAAGAAATAGGGATGCACCGATACCAGTATTGGTATCGGATATCGAGTCAATACCATAGAATAGTACTTGTACTCATACTCATACCATAGGACCCTATTCTGGCAACCGATACCCACATTATTAATTCACATTAGCGTCACAGCAGCAGACAGCTGTTGTCATGGTGATTTCCCAAAGTCTGCAGCGAGGAAGCAAGCTACCGGCAGCTAGCATCCAGCAGGCTAGCGGCGAGCGGACAAGATGCCGGTCGTATGGCAGTTTTTGAATAATAATAATGCATCAGTGTATAGTGATAATTTGGACACTCAAAGACGCTTTACATGTCATTATTCTTTCACTCCATACACGGTGGTGATAAACTACTACTGTAGCCACAGCTGCCCTGGGGCACACTGACAGAAGCGAGGCAACCAGTATATGCCATCGGCCCCTCCAACCACCACCAACCATTCACAAACACAACAATTCCATTCTAGGCAATGTGAGTTTAGTGTCTTGCCTAAGGAGACAATGACAGTTTTGCACTTTACAGCCACAGCCGCCCCACTGTGGCACCTGGTGTCCCCAGAGGTTAAGTGTCTTGCCAAGGACACAACAGCAGTGGTGGAGAAAGTCTTGTGGTGGGTTCGAACCCACAACCTTCAGGCTCAATGGGCAATGCTCTACTGAGCCACTGTTGCCCCAGTGAACAAGAGTGACAAGAGTAAGTTGTGTAAGGCAGGTGGGTCCAAAACAAGCACATATAACACCAGCAACTTGATAACACTCACCACCACGCAGAGTAATCTTTGCTAACACTGGAGCTATTTCTTGACATTTCTTGAAGCTATAGTTGACTTTAAAACAATTGCTAAAATGTTTCATTCAAAAAAGAATTTTCTTTTTTTAATACAGCTAATACTGAAATTTTAAATTTCAGTTATATTAGTTTTATAAATTCCCAGGGATAACACAATGCAGTAATATTTACAATCTATGTGGAAAAAAAGTGATATTGATGCATCCCTAAAAAGAAAGATAAGGATATAAAATCCCTCAGTTGTATACACAGCTAAACAGAACTATTTTTAACCTGGATTAAAACATTGTCAGAAAAGGTCACATTTTCAGGAAGATTGTTACAGATTTTAGATGCATGAATCTGAAATGCAGCCTCCCCATGTTTATTCTAACTCTGGACACCAGCAGGAGTCCCGTCCCTGTGCTCCTCAGAGTCTGAGTTGAGTCATATGGCACTAACATGTCACTAATGTACTTAGGTGCAAGGTATATAGCGGGGGCTTCCTCTTTTGAGTTGTTGTGTGAAAAAAGCATTGAGTCACACACTGGTTTAGTTGTATTACACTGATCTTAAATGGCATTAAAGCGCTCTTCATTTTATTTTTTTTGTTGCATCTTTGATATCAATACGCTGTTTCTTCTTAGAAATCAATCATGTTGAGCAAACGCTCTAAGTGTTTTAGTTTAATCAAAACATAAAAGAGACTGGAGGAAAAACTGAGATGTCTAAGAGGTTAACAACCATCACCAATTCCTAAAAACTGCAGAGGTATTTGACACTCCTCTGTTTCAGAAGCTCCTCCTTTCTCTTTTTCCCATCTGGGCAGCTACAACTCGGACAGAAACATTCCAGCATTCTCCGACTTCCACATGAACCAGTAGATTAACGTAACAGGATTAGCAGTCGCAGTGTGGAAGGTTAGAAACGCAGCACTTCTGTTTGTTTATCTGAGCACACCCAAGTTTTAGCAGGATCGTCCTTCAGCCTGTTAGCGAACCAACTTTACCTACTTACTTCAGGTGAGAATGTTGTTCATGGTAGTTCTGCTCATGTTGTAGCATTGGTCTCACTGTTTGTTTATTTATCTGCTCCGGACAATTATTTACCAGGCAATGGCAATGTTTAAAAAAGGTTAGCAGGAACTCATGTGGCTCGTATTTTAGTCATACAGCTAGTTTTGAATGTGATCAGAATGACGAAGTCTCACTAAAAATATACTTCCTTGATGTCTTGAAACCAACAGTTACTGAACTGAATTTTACTCCACATGTCCAAACTTGTGAATTAGAGTTATTAGAGTTATTTTTTTTAAATTCATCTTTTACATTCGTCAAAAGGGTTAAGGTGACTAATCTAAACAATTTACAATATGTGTAGACGATAAAAGTCTTTTTTGCAATATTAGCATATGCTAGATTTCCATGTTTTAAATATTTAAAAATATAAAAGTTAACTAGTTTTAAGTCAAGATTTTATTTATATATCAGTTGAAATGAAAGGGGGATGCAGACATAGACGTCGGAACTAGGGGTGCGGGGGGTGCGGCCGCACCCCCTGGTGCGGCCGCACCCCCTCCGCGTGTGCCGGGAGCGAGAAGTTATCACTATCCTGCGTTCCTTGCAGCCCAAAACCCGCTCCATGCTGTCGGAGGTGCTTATGAAGCTCTGTCTGGCTAATATCTGTCGCAGCCTCTGAGCGCTCTTTCTCAGCCTTGCGCAGATTAAAGACCTGGCTACACCAGTGACGTGCGGTGGGGGATCAATCATGTGTTCATATGATTATACATCATATAAACCAACAGGACCTACAGGAACAGGAGCGGCTTATACACAATTTGTTTGGCTACAGCAGAATATGATTTAATGTCTGCATAGTTTTCTCATACAAAACGCAAACGTTTGTAAAAAGTACAAAGTGTGTTATGGGCCTTATACCTTAGGTGTTAATGAACAGCACAGACCACTTCAGTTAGGACCAGTTTCATGTTTAAGTCCAGATAATAGTTTGAGCACAGACATGTAATCCTCCATTTGGAAATAAGTTCAATGAGTTTTAAAAAGTAAAAAAAAACGGGTGTCTCCTCCGTAAACTGCGAGTTTTGCTGCAGCCGACTCCCGGGTAAATCCAATTTCTAAATTCAACCTTACCCTTCACCTCTTTTTCTTATGATTCATATCATCATTGGAAGCAAAACATTACTCTAAGTGCATTTTAAATTATCTTAAAATGTATTATAGGTATGTTAGCCAAACCTGTAGCTGCCCTTAGCAGAAGAAGAACAAGAAAGGAGCTTTCTGATGGAATTGGATGCAGCCAAAGTTTGGGCTCACAAGCGCCCCCTTGAGGCTTTCCTCACTTACAAGCTGTGGTTGAGCGCGATTAAGACCCATATTTGCTTCAAAAACACAATTTATGAGCCATCCTCTTAAATGTAAACATGTTGATTGTAAATTAAATATTTTTGAACTTTTTAAACTGTGATAAACAGAGAAAACAGTTTGATAGCACCTCACAGGACTCTCCCTGTGAGCTGTTGCTTTTTACGTCTCCCAAGAGAGGCTCGCCTCACAGCACCGCTCTGTCAAATCTGCGATTTCAAGGTATAAATAAATTAAATAAGGCACAGCACAAATCACTTGATAAAGTGACCAAACATTATTGTATCCATTATATTACTTTTCTTTCTATGATCTTAGGTGAGGGCCTTACCTGCCTCATCTGACCGCACGTCACTGGGCTACACAACACAATGAAGCCACCGGAGAGACTGACGCATGAATGCGTATTGAAAAAAAAAAAGTTCAGTTTGATAAGTGACTTGCTTGATATATATTGTTTATTTTTCTTAACAATTAAGATGGTATGTTATTATCCAGTGTAATCCAAGTATGAGTCTCTCCCTCGACTCTCCCAACAAAAACCCGCCCCCCCTCTCAGAAAATAGTTCCGACGTCCATGGATGCAGATACCAGTAATTTAAGTAAAATATGAGATTAAAATCTAGCCTTCATTGTGTGGCCTTTAAGTGTCTATCGTAATATGCTATAAATAAACAAATATAATTCTACTGAATGCATTTCATTTGTATGTGAGTGGTTTTATTTGCCAATTTATCATTGTAAATGTAACTTAAATATACATTATTTTTATAAAGATTGATTTGATGCATAAGTGTGTGTTTAGTCAATGTACCTTGATGTTGTCAGGGTCCTAACTTCAGGGTGCTGCGCCCTCAGGGATTCCTCCACACTGATTGTATTATCTCATTCTAAACAACATCACACAGACAGACACAATAAGTCAATTATTATCTGTTACTGGTTGATTACACATTTTGAAAACCAGGAACAACATAGAAAAAAAGTTGCTGGTTAAGGCTTGATTTACCCTAGATTGATGAATAATAAAATGCCACAAATGTCAACAGGAAGCTTGATTTCAGGATTCAGTACATACAGGTGAATATGGGACAGGAATACTGGGCACTGACCAAAAAACACTTATGAGCAAACGTCTTGGCTCCACTGCAAGTCAAAAAGTTTTGTGGTTAAACTCAACTCTTTTCCCCAGTCCATGCCATGTCTTTAGTTGAAATGAATTGGCAGTATTTGAACATCTAGGTCTGGATGTAGTTTGGCTCAGCTGGGTGGAACAAAATATGTAATAGGTACTTCTAGGTGTAGGGTCGTAAGGGTAGAAGGGAAGTAATTAACGGAACTGGGTGTTTTTAATCTGTTGGTGCTACTTTCTGACAGGATGCCTTTCGGTGGAGGTAATAAGTGTGGTCGCTGTCAGAAGACTGTGTATTTTGCAGAAGAGGTGCTGTGCGATGGGCAGAGCTTCCACAAGTCCTGCTTCCTGTGCAGTGAGTAAAAATGCTGTTGTTTCCTGTCATTGTTCTGCACTATCGTATCAAATTACTATATATGTTCTATTATTGGTGGGAGTGAGGTGAATGCCTGTGAAAAATATTAATCATGATTTGACAGCAGTAAAATCAGTATCAGTTTATAGCTCTTACAGCAAAATTCACTGGATTTTAACCACTATTTTCTGAAAATGTTGTCCACTATTTGCTTTCAAAATGGCGACCTGAAGCCAGAAAGCATTATTATACGTTTTCACAAAATGGCTAAACAACACTATGCTTTAGTTCTTTGTATTTGTTTTTAGCAAAATATGAATCAAACAGATAGGCACACAAATTTTGAGCATTTTTTGCGCTTTTATTATAAAAAGTATTTGGGCTTACTTATCTTTGACCCAGCATTCTTATCAAGAATTCATGTGGCGGAATTTGGATGACATCATGTTTTAATGTCTGCTCCATAAAAGGCAACAGTTGGAAAGGAATCAAAACAAATCTGTTCAATGAAATGTATCCTTAACGCAGTGAATAATCATGACAACAACTAATGCTGAGGTTATTTTCAGTGGTATGTCGCAAGTGTTTGGACAGCACCACTGTGGCGGTCCATGAAGATGAGGTGTACTGCAAGGCCTGCTATGGGAAGAAGTATGGTCCTAAAGGCTACGGTTATGGGCAGGGAGCGGGCACTCTCAGCATGGACAAGGGGGAATCTCTGGGTATAACACATGAAGAGTAAGTATCAATACAGAATAATTATATTCTAGGATTGTTTTAACAATTAGTGTTTTTTTTGTTTTTGTTCCCAGACCAGGTCCCCATCGTCCAACCACCAACACAAATGCATCAAAGTTTGCACAGAAGTTTGGGGGAGCGGACAAATGCTCTCGGTGTGGCAAATCTGTCTATGCTGCTGAGAAGGTCATAGGAGCTGGAAGTGTAAGGGATCCATAACTCTGTAATAAGAACACTGCAAAAGTGATGTCGCACAAATCATTGACAATACAACTGATGATGTTGTGTTGTGCTTTTCCATAGTCGTGGCATAAGAATGGCTGCTTCCGCTGTGCTACATGTGGAAAAGGCCTGGAGTCCACAACACTAGCAGACAAAGATGGAGAAATTTACTGCAAAGGTACAGTGTGGGTCACTTTCTTTGGCCTTTAGAGCGTGTTCACACTTGTTGGTCTGGTTCACTTCACTGAGCAGAGTCTGGCTCGTTTGAGTAAAAAAATATTCACAAATCTGTTTCAAAAGATGCAAACTTAGGCTAGTGGAGTTATGTTCACTTGTTTGGTGGTTTTATGTCCACAAATAAAGCAGTTTGCCTAAAACGAGCCAGAATTAGTGCAGTATAAACCAATCTCACGCTAAACCTGGCTGTTTTCATAGATCAGAGATTATATACACTACTGTAGTCATTAGCAAAAAGTGTATAAACTCTTGACATTAATTAAACACTTTACTTGTTTGCAAGCCTGGAAAAGAAACGCAGGATAATCAGTACAGGCCTAGATATGAAGTGAAGGATATAGCCTTTTGGTTTAAGAAACATTTTCCATATATGTTTTGGCTTTACATGGTCCAAATATGTCCACCACATATCACATCAAATATGAAAATATTAACACCTCTGAGCATAGGGGGTAAGATTTGGTGGATGTAATAAGATGTCCATATTAATAGCTTGCTTGTGCATAACAATTGATGCATAATCCTAAATGAAATAGTAGCGTTTGGATCAAACACGTGTCTCACATGTCTCTGCTCATCTCGTAAGGCCTACTCGGTGTATTCTATCGATGTGTCTTGTCTTTAAGAAGATAATGAAGATATTTGTTTTACCTGTCTGGTGATTTTTGCAGGATGTTACGCCAAGAACTTCGGTCCTAAAGGCTTCGGTTATGGGGCCGGAGCTGGAGCTCTGGCACACACGCAGTAGACAGAGGGCAGCAGAGATGATGGCTCACGCATTTCCACAAGCCTGCACTACAGTTTCCCACCACCAGGAGGCAGTCTCACTGAATAAAAGCCAATAGATCCGTGCTATAAGCCAACACATGCTGCTGAATCATTAGTAGCTCCAGCCTCTTTATGTTATCAACAAAAGAAAAATAACTCAATTGAATGTCAATAATAATGTTTGCTCTAGATTTCCATTGTAATGACATTTAATTGCTGTTGTTACATAATGTGTGGGTGAAACTTACTTTTGTTGTGTGTGAGAGGAATGCGGAAGCGCAGATGTGAGAAACTGTTAAGTTTCAAGATATGACACAAGCTCATTATTGTCTTCATTCCTGTCATAACATCTGAGTGACACATGGGAATGCCATAGAGTAGGCCACCTGCAAATACAACTCCACACTCAGAATACCAACACATCCATATAAGGGCTATGCAGCGGATGATGTCAACATTACCTTAATTGACTTTCGACAGTGTATTATAAAATTAAAAGCAAAATTAAAATGCAATTTCTAAGTTCATCTATGCAACAATTTTGTAATAACCATGACAAAACATAGAATAGAAACTAAGATGTTATTTTATACTGTGGTGCGTATATTCTGAAGACTGAGTAAATATAGTCTGTACTTTGCTTATAAAAACTACAAAACAACTTTTATATGACATGTTTATTTCTTTCTCTATTAATACTGTACATGGTTTTGGAAATAATAGCATACATACAAACAAACGTGCTAAATCTTAAGCACCATTCAGTCAATCACAAATGCATCCGTCTGAGTGAGAAAAAGTGACCATAGTAGTGTCCTTAAAAATATGTAACTTTGTTTATAATATAGGATACAGGAGGTGGTCCAAGCAGCTCCATAGCCTTCATGTAAAGAAATATAATATACATAGCTCTGCCAGAGAGATTATCATACATGGAAAACAAACATTTAACAACCCTAAATTCACGTTAAGAATATAGGCATTTGGTAAAATAAAGTACAGTTGTCAGAGTTGGTCAGTGCAGGGACCGGGGGGCTTTATCCACTGGTTTTCTTTGACTGTTCTAGAAAAAACAAGAGGCCATTAGTCATATATCACATTACATGGAAGCTATCACATTTTTCAGAAGGCGTCAACATGTCGACATTTGGAGCGTGTGAAGTTAATTTCAGAAACTGACTATGGCATGCTGTCTCTTAAGGAAGCCCTGGATTCCAGAACAGTGAGCTCATAGTTCAGAGAGAGTTTTAACATTTGAGATTTCACTTGCATACAATTAAATAGTGCTGTTGTTGTCATGATAGTGAATGTTAGATTACATACATGAGGGGGTGACTCTTTGCCCTAGTCCCAAAAATGGAAGCTTATCCTTAATTTTAGAGAGAGTGCTTGAGGAGATACAAACAAGAAGCTATAGCCATGTGTGAGGTTTAAAAATACTGCCTTGAGACATGAGCAGAGGTTATTTTGTAAGCTCCTTTACACCTTTAATGAATTAGTAAAGTAGGAATGTTTAGTTATGATAACTCTGACTACACTTCTGATATATGTCAGCCTGATCCCATGTGGGTTGGTGTCATTCTAATCAGTTGGTGCTGACACAAACAACTGTATGGACATTTGTGTCAAAAAGCCTAATTAGTTACATAGTAAGTCACCTGTAAATGTCATAGATTTTCATTTATTGAATAGGATTACAATATAAGATGGGTTCAGACTGTTTTTGTTTTTGTGTTTTTTTAACCTTTATTTAACCAGGAAAGTCCCATAGATATTAAGAACCTCTTTTTCAAAAGAGTCCTGGACGGACACACTGTAAATATCAGGTTGGGTCTGTAGATAGACTAGGTAAATAGGTAGAAATAGATAGGTAGATTGATGGATGTCAAAATATAAAGGTCGTACCTTGGCCTTCAAAGCTCCTGTTCTCCCCAGGTCCTCAGGTGAGGTGCAGAGATGTGCCGGTTCTTCCCTGTCTGCACAGCCTGGAGGTTTTTAAACCGCACCAGAGCCAGGGCAATCTCTGCGTTCCATGCGGTTCCTTCTTGTGAACACCTGAAGTCTATCTCTTTACCAGTGGCCATGACCACCGTAAAATACACGAGTCCTCGTTTGTACTCGACACAGTCCACTGTTGTCATGCGGTCGAAGCGCAGCTCTTTGGCTTTGGCTCCAAACGCGACGCACGGAGCATCCCCGTCCTCGCCTCCAGGGTCTCTGCAGTCTCGCAGACGCAGTCCTTCTTCTGTCAACACGCAGCGCTTCTTCTTCCACAGCTGGAGCAGCCCACTGCTGCGCTTCTCCAACATCCCCTCTCGCATCACTTTCGCCGGGATAGACATGGTGACAGGCGGCACATGAGCCAAGAGAATGATCCATTCATTCTAATGTCCACAAATAGTGAGCATACCTTCCATGGTGAAAATGTCACGTCTATCTCAGTTTATCTTCGTCTATGGTGATAGTCAGGCGGCAGACGCAGCGTAAGTAGACTACTCTGCCTGGATATGTCGGAACATGCCCGGCTTCTGAAAGACCTTTCCCCTTTCTGCTGCGCACCCCGCCTCCCAGTGACGGCAGGATCCGGACTGTTCTGTTCATCAAACAATGAGGATGCGCATGTGCTGCAGCTTCTGTGTGTCTGGACCAAAGACTGTAAATGTCTGGACAGACCTGTGCTGAGGAAACCTCCAGAGCACACTGACGGATCTGACAACAGCAGGCTACAGACACATATCTAACATCAAACAAAGCCCACATCAATGTTACCAACTTGTTTTGTCTTGAGTATACCTCCTTAGTGTAGATTTGTACTGCCAAACCCGTCAAAGGAAATCTGGAGGTCAATTGTAAGACCTTTGTTACTTTTAATTGCCTTTAAAAAATATATTTTAGTCAACTACACATATAGTACTCCTAATTTGATGGATGAGGTTTTGGAGATATGGTGGAATACATGGTTATTGGTTATAAACAGTTACTTCAGTTGGCATCGGTATAGCTCACAAATGTACACAATATGTACAATTTAGTTGTACATGTTGTGTTGAGATTTAAATATACCACCGAAATTGATCAAGTATGCATGCAAAAGCCTGGATATGGTTGTCTCTTTGTTGTGTGAAATCTGCAATTAAAGTAACGTTCACAATGACACAAACATCCACCTACGCACAACCGTATGAGCACACCCAGTCTCCCAGTCATTCACATGCTCCTGGTTGTCGACAGATTGTAGTTACAGAGCTTTACTGCGGGTCAGGGATAAAAGGGCCGATTGTATGAGCACTTCTCCAGTTACTGTGGAAAGCCCCGGAGACAACCACGCCACATGAGTCAGCACAGAGCCAGAGGAGACAGTGCACAACAAGAAGGCATGGCAGCCCCAAAAAGTGTTGTAAATAACGTATAATTATTGTAAAATTGTGAAGCTTTGTCTGGTCAGGCGAGGTGGGAGACAGTGGAGAACCCAGGTTCTTATGATTATTTTTATTATTATTTGGCAATGAGGAAAATAAATAATAATGACGAAATTAATGAGTGTTTATTATTACAGTGCAAATGCTCTTTTCTGGAAGGACTGAAAACAATGAATACATAATATAATAATTGGTATTTATTCAATAGGCGGTATTAAGAGGGCAACATGTGAAGTTTCTTTGTAGAGTACTTGCCTGACTGATTCTCTGACTAATCTGTTCAACTGGAACTCTGGCTCTTTGATAAAAGGATCACAGCACCATTTGCTTTTAATATAGTTTGGACAAGAACTGAATTGAATGGAACATTTGCTAAAGTCAGACACTCTGATGCCACTTTTATATTTCAATATTTTGGTTTTAGAATAGAACAACAGTACTACTCGTAACTCGGGAGCTACCAGGAGCTCACCAGCCCCTTTCAGGTAGCTCCCCAAAGGATTTAGAATTTAACACATGATCTTGAATGATTCACTTGAGTCATTGCTCATCTATTATAAATTTGAGACAACAACAAAACAGAGGGTTACAAATGGAAGAACTTAGACGTCAGCAGACAATATTTACAGTAGCTTTATCAAAAGATTACAGCAGTGACCTCTTGTGGCTTCTTTAAAAACATGCTGTGCTGGTTACACAGATATAACTGAGAATGTTCTGGTTTCTTACTAAACAGAGGAGGGGTGGCAGCAGTTTTGAATTATCAGTATGTAGTGTTGTCATTGATTCAATTACATGCAACTTTGTTTAACATTTTGTATTAAGTATATCACAATGTTATATTTCAAATAAGCCACCAGAGGGCATCTGGATGCAAGATTTGGGAAAGCGTGAATGCACAACTGGATATAGCTCTAATTGATTTAATTAGAGGCCATTATTACGTTTCATTTTTGTTTTCACCAGTGAAGTAATAACTAAGAATTAGGTTGTATCCAATTTCATCTGTATATTATCACCTGTACTATTTTAATTGTAAAGGCATTTACTGGTCAATGATCACTGGTCTTTCATGGCCAGACAACAGCCCGTGGCTTTATCATAGATGTCGGGGAACAACTGAGCAGAGGGAGATTAGGAAGATGCAGGGATTGGGATGCTAACAATAGCCCCCAGTGACAATGGAGAGAGTGGTCCAAGGGGGGTGCAGTTAAAAAGGGGGACCCAAAATCACAGGAGTCATTCGAGTTTACTCATCCACATTCAACCACTGCCTGAACACTTTTCAGATACTGGTAAGTTCCCTTTGAAATTTTACTCCAGCACATTGAGTATTATATTAGTTAGTACAATTTTTAACTGACATTATAACCTTTTTCCTGTGTTTATGCAGTAAGTAATTCAGTCATCACAAAATAATATTTTAGGCAGCACAACATAAAACTGCCATGCCTACTCTCCCAGGCTTAGGAGCACCTTTTGTGTCTCTTGATTGTTCTTTCTGTTCATTAAAGAAGCGTTCCAGTAAAAATAACAGCGTGGAGACTTGGAACAAGCAGAAGGAGATCTAGATTGTGTATGCATATGAGCAATTTAAAAGTTTGCCATCTATATTTAAAACCAGATTCATGAAAGCATAAGTTTTGATGTACAATCAACCTGTGACTTTACATATCAGTCCAACTTTCCAAAGCATCCTTCAAACAATGGATTTCTTCCAAGTTGGCCAGAGCACAAAGGCTATGGAGCATCTATGAGTTAGAGCTGCTAGAGCTAAGCTAAATCCATGGTCCAGGCCCAGTATACCCCTGGAGAACAATCATCTACCGCAGCTGTCTATCAGATGTCCTGTGTCTATTTGGGGAGACAGGCCACTCTGAATTCCACCTCTCAAGATAATCCACAGTAAAAGATGGGGATATACGCACAGCAGAGAGGGACAAGGGATGGTTATCAGGCAGGAATGTTTCTAATCCATGGCAGACGTGTGCAGCCCTGTAGTGATAGCAGATTTTGGGAGGAGCATTTATGAGGATGAGGAGGCAAGAGAATGGGGGTGAGGTCCAATGAATAAGAGATGATTTAAGATGATTGGCTTACACTTGGGTAACTGTGACACAAATGGTGATTGACCCTACAATATATGGTGTTTAAACAATCTAACAGATGCACTGAGTGTATTTCCCTCCTACAGATAAGGAAAGATGCCAGAGCAAGTGTAAGTCACACTATTCTTTCAGCAAACAAGTCAACATTATTGAAATGTCTAAATCCTATTACCTCTCTGTTACAGGCAAGAGGTAAGAGGAGAAGTCATGTGTTTTCTGTAATTAAACATTTGTATTATGATTCAATGTGTGCTTGTTCTGATAGAGAAAACCAAAGATCTCAGCATCACGCAAGCTGATGCTCAAGGTAATGACAGATAATAATATGTACTTATCAATAATATATAATTCAGTATTTAATACAGTTAATACGCAGTTAAATATGACAAAAGTACTTTACATGGTGTGTAATGTTTTTGTAGAGTTTGATGGTGGCCAAAGCCAAAGAGGAGCTAGAACAAGAAGTGGTGGAGAAGGAGGAGGAGAAGCAGAAGTATCTTTCAGAGAGAGCACCTCCTCTCAACACCAACGTCTTGACTATGGCACAGCTACAGGTGCTTGAAGCGTTCAAATGTTGTAATAAAAAAATAACTCATAATGATTTTGTTTCTGTTGATTAAATATGTGAGAGATTTATTGCTTTAAACTTTGATCCTTAGGATTTGTGCGGAGAGCTTCACTCCAAGATTGATGTGGTTGATGAGGAGCGGTATGACATCGAAGCTAAAGTCATGCTTAACACACGTGAGGTATCAGATCTTTGGGGTGTGTTAACGTTTTCTTCCAGCTCAAGTGCACAGCAATTGCTTTGCTTTTATAGATAGAGAAGCCTGTTTTGCATTAGGCTAATTACTAACAGTTCTACAGTGAAAATAATATGCTCAACAGACTTGTATTTCACGTCTGTGTATTGTTGAGCTCATTCAAAAGTACAGTTGTGTTTCCTGCATTATTAAAGTGGTGGTGGCAATGTCACAGTATTAAATGCCTGCTTTGTGTGTACTTTCAATGGAAATTACATCAACAGGCAGTGTGGCCGTCCCCATTCACGTTCATGCTGAAAAGTGCAGTGTGTGTATGTGTTGATGATTTCAGATTAAAGACTTAAACATCAAGGTTTTGGACCTGAGGGGTAAATTTAAGAGGCCTAACCTGAGACGTGTTCGTGTGTCAGCCGACGCAATTCTCCGCTCTCTGCTGGGCTCCAAACATAAAGTGTCCATGGACCTCAGAGCCAACCTCAAGTCTGTTAAGAAGGAGGACACAGAGAAGGTTTGTACAGTAGGCCACTGTAACCATACTAAGTGATAAAAATAATGGTGAGAAATGTGCATACGGCCTTTAACCACTAAAGTGGTAGCGACACAAGTTAAAACATGTGGAACTGCACACTTAAATGTGTTTATGAGTTTGTGAAAGGTGTGTTAAAGATACTGGGCAGCAGGGCGGCTTGTGTGCTTCAGTTCAACAAAGAACCTTTTGTCTGGAGCTTTTCAGTCCTGCTTGCTTCACTGGTCAGCATCAGCATCAGTAATAATCTCCGTTTAGGGACTAAATCAATGTCCCACATACAATGAACACAGGTTAATTGTTTTTTCATTTAGTATGATCCTCTTTGATGTTGTGTTTCTGTGCTTCTGGAGCAGAAGAGGCCTGTAGAGGACAGCGACTGGAGGAAGAACGTGGAGGCCATGTCCGGGATGGAAGGCAGAAAGAAGATGTTTGATGCTGCAAAGGGCTCTGCCCAGTGAAAAGTTCACACACAATATTAGATGCCACACACCAGTGTCATTTTATCAAATCAGATTAGAAACATATTCTTTACATAATAAAGTTATACATGAAAGTGAAAGCTGGTCTGGATGTGGCAGCTGTGAACACAAATGTATCATCTAACACGTTTTCAAACATTCAAAAATGTCTGCAGAGGGATTAAGGCTCATAACAAGGATTATCATGTGCTGTGGTCTTAAATTATTGGTGTTGATTATCAATGTGTAATGAAAAAAAAATGTTTGTTGTCAATTCAATTCAACTTATTTTGTTTTACCCAAATTTACAACAGCTGTGGTCTCTGAGGACTTTACAAAATTGTCAGTAATGCTTTACTTGTACAATTAACAATTTGCAACAAAGCTGGGATCCAGAATGACAAGCCAACAAACACAAACACACACACACACACACACACACACACACAGCCGAATCTCAGCTTCGTTGCAAATTATTAATTGTACTTTATTACATCAAGCGGCAACTTCCTGTATTTAAACAAAAAGAGGTTCTGTTTTACCTGTGAGGTCAAAGTTTGGCTGTGAATCTGTCGCATGATTGCATGATTATAAAACTGAATTTCCTTTTATTGCTGAGGCTTGGTGTCGCCAACCAATATCAAGATTACACCTATATAGCACTTATATAGCAATGATGGACACAAGAAAATATTGAGCAAATAAAATTGGCGATAACTATAGTTTCTCCAAATGTCATTCATGTAATATACCTTTTACTGCACCTGGGTTCAACACACTCCAGAGTCTTAAGAGGCCATCTGCATGGAGGTCCAGAGTCCACACAATATGATCAAGCAGCTCATAGGTGAAGGGTGGAGTCTCTCAGAGCTGTCTAAAATGAATGCAACTCTACCTTAATACATCCATGAACTCTACACACACATACACGCACACAAACATACCAAAAGAATGATAAAGAGTTTGTTACGTTTAGAATTTTATGTGTAAAATGCAATTGCATAGTATGTACATTGCTACTTTGCTATAACGTTTGTTTACTTACCATTTATCTTTTTCCAACCAGATACAATTGTTGGAATTATCAAAGTGGACCAATAAAAGCTTGTATTAGATAAAACAAAGTCAGATGACTGATTACAGTGCATTATTTGATAACAGTTGTATATAGTTTTACATGTTATATGTTAAGTTATCTATAAGGATTTGGGGTGCAAGACCTTTCTTGGTGGAGTTTGCATGACTCCTCCAGGTACTAAAACATGTTGCATACAATAGGCTCGTTCCCTAAGGAACCCAGACTCCCTTGAAAAGCAGACTATACAAGTTCATTATAACATTTAGACAAATTATTTACCATTCCAAAGCTTCAAATGGGGACTCAATGGGATCTCTCTCACAAATATTCACATCCCACCATGTAAAGATGTATGAGATGATGTATACAGTATGGCGTGATCTGGTTTTATTTTACAAAACTATTTATTTTTTGAATTAAATAAATAAATTGTATATGTTGATTATGAAGCAGACTAACCCAGAATAAAGTACCACGACATTTAAGTAGTTGTACATTGCAACTTGTAGGCATTTAAGCAACTGTAGTTGCAGCTAACAGCTAATTATTGACTTATCAAATTAAAGCCAGTCTTCTCCAAAACTGCAGCATATATAAAACGTGATGCAAAGCTCAGGCTGTGTTCTCTTTCCTTTTAGCCGTACAGTTGGCTTTGACTCAGGTGCGCACTTTACCTGCGCTCCTGGTCACGTGACGCAGTGCGCTGGGCTCACGCTGCCGTGTCGCCTTCAAAGAGCCACTCCACTCTTTCTTTGCTCTCTCCGATCCTGTTGTTGGAATCTACTTTTTTAGCTTTTATCGCGGTTGAAGAAATGTCAATAAGTCGGAAAAATTGGTCCGCTTTGTCCAGGTAAGGCTTCAATGTTAAAAGTAGCACTTACTATCTTGTCCTAAACACTCATAGTTTATACTTAACGTGACTATAGTCTTTGAGCTGGAACGATGGTTGTTCATCGGCAAAACATGTATTTTAACAGTCGATTGTCACCCCCCTGAGCCAGAAATGGACAAATGGGAAGAAAATGGATGGATGGATATTAGAAAAATATGTTAATGATTACAAGTTGCACTTTACAAAGGAGAAGCCATATTTTACTGCAACACAAATAAAGTTCCATCCCTTCTTGAACAAATGCACTGCTGATAACAAAACATGTTGAAGAATCTAAGGAATAGCCAAAAACGTTTTGACACATTTTCAAAAGGAGATATCTGTTCTTGCAAATAAACTTTTTGTATGATTTATAATGTACGGTATTATTTTTAAAGTCTACTCAAGACCAGACAGTTTTACCATTGACTACAAATTAAGGTGCAGGAGGTAAACTGGTACAGCAGGTTTGGTATATCACCGTTATACAGTAATCTCTGAATTAGTTTAGTGATAGTGTCACAATGCTACACTCAAACTCAAATTCAAAAAAAGATACCAAGTGGCTCAACTCTATACACTATGTTGTTTAATGAAGAACAATACTTTTTATGGGACCACAAGTTCCACTGATTTAGCTTAAAATTTATTAAAAGATGCAAAATTTAACATTTGGTCTTTTGTATCCCAAATTGGCATCTAGTGTCATAGTTTTAGTATCTGTAACAACCCTATAGTTCATTTAGCATTTTTCTCCTATGTCCTAACATTTGCTTTTCTGTTTGGTCAGTCTGGCTCGGCGCTGGACCATGGAGGATGAAGAGGAGGTTGAGAGGGAGAGGAGGAGAAGGGTGCGGGGGTCAAGCTCCTCTAATGACCCAGACCATGTCTTTGATTCAGAGCATCCAGGGCATGAGGCAGGGGCACCCTCAGGTTACCAGGTTCTCAGCAGGTCTGTTCAATAAATCAAGTTAAGTTCTTTTAAGTGGTTTTTAAGTTTATTGGATTTGTTTTTTTTCCGCGATTTCAGACATAGAATAGGCCTGTCACCAATCTTGTGTATGAAATGTCTTTATCTGTTTTCATGAAACTTCTTTAGATCTACCATTATTATTTTGAATGTTTACCTTTGATGCCTACATGTTTCTTTAAGCAATGAAGAATGACAGCCATGCATACCTTGTGTTGCCAACACCTCCTTTGCTTTATATGGATATGGATATGAATATATGGATGCTGTGATATGGATCACTTGTATGTGATCCATATCCTGTAATAACTGAACCACATGGTTCAGTTATTACAGGGATGGACATTTCTGAGGTACAATTACATTAACAGAGGAAGCTTATGATATTGACACTTTTGCCTGTGGGACTGTGTCATGTGTATCTATTTCCAAAATGTGAAAAATGTCAACCTGAGATCTGATATTGTCTTCAAAGGTACAGTTTACATTGGTACAGTAACTAAATCTGATAGTATACAGTGAAAGGCCTTTAGCTTTCATGCAGTGTACAGTACACTGTACACCTCCAGGCAGAATATAACACAGTATTTTAGTGACTGATGATCAAAGTCATGTTTTGCCTGTTAAATGTATCTCTTTATCTTGCTGTGGGGGTCCTGACCATATCCTGGCCAAGCCCGACACTGCTCTAGCGCTCCCAAGTGAAAAGTGAAGCTTACCTATACATACTCTGACTCTGCAAAACTAATATTTTGAACTTCCATCCATCCATTTTATTCCCCTTAATCCATGGCAGTCACAGCTGCACCTAATTCAAAGATCTCCAGCCCTTAACATATTTTGAACTTATTGTATACAATAATGTAAAGTAAGTATCCACCATAAAGTTATAGGTAATGCTTCTTCCCTTTGATTGGTCCAATCCACATGTCACTCACTCAGACTGAGGCCAATAGGGGATATGGAGGAAGATTAGATTTGAATAAAGAGGAGCATTAAACAGGATCATAATACGGAAGTTATTTGAAAATAGCTTGTTGTCAAATTACTCCGATTAGTATTTTTTCACTCTGTACATGGTTTAGCCAGAGCTACCCTGGGGTAGAAAGATGGAAGCGAGGCTGCAATGGACCCATCACTGCAGTCACACTCATAATTCCAACTCTGCAAAATGGATCAAGTGTCTTGCCTAAAAACACCTCAGTGGAAAACTTTGGCCACTCCTTAGTCATTCAAATTCTTTAAGATACCCTACTGTCGAATATTTTTGCCTGATGCATATTTGTGCTCTCAGTGCAGAGCAGACGCAGCTGGACTTTATGGAGATGCTCCGATCGCGAGACGAGAGGCGGAGGATACGACATGTGGAGACTTTAAGAAGGCAGAAAGAGGCTGTGGATGCAGATGATGATGATGTCTCTGCAGAGCCCAGAGTAGAACTGCAGGGAGACGTGGAAGAGGCCCAGACAACAAAAGCCGAGCTGACAACAAAAGTCATGCCTAAAGCTACCGAGCTGACGACAAAAGTCATGCCTAAAGCTACCGAGCTGACGACAAAAGTCCCGTGCAGCACCAGAAGCAGCACCAGAAGCAGCACTAGTAGTGAGACCAGCAGCAAAGACACAGAGGTAAGATCACAACTGTTATGTGTGGATTGAGCTATTAAAACGAAAGCAATCAAAAGGCAATATTTGGAAATGTATTGTCTCCTTTGAGAATAAAGGTCAATGATGTAATTTACCCCACGCAGAAGCTAGTTAATTATCGACCAAAAGGCAACAGTATTCCACTGGGCAAAGCATTTGACCAGCATTTGAAGTAGTAGTAGTAAATGTTTAAAGCTGGTGTAGATATTTTTCAAACCACAAAAAATTTTTTGATGTAAAAAAAATATATGATTTTTTTTACATCAAAATCAATCATATATATATGATTTTTTTTCTTTAAAGTTTAATGCCCCAGGTTGAAGTTAGTTCTTTTAAACAATTCTTAGTTTTGCAAATCATCCCTGTTTTGATAAGAGAAAATACACAATGCATTCATCTTTATCTTTTTCATTACACACCTGTGCCCACAGTATACGGTTATGCAACTGAAGGTGTGGTCTTGCACTAAAGCCTCTATGCTCACTACTTTCCTTTTCTGCTTCTCTTTTTGTTAGTTTGAAAACGGGAAGTCGTCACTCAAAGACCATGATCCACCAGCAACATCAAACTCGGCCCGCAAGTTTGTCAGGTTGATATGGTCTTGATTTTGTAATGCCGGTATTTGCAAGGATTACTGTAAATCAAACATGTCTACAGATAAGAAAAGATTTGAATCAGAGGAAGAATAGAGGTACACACGAAGCTTCCGTAGGAGTCATTTTCAATAGAAACTCTCTGAATGAGTTATGGGTTGGTATTCAACACCAGGGTGTGATAGGTTCCTCTGGAAACTAATGCCATTTACAGTGTTTTGGTATGTAGTTTCTTATGATTTTCCTATACTTCATTGGTTGTCCGGATAAGATTTTTTTTCTTAGATATATATCAAGGGAGACAGAGACTGTGCTAGTGGAGGAGTGAAATAACGTTTGTATCATTTACAGAATTATTCAAACCAAATTAGGCCTGTGTCATAAAGTGATACTTTAAGCAAAGTAGAAGCTACAAAAATGCACAATATTGTCACAATAAGTAATGAGTAATAAATGTGTAATAAGAAAGTAATAATAATGTAATAGGCTAGTAATCACAAGTCTAGTTTTGGCTCAAGGAGGGAGTGGCAGGAGACTGAAAGAGTTTACTGTTTACACAATGTAAACAGTAAATAGAATAGAACCTAGCCTGTGGCACAGTTCATTGGTAACCCACTCTGGGTTGACCAGGGGAGGCGGTGCACAAGAGCTTGTGAGGTGTGGCTGAGGGGGTGAGCAAAAGTTCTGTGCAAAGTGGAGAGAGAGTTTGTGGGCTGCAAGGAGCCCCCTACCGGCCAGCAGGGGAGATGCGAATATGCGATTCAAGATCCAGTGAGCTCTGTAGGCTCTAGGCCTAGTCCTTCAGCTCGCCATGAGGGTCAAAACCTTTAGAACAGGACCAAAGCTTAAATCAAGCTGTATGGCACGGGCTGTACTGTAATTTATCATTCAGTACAATTATCAAACAGTAAAAGTATATAAATATTCACAATGTATATAAACATAAGGTACTAGCTGTAGTCATGATCATAAAGAGTATAAATCAAAAATTCAATAAGTTCAATAAACAGTCTATAGGTTAAATAATTAATGCATTTATAACCTCATGCAATAACATTCATGTATAAAGGCAAAACATCAGAAGAGTGATAGAAACAAGCATAAATGCTGCGTGCATCTAACCAATCCACAAACCAAAAGTAATGTGACTAGACATGGCTGGGCGAAAGTATGAATTCCTTGTATTCCTTCTCACAAGCGACATCATTCAATTGACACAAATAGAAGGTTCCTAAATTAGGTAAGTTAAACAATAAACATAAAGCGGAATACAAAAAGCAACAAACAGTAAATGTGAGCACACTACACACCTGCAACAACTCCCTAAGCCCCAATGATCCAAGATGGTGTCCTTTTCAAATCAATGGCTTGTCCTCAGTAGGGGCCGAACGATTAGCGGAACTCGCCCATATTTGGGCATCGTCGGGTCCTCCCGGTTTTAGGCAGTGGACAAGCTCCCATGATGCTTTGCGCTAAATACTGTATGCTTGTGTGACTCTCATGCACGTGCACAGAAGGGCTTGGCCGCGCTCTGACCAATTAGAGCTGCTGATCAGAGAAGCGGTAGAGCGGGGAAAAATCTAGTACAGTTTGTGGTAGTAAAGTGTGGATTTAAAGAAAACCGAAGGATTTAAGAAGAAAAAAAAAATCAGAATGACAAGAGACTCTGAAATCACCACAAAATATGATCTTTATGAAAACTGTAGGTTCTCTGTCGAGCTTTTTTAGTTTACATTGAGTTCTATGGGACTTTTTTCTGGGTAGCCCAGGTGAATTTAGTCTGCAGTACCTTGGACGCCCCCTGTGCCCATGGGTGGGACAGCTATAAGCTAGTTATACCCTATCCATTCTAGTCCTACTGTACCTGCTTTCTTCTGACCAATAATCAGAATCAGAATAAGAATCATTGTATTGCCATGTGAGTAACAGGAAGTCACAAACTAGGAAATTGCTTTGGCTCTCTGTGCAAACAAGTTAAGCAGAATAAAATCAAAGGCATGCATGAATAAAAATCTACATAAAAGATAAACGTCTACATAAATGTCTTCAGTTTACTATATACAAGTGAAATATGATTGGCCAATGAATGGGGGGAAACAATGGGGCTTTTAAAGTGGCAGAACACAAGCAGGATTTGTCACCTGGGTTGCATGTTCATACTTTTTTTAATGAATACCTGTAGCAGTAATGTTCATCATAATAATGATTGTGATGAAATATTCAATATCAGTTTGGATGAGGTTCCTGATTCTCAGTAAGAAATACAAAATAACCATAAAGTCTTTAGTTTTACAGTGATGCATCCTAAGTTTTCCCTATTAACAAGCACAAGTACTCAATATTATGAATAAAACATCTATTGCATTAACAAGGGAAACATTTATCAATAAAAGCGGAGGTATTTAGCATTGCAAATTAACTTTTGTCTTTTAAACTCCATGTATTTGTTTGTGCCTTTTGTGGAACAGTTCTGTGTCCATTTCACTTGACAAGAGTCCGTCCTCCAGTGGTCGCACAACTCCCATGAGCCCGCGCTCCCCGATGGCTCCTCTGTCCCCTCTGTCCTCACGAGCGCCTCCAAGCCCTTTTCAGAATGGACACACACAAGAGGTACAGCCAAAACTATACTCCTCATTATAAAATGAATATTGAATATTCACACACTCGAGGGGACATAACATAAAAATTATCTCATATTAGAAATTTCTAAGACTCTAATAATCACAATATAATCACAATACAATCATACAATTATTTTCTTATAGAGGAGAGGAATATTTAGAACAGCCCCTTCTTGTGTCTGAAGCTTGAGTCATGACTTTCTTTTATGTATTACCAAACATTCAAATGTTTTTTTTATCCCTCCAAGAGCAATGTAAATGGGTCATCTCAGTTTGAACCAACATCTAAACCTGCATTTGTCAGACAGAGCTCCAGGACAATCTCCTTCAGGGTAAAGGGCTATTTCACAGATTGTTCAACATGTATATCTGCTGCTCTTAAGTGATTACAATATTTCTTATGTTGCAACAAAGTTAATGAAAAAGAAAGAAGAGGAGACTTCACCACTGCAGAGGAGGTAATGGTCCCTTGTCAACATAACATATTTCCCACTGATTCAAAGCTCATAATCTGTTTGTGTTTTGTATAGTGCAAGTGTCAGAATTGCCTCCAAGAAGTTTGAAAGAAATACAGTAAGACTAATATGATATATAAATATTTAAGTAACTTTCGTTTCATCCTTTTATTCTTGTTGTCGTTTTAGGAGCAAACCCCAGAGGTAGATGTGGCGTCATCCTTTCAAAGAAAGTGGGTTGATGTGTTAACATGGAAACCCATTATTGAGATAACTGATATTCCTTTGTGTTTTTATTAAGCTCTAGGCAAAGGATTTCATCCAGGTCCATTCAGGAGAAGATGGAGAGACTGGCCCAGGCTGCACAGGTTTTTAGACTGATGCTTTTTTATTTTTTTATATATATATATTGTTTTCATATTACTGGGCCTGTTTGCAGAGGTCAGAGACAGTGCGCTCCCCGGACGTTTCCCAGAAGACTCTGTCGATGATGGAGGAAGTGTCCAGAAAGAGAGGCCTTTTTGAGCAGCAGCAGGATCAGGGCCTTGTCAGCAGACAGGTACAGACTCAGGCCAGTCATCACAAATATTGCATAATACCAGTAGTTCTCAAACATTTCAGTAAAGAACCTGAAAAATATGTGTGAAATCAACTGGAATGAAATGGAATGTCAACATAATTATTTTCTTTATAAAGTCAGAGTAGTTAAAGCTGACCATGTGCATCTTTGTTTTTTTTACAGGAGTTTAGAAACATAAAAACTGGAATGTCTGAGCGCATGAATAAGTGGATGAATAAGAGCAATGAAACAGGAGCGACACACAGCCCCTCGGTCAGTGAAAAGAGACTTTTCATTGATAAACATTCTCACGTAAAACATTAGTCCAACCTGGAGTGGAGCATAAGCATTCTATTGCGCAACAACATAATATGGCATTCAGCGTCCACTAGATGGCACTGGTGCTCTCGGAAACAAAAGGCGTCAGAATTGTTGTCTACATTTTCAGTATGACAATGTATTCCTTAAATTAATGTCTTGCAGGATTTGAGGCACGTGGACATCTCGAGTAAGAAAAGTCTGTTTGAGAAGAAGGTTGAAAGCCCCGGGAAGATATAAAGGTAGAATTGAACGGAACCCTACTTTAGTGCTACTTCACTTGTTCATTGACAGATTTTTATGCTCTGAAAATTATCTTTTAACACAATTTTTTATGTTATTTGACAGGTGCAATCCATGGAAGAGCCACAGGAGGAAAAGAGATGGACTGATTGTTGCTTTGAACTTGTGTCTCTGTGCATTGTGAAGAAAAAGCCCTTTTGCAATGAGAAATCTTCTGTAATAATTTTGCAGTCCTGCTGAGAAATCAATGAATGTTCTTCTTTGTTCTTGGTCTATTACATAATGTTGTGTTTTATATTCTTTGCAATCCAAGCACTTTAAACCGGTGACGGTTATAACGTGATTCAACAATGAAATACTATTGTCTTCCAAATCTTATACATGTCCTTGTATGTGCCATTTTAGCGAATAAATATTTTATAACACCTTATTTGAGCCTGTTATAGCCTGACTTATCTCAATGTGGAGAGTGAATGTCTGTGTTGTGTCAGTGTTTTATCACATCACGGTTTACCAATGCCTCCTTATTAGGGCATGCTGATAAAATGACCTCTTTAGTTATTTATACCACAACAAGAGGTCTCAAAGATATTGTCCCTCCACAAATTCCTTCCAACGCTCCCAGGTCCTGTACTGCTCCAGTGCAGAGTGTGCAAGGTGTGAGGAGCAGTTGTACTCATTGCCGGTAAGTTTGCGATGCCCTTTCATTCACCCAGACATGTTTTACATTTAGAGCAAGTGTATTAACTGTGGAAGAGAATAACTACTGTGTTCATAATTCGTTTGTGTTTTTAATTTTTAGAGTTTGTTTTGGGGCGCACAATATCTCAGCATCATGTCAGACACAGAGGAGGTGATGGAGGAGTATGAAGAGTAAGTCCATACGTTGCTTTTACAAGTTGTGTGTCGCAGATTCCTCACATAAGATAAAAGATTGACAGAATGCATTGTGTATTTCTTATGGTATGGACGTGTAATATGTGTTTGTTTTCTTTTGACAGGGAGGTGGAAGGTAAGACAGGCTTAGAGCTGATGCAAAGACAAAGGCTGTGATATGTGGGGTGGTTAAACAGGACTATTTCATCAAGACAATTCCCACAATGGACATTTTGAAGCCCCCTTCATGATGAATATATACATTTTATTATGATCCTGTTCCAATTATTCTTAATGCAAATAAGATTGAAATATGTGTTGTTTTTTCTTGGTGACATTCTTTTGTGATGAAGAAGAGGCAACTGAAGGTATGCAGCATATATTCATATTCACATATAACGGCTGAAATTGCAGCAACGGACCGGGAAAGGAAAGTCATGGAAATGGATAATGATAGCCTTAAAGCTCGAGTACCTGCCTTTGAAACAAAAAATAATAATAATAGTAATACAATCTGTGTGAGTAATTCTGCGCTCTCAAAGGTTTGGTTCTATCACTAGTTTTCACTTGCATGAATTTACATTTGTCAATTCTTTAGATCAGCTTTTTCAGGTAGAAAAGTGAGAAAATAGGATTTTATAAAAGTTAAAAGGTCTTCTGATTAGTCTGAAGAGTAATAACCAACACATTATCTTTCATTTTCATCTTTAACACATTTGAATATTATAAAAATACTAAATACAATGCAATTTGTGAGAATGTCATAAATTATCCGATGTTATCTGCCCCACACAACACGGAAGGATCCTCTCATGCATCAGTGTATCTGTGGTTACCAACTGTACTTTTATGACTTTTCCACAGTCTGATGTTATCACACTTTAATAATACACTGTTTATTTTTCTTTTTTCTCTTTAATGCATAAAGCTGTCGTAATATGTTTTTTGGCTGCGTCTGCTGTGTGTTTTATCAACAGTGGATCAGGAGGCAGAGGAGCAGGAGGAGGGGCCGGAGGAGGAACAGGAGGAGGGTAAGATACAGTGGACTATCATCAAAGGCCCCCCACAATTACTGAATTTTACAAACCTCTTTCAAGTTTCTGCCTGTTCTGACAATAAAAATATATATCACATTACACCTATTGAAAAAGGACTTCTTTGGCCCGTGATCCCCTCGCACGGATTGTCACAGTGTTGCATTCATTATTTGACCAGCTGAAATAATAATAATAAAAAAAGTTCTATATAGATAATTACATTGTCAGAAACATTGGTATACTTTCATTTAAATTGGGTTTCTTTTGTCAGAATGCTATGCCTCCCTAGTGAGATGTCATAGAACTTCTCAAAAGGGTCTTACAAAAAAGAAATTCCTAAAAACCTTGTTGTTAGCAGTTAAAATTATGTTCCCACCCATAGTCCAGGGACTATGGGTGGTAACTGACCTGGCACATGCATGGACGTCGGAACTATTTTCTGAGAGGGGGGGCGGGTTTTTGTTGGGAGAGTCGAGGGAGAGACTCATACTTGGATTACACTGGATAATAACATACCATCTTAATTGTTAAGAAAAATAAACAATATATATCAAGCAAGTCACTTATCAAACTGAACTTTTTTTTTTTCAATACGCATTCATGCGTCAGTCTCTCCGGTGGCTTCATTGTGTTGTGTAGCCCAGTGACGTGCGGTCAGATGAGGCAGGTAAGGCCCTCACCTAAGATCATAGAAAGAAAAGTAATATAATGGATACAATAATGTTTGGTCACTTTATCAAGTGATTTGTGCTGTGCCTTATTTAATTTATTTATACCTTGAAATCGCAGATTTGACAGAGCGGTGCTGTGAGGCGAGCCTCTCTTGGGAGACGTAAAAAGCAACAGCTCACAGGGAGAGTCCTGTGAGGTGCTATCAAACTGTTTTCTCTGTTTATCACAGTTTAAAAAGTTCAAAAATATTTAATTTACAATCAACATGTTTACATTTAAGAGGATGGCTCATAAATTGTGTTTTTGAAGCAAATATGGGTCTTAATCGCGCTCAACCACAGCTTGTAAGTGAGGAAAGCCTCAAGGGGGCGCTTGTGAGCCCAAACTTTGGCTGCATCCAATTCCATCAGAAAGCTCCTTTCTTGTTCTTCTTCTGCTAAGGGCAGCTACAGGTTTGGCTAACATACCTATAATACATTTTAAGATAATTTAAAATGCACTTAGAGTAATGTTTTGCTTCCAATGATGATATGAATCATAAGAAAAAGAGGTGAAGGGTAAGGTTGAATTTAGAAATTGGATTTACCCGGGAGTCGGCTGCAGCAAAACTCGCAGTTTACGGAGGAGACACCCGTTTTTTTTTACTTTTTAAAACTCATTGAACTTATTTCCAAATGGAGGATTACATGTCTGTGCTCAAACTATTATCTGGACTTAAACATGAAACTGGTCCTAACTGAAGTGGTCTGTGCTGTTCATTAACACCTAAGGTATAAGGCCCATAACACACTTTGTACTTTTTACAAACGTTTGCGTTTTGTATGAGAAAACTATGCAGACATTAAATCATATTCTGCTGTAGCCAAACAAATTGTGTATAAGCCGCTCCTGTTCCTGTAGGTCCTGTTGGTTTATATGATGTATAATCATATGAACACATGATTGATCCCCCACCGCACGTCACTGGTGTAGCCAGGTCTTTAATCTGCGCAAGGCTGAGAAAGAGCGCTCAGAGGCTGCGACAGATATTAGCCAGACAGAGCTTCATAAGCACCTCCGACAGCATGGAGCGGGTTTTGGGCTGCAAGGAACGCAGGATAGTGATAACTTCTCGCTCCCGGCACACGCGGAGGGGGTGCGGCCGCACCCCCCGCACCCCTAGTTCCGACGTCTATGGGCACATGACGTTTTATTTTACAAGGTTCCCTGATCAAATACATGCATTCTAATTGTATGTGGGCAAACATAAACATAAACATGAACTGAATCTGTCCTCTCTTGTCACTCAAATACAACTGAGGAAAAAGGCTAAAGTTTAGGAAATGATCTGTCACCTTGTTGATATTTTATACAGGTGATCCGTGTTTGCTTTAGTGTGTGAACCTCAGCTCTAAATCCTAGCCTTATGAATACAGTAATTGTTTCCAGAGATTGTGTCAGCACTGTTAGCAGAGGCAGCAGATCAGATTACAAAGTCCTCTTTTTTCCGCTTGTCAATCTGACAGTTTAATTCAAGGCTTTAATAAAAACTGAAACACCATGGTTCCACACAATTTGAGAGCAGAAACGTAATGGATATGTGTAGAAATTATACACCCCTACGCTAAGTTTATCTGTTTAACCTGGAGAACAAGTTGACACAAGAAATGTATTCTGTAAATGCATAACATTTATGGATATTGCCCATGCTGCTCCCTATGGACCAATGGATCCAATGTGGCTGTTTTTTTTATTGCATTTCCTGTGTTCAAACAGTTTGTTCCTATCTCGTATCAGCAATGTTGCAAAGAGTCCTCCAAAACGACTGCTGTTGTGATTTGGCCACATAAAAAAAACATTGAATTGAACTGTGATTCTATTGTTCATCCCTTCTGAGACAAAACATCTCCTCTAGTGGGAAAAAGTGTCATTTTAAAACATTTTTGTGTCAGGAATATTCATTGTAGACGGCATGCTCACTGTTTGTTATCACAGGACATATTTATGTAGCTGCTTTTAAGGATTTGAATATTACTTCTGCTGCACGCTAACAAGGTGTCTCGTCAAGAGAAATGGTGAGACAGAAGTAAAGCAAAACAGCATTAGTGTTTAGCAGTAAACAGAAAAGTTTTACTCTGAAAAAAAACAATGGATCATTCATTGATTATGATAATAGGCAAAATATCTTAAAGGAATAGACTTGCAAAAAATGGAAACTGAGCCAATGGTAGCCAAACTTAATTCAGAAAGCGTTGGGCATGAAATCAATTAAAGTAAAATAAACCAAGGTAACAAGTCTCTGGTCAGTGAGTCACTGCAGCCACTAATGTGATAACTGTAATAAAAAAAATACAAAACAAAGATACAAAATAATACTAAACTACCATAAATGTGCTATTTCATGGTTTGCAGAGGCTCCTGAAGACGAAGACGCCGCTGCTGCAGAGGATGAAGAGGAGGTCAATGAGGAAATGGGTGAGACTATTTCTAAATGTATTAAAACATCGGGTCGCTCGTGACTGATCTGTGCTGAGACAGCTCTGTGTCTGTCTTAGTCACTGCACAGTCACATTAGTTAGGTACCTCCCAGTCCTCCGGCTAATCCATTATTCACAATAAGGATTTACTTTAATCCCTTTTGATGAAGTTATAATTATGATCTATTTGGTGAGGAAGATGGTTCAGGGTGTTTCAAACTGCAATCGCTTTCATTTGTCTGTGACTTGTCCAAGATCTTTGTTTACTTTAAACTTGCTCTAAACTCTTCAAGTAATGACACAACAGAATTTAAACTAACATCAGTTAAGAAACATATTAAATGTCTGCTTTTGAAAAACATTTCTTTGCATGATACAGTACTTTTATGCAAATTCTAATATGCATAAATACACGATTGGTTCATGCAAAATAACAGCTATTTTCTAAATGAGGAAAAACAACACGGAAGCTTCTTGTTCCTTTGATAATTCTCGTTTTAATTAAAAAAAAATAATGATGGATGACATTTCCAACTGGAAAACTAGTATTTTTTCTCACGCACAATGATTTTGTTTCCTGCATGAGCATTTAGAAACACTGAAGTCTGAACCTGGGTATAACTAGATCAGGGATGTCAAAGTCAAAAACATCAGAGTCATTATTATTGCCCCACTATATTGCATTAGCATCAGTGGCTAAGGCTCAATCATGGGTCTATTATTATATGGGCTCAATGCATTTGCACAGCCCACTACAAGTTAACTTTTTTCCATAGAATATCAAATTCCCGTTTCCCTGAGCTTGGCAATATATACTATTGTTTTTGTTTGTTTTTTACAAAAATGAGGTGTCAAGAAGAGGCCACAAATTCTCAATCTATGGAACCTGCTCATTATCACAGAGCGAGGATGTGTGGAGTGTTGCTACATGTGTGATCAAAGCAACGTTTCATGTCTGACTAGAAATCTGAACTGTTTGGATCAGAATAGGCATACTGCAGTTGTCTTCTCTTTTTTGAATTATTTGAGAGAGCTTGTGAATTTTAGTTAAAAAAATAAGAAAATGAAGCGTTATAATAGGGCCACATTAAAATGAAAATGTTTGCATGTTTCAGACGAAGACGCCGAGGATGGAGATGGTAACACAATGAAACCACCTTTTTTAAATAAATCCCATATTTAAGTGGTAATGTGATCCGTTTTTGCTACAGAGGAAGAAACAAAACCAAAACACAAGTGAGTAAACAAGCATACATGTGGTTGGGTGGAGCAGTATTACAGGAAAGATGAGTCATAAACACACTCTGATTGAATTGTTGTTGGATACGTGCATTTATCACACATTTGTGCCGCTTCATTGGGTTTCCAGGCCATTTATCATGCCCAACCTGATCCCGCCGAAGATCCCAGATGGAGAAAAGGTTGATTTTGATGTGAGTTTTTTGACATAAAGAAAATTCCTTAAGACTATCACAAATTTAAAGGAGAAATATGTAAGATGTTCATGTCAAGTCATCATTAAATGGCCCTAATATGTCAAAAGGCAGTACTAAAACATGTTATCATCAAAAACTTCTTTAACTGATAACAGTAGTTCAACCGAGATGTTTGGAGTTCAAAATTGGATTTACTGCCCCTAAATCTTGTTGTTGTTTTCATTTCGATGTAATGCCCTCCACTGTTTTACCAATCAGAAAGTCCGTGATCCGGGTTGCCAGAACTCACCACGTGCAGCTTATTTTACTGGTAAAGTAACATGTGGCCGCAGCACTAAAAAAAAGGTTGTGTAATATTCTCAAATTATAAATGACAAAACAAGGAATAAAACCAGGATTTCTATCTTTGTGAAAAAGGTGTTGGTTATAGATTTGTTGTTGACAATATTCTTTATTCAGATATTATGGTCCCAGCTGGATTCATCTGCATATCTGGCAACCTGAGTCAGGGAGAATGCAGTACCACTTTTGGCCAGATTTTTACATACTGCTCCTTTAACCTTTGTAATGGACACACTCATTCATGCAGGTGACACTTAATATTCTGTTTAGGACATACACCGCAAACGGATGGAGAAGGACCTGATGGAGCTCCAGACTTTGATTGAGGTCCATTTTGAAGGCAGGAAAAAAGAAGAGGAAGATATCATTAATCTCAAGGAGAGAATTGTAAATGCAAAACCATCTGCAAATCAAGTCCAAAAGTTGCTGGTTTTTTAATTGTGTGTTGCACAGGACAAAAGGCGTTCTGAGCGCGCGGAGCAGCAGAGAATCCGCAGTGAGAGAGAAAAGGAGCGGCAGAAGCGACTTGAGGTACACACAAGTCATGACCATACAGCAAGTCATTTTTTATTTGATTATTAATGATCTACATGAAATACATTTACCACAGCCAAACATATAAACACATATCTGTTTTTTTACATTTACGAAAAAGTGGATTAAAATAATAATAATGATAATAATTCGTCAATAAAAGACAGATTAACCAATGTTTAATCAATCAATCAATCAATCACATTTTATTTATAACGCGCTTTTCACACAAAAGATGCAACACAAAGGGCTTTACAGTTTGGTTAAAAACAATCCCGCCGGCCCATGACCCCTACCCCAGACCACCCAACAGACCCACCCCAAACCACAGACAAACACACACACGCACTCATGAACACTCATACACACACACACACACACACACACACACACACACACACACACACACACACACACACACACCAGTAAAACAATAAAACCATGATGAGAGACTTGGCAGGGTTCAGATGCAACCAGCTGAAGAAGCGTCATCCAAGGAGCCGTCTGCACCAGGAGCAGAGAGCCGCCCGTAGCCACAGGGGACGACACAGGACCCAGAGGAGACATGAAACCGAGGCCCCAGGACCCCATCAGGCCCAAGAGTCCGACCCCCGCAGCCACACCGACCACTGCTCCTGATTCTTCACTAATTTCACATCACTGTCCTATTACTACAGAGGATAGCCAAAATGAGGAGAACAGGAGCTACAGCTTATGTAATGCATGTCTTTACAAATTAGAAAATAAAGTTAGATCAATCTGAGCTGCATTAAACAGGAAATGTGTACATCTAAATTTCATGATTTAAAACGGTACGGTCACAGGTGGTGGCTAAACCATCTGATTCTCAATTCCATATCGCCCAGATCTAACATGACCATCATTTATATGTCTTGTTTAAAAGAGGCCGACACAACTTCAAACAGTAACCACTTTCTCAGATTCAAAAATTAAACGTTAAGGACAAAATGTACATAACTTGCATTGAAATGTGTTGTTGGTTGATTGATAGGATGAAAGAACTCGTAAAGAAGAGGAGGAAGCCAAGAAACGAGCTGAGGATGATGCTAAGAAAAAGAAGACGTTGACAAGTCTGCATTTCGGAGGTTACATGCAGAAACTGGTAAATGTCATGATCTCCGTTTAATGCACAGGCAGCAGCCATGTCACCATGTGTCACATACAAGGTGTGTTCAGAATTACATCACTGGGAAGACTCTTCACTTTATCGTCATGACATTTGGGAGGTACTTCCTAAGATTAGAATTTGAGATGAGAAAAATATGATAGAAATTACACACATTTTACTACTTCTGCTTCACCAAACTTAAACATTTTTTACATTCACTTATTTCTTAATGTGGTAATTTTACATGGGATAAAGCAAAGGAAGGTTTCTCACCCATCATCTGTACTTCTTTTCCAGACGTTTCGTCCTCAATCCAAAGGACTTCTTCAGGGAATGAATTCTCAGACCGCGCGTTGGAGATTTATAACCTATGGGTTAGCCACACCCTAATCCTGATACTAACTCACTGATACTAACTCATAAACAATCTAAGGTTGTTTATGAGTTCCTTAGATTGTTTATGAGTTAGTATCAGTGAGTTAGTATCAAGATTAGGGCATGGCTAACCCAAATCTCCAACGCTCGGTCTGAGAATTCATTCCCTGAAGAAGTCCTTAGGATTGAGGACGAAACGTCTGGAAAACTTGCTAAGAAGTACAGATGATGGGTGAGAAACCTTCCTTTGCTTTGACTAATCCCTGTACGACTGAGGGCTTACACAAATTTACATGGGATATTTTTTGTTCTTCCACTACTGGTAATAAGATCAGGTTAGGTTCCGCTTGCTCACCACACCTGTGATTAACAATGCATGTAACATTTAGATATTTCTTCTGACAATGTTTCTTCAAATGAGTTTAAGTGGAGTTTGTTTTTTATTCACAGACAGAAAAGCGCAGTGGGAAGAGGCAGACGGAGAGAGAGAAGAAGAAGAAGATCCTCAGCGACAGACGAAAACCCTGCGATGTTGAACATTTAAGTGAAGACAAACTCAAGTGGGTTCAGTTCATCTACTCGTTTTGTCTGTGGAATTTTTTTGGCTAAAACTCATTATTCATGGATTTCAGCTTCTGTTCCATGCAACAGTGAGAATGTGTTACCCATTCATAAGAAATGATTGTTTTATAAAAAAAAATTTAGTCCTTCTAAAAAGTTTTCATGTCCCATACATATTCTCACATTTGTCTCAGTTTGAACGCAATGATAGTCTTTCACCAAAAATAATCAAAAATTGTACATCAAAGTGGAAAAAAATATTGATTTAGTGTGTTACTGGCAAAAGCATTGCCTAATGAACTACCCCAGTCTCATCAGGAAAACAGCAAATCTGTGAGATTCGACAAGAGAATGTTGGTCACTAAAGATCATGGAGTCCAAGAAACCCGCTGAGAAGTCAGAGATTAAGTTGGGTAAACGTTTAAAGTGTTGTAAGGTTATTTAAAAATATACCCACAGGTCCTCCACCTAGACTGTGGGAGTGGAAAGTATGGCACAATTGCAAATCTACCAAGAAATCTCTCTTAACTAGCAGGTCAAGCAAGGAAAACAGTGTTCAATTTAAGCTACAAGAAGTCAAGCGGTGGATACATTTTTTTCAGCAAGGACAGAAAAGCCTGTCAGGGTTGATGGGAGGTGGATAGAGAATGATACAGGACGATCTTGGAAGGAAATGCTGTTGGACCCTACAAAAGACTGAGGCTGTGCTTCAGGAGAATTTCCCTAAACTTGAAGCCATTTTGCACAATGGAATGGTTTAAAACTCTCATGCGTTAGAAAAGGTCTAGAGTAGACCCAAGTCCAGTCCAGAAACAATTACCACCCTTACATGTTTTCCTCTCAATTGCAGAGAAAAGGCCAAAGAATTGTGGGAGTGGATGTCGCAACTAGAGGCAGAGAAGTTTGATCTGCAGTACCAGTTGTCCAGACAGAAATACGAGGTTAGTGAATATTCCATAATATTGCACTGAACCTTGGTTGTGCTTTTGGTTGCATCCAATTGACTTATTGCTGTCACCAAATTAGTAATACAATACAATCTTTATTCACAGATAAACGTGTTGAGGAACCGAGTCAGTGACCATCAAAAATTGTAAGAAATCAAGGTTTACATGATTCTGAATGCTGCAGCACACACCTTCCCTGCATGTGTAAAATGTTTTGTAATTGTCTCTTAACCTAACTCCCCTAATACCTGTACGTAGTGGGCGTGGCAGGTCATTCATCACAGCTGACTCACTCTAACAACTAAAATGTCAGGAATGAACTCGAGCACACCGGACACAGTCTCCCTGCGTTTAGCAATGTTGTCTGATCCAACTAGTTTACTGCTTTAGACCTGTGTAACATTTGTCTTGTTTTTTTGCAGATCTAAGAGGACCAAGAGGGGGCTGAGGAAATAGAAACCCTGACAAATGTAGCAACTAGACAAAAATGCAAAGAATTTGTAGAAAATAATGTAAATAAAGCACAAAGGTTATGTTTGTAGGCAAATGAGGATTGGTGAGAGACAGACTTTCAGTATTGCAAATCAGTATAATTTCAAAATGTGTTGAAATGATTTAACATTGTAGTCATCTGCCTTCACGTAGACGGGCAGGTCACTGTACGCCGCAGTCAGTCACTACAGTTGGAATAAAGAACCATGAAGCAAATCCAGAGCTCTTACTAACAGACAGACAGGCAGTAACATGACCACAGCTCCTCCGCCCCGACCAACCCAAACCAACCCAAACCTACCTGCAGACGCCACACAAACACCACACTCAAAGACAATGACTCACTCTCAAATCCTTTTTCTGTCTGTGTGGCACAGCAGCACAAGTGCCAGGCTCTTTAGGGCGGCTGAAGTGGAACATTTAGCTTTCACAAAGCTGACCCCACTGCACATCTTTAATCCAGCAGGAACATTTTTTATTCTCATTTGCAAAAAGAATAAACATTGCCACCAAGAATAAAAAGGTTGCACCAAAGAATCTTTGCTTTAAGTTGAAACACATTGTAGAAGATAAATCAATGACTACATTAAAACACACAAAATCAAATTTCACGGACCACAAAAACTCAGCTTGAGGGCATAGTTCAAACTTTTATTAGTTTTGGCAATATTTATGGCATTTTATTTATTTGATTGGGACAACACACATTAATGAACAATCATATACAAGTTGTAAACAAATTGTAAATGTGCAAGATTGTAGCAAAACTGCTAATTTACAGCCATAGTCCCGATTTCTGTCTCATTGTGTTCCAATGTATCATACTCTGTATTTATTACAGTTATCACATAACAATAACCGTGAGTTTAACTTAAGAGTATGATGTACGAGGGAATCCTTTTAATTATACACCACACTCACAAAGTACACTCTAGAACTATGTGAGTGAGTATGTGTATGTGTTTATATATATATATATATAATATATATATATATATATATATAAAATATATATTTTTTTCTCCATTGAGCGTTAAGCTCCAATATTTCTTAACCCCTAAACAGAAAGTATAATGTTCTGTTTTAAAAACTGGATGTAGATTAAAAAGCTGAACCACAATCAACTGAATATTACAAGAAAGCAGTGAAAAACCAAAATAGCAGTTAATGTTGTTACTGTTCCCATATATGTATTATTGCAAGCTGAAAATAGAATATGAGAGAACATTAAAAACTACAAATGAACAAGTGCAAATTATTAACACTGTCAGTGTTGAACGGTTCGGAGTCATTGAGTCAATTACATAGACTCAAATCCATAAAGGTTCGATATTTAAATTACATTATTACTTTTATCTCTTCTACTGTCTTTTACTCAAATTACTGAATGTCATAATGCTTTGCATATACATTTCATGTGTATTTACTGCAAAAACAATTAGGGAAATGAGTCCTGCACACCCTTCTCTTACTTGTAAACTTGTGGGTTTATTTACAGATGTTATGGCAACTAAAGCAAGCGGCATGTGGGCCTTCAGAACAATCCCACAGTAGAAAAAAACATTCTGAAGGTCCAGTCGCTGAAAATTTTCCACCTCATCTGTAAATAAACTCACAAGCTTGACAGTGCGCAAATTAATTAGAAATAGTTCACAAGGCCACACTTCATGTTTATCTGTGCACATGCAAAAATTAGATATTTATCAGAAATATAATACAAATTGGTTACATATGGAACTAACTAGAGACAGTAACTAGTCAAATAAAGTAATGAGTAATGAAAATGAAAACAAGAGCTAATCTATTACTGTAATGTACAACACTGGTAGTAAGGAAAATGCAACAATGTAAAGAATGCAAGCCAATTCGATATAATTTAAACTCAAATGGGGTCGGAGTCAGTCCCATTTTTCCATAAGAACTAAACAATACACAAATGTATGTCCTCTGGATTCAATCATAGCTGCACAGTCTCACAGTTGCAGTTTCATTATATCAAACAAACTACTATCTCACACCTCATACTGTGGTATTGAGACCACCAGACTTTCAGGGCACATTCAACCTTAATACCTCACAACCATTTTTAGGACAAACAAAACATCTTCACAAAATGTTACAAATGAACCAGTGGGTCATTAATAAAAGCACATGTTAATTGCTGACATAATATTTACATCATATGATACAATGCAGTGTATATGAAGGGCATCAGTGAGCACTCAAAACATGTTTTCCCAATGAAAGTTCAAGTTACATTTGTTGCATGTACTCGGTGCTCATACCTTCTGGACCAAGGCTCTGGTTGAATTACTCGATGACCTGCATAGACTTGTGAACAGCTGTTGTGTTTTCATTGACAAAAAGTGCTTTGTTAAAATCCATCTGTAACATACATCATTAAAACCATGTTAATATAAATCAGGGAGTAAACACACAACTTCTCCTTACTACAAGGATATTTTTCCTAGCATTTCTCTGTGATGAGATGTTTGCCAAAATACTTTTAACATGCTCATATCTTCATCACCAAGTCAGGGCAAGTTGAAATCATTAGCTGCCTAATGTGTGTGTGTGTCTTTTTCTCCCACACAAGCAATTATCCTCAGAGGCCCAGAACCAGTCTGCCTGGATTCTTGTCTGTAGAGTCAGGTCTTGGGGCGGGGCAGAGAAAGTGGCTGAATGTCATAAAAAAACACCTTCGCTTTTAAAAGGGCCAGTCTAAGTGCAGGGGACACACAAACATTTATTTAATGGACAAAACGATGACATTGGACGAACCAGATGCATTGCTGTAAGTGTTCTAGCACATATGCTAATTTTCAACACTAGTCCACTGGGGTTTTTACAGGGCAGAAGATGAAATACATATAAACATGTACTTTTGGTCGAGCTGAATCAAACAAAATGGTCACATTTTACATTTACCTTTTTAAGAGCTCCCTGGAGACTCTTATCATTCCATAAACTGTAGAGCAGGGCTGCAGCTGCTTTGCTGCCTTTTTGGTAGGACCTTTGAAAACAAAAAGTCATTAGAAATGCATGAGTGTTAAGTTTATAAACAACAAAATATATTTATAATGGAATAAAATAAAACCAATGTGAATCATTATTCTATTATCCATTTTCTTTATATAAACTCAGATATAATACAAGCAGTATCTAGTCATAAATGAAACATCTTTTGGCTCTCACAGATCTTTGGAACATGCTGATGTGTTGTTCAGGCCACTCACACGTCTTCACTGAGATCCGCCACTGCTGATATGAAGTCTACACTGAGGGCCTTCTTTCCGGCTTCGGAGTCGGCCGCCATCAGGCTCTGCACCATGTTACACACTAAAGCTGTCGTCTCATCGGAGTATCCCATATTTCGAGGTCCACTGGTCAGATTGCCTGTGAGCTCGGGCAGAATCTGCTTGGCTGGAACAAACGCAACTTTGAAAACAACTTTTGTGTATGATTATTTCTAGCTCATCGTATTTGTAGCTTATCTGCTCTTACCCATGGATGACTGAAGCCAGCCCGTTCTGGACAGGTTGCTTAGTAAAGAAATAGCTGTCTTCTTCACGTTCGGATCAGATGATTTCATCAAAGGGGTTATGTACTGTAAGACCCCAAGCTTTTGAACCAAAATCTGACTCATGGCATCCGACCCCTACAATGAAACCACAGGAATATAAGTGCAAAACATGTCAGTGCTAAAATCAATCACATTTGTGGTGGATCTCTTAATCTTAATCACATCTTAATCACTTCATCTTAATCACTTCTACCAGGTAACAGTTGCATCAACCGTAGTAAATGCAATTGTCTGATGATTTATTCAATATTTAACTAGCTAAGCCTGTTAAGAACACATTGTCATTTATGATTTCCTGTGAACCAACACAGTAAGACTTATTTATAAAATATTACATACAAAGCATTTATACAGCACCCTTCATACCACCCAAAGCGCGTTCCTGTGTGTTGGTTATTCCATATAAATCTGTGGTGGTAACCACATCCATCCATCCATCCATTTCCTACCCTTTAATCCATTTCTGGGTCAGGGGGGTGGCAGTCAGAGCTACACCCAAGTCTCATAGCACCAGCCCCTCACTGACCCTCTGCAGGTGGTGAGTCCACAGGAGGACGGCTGCTCTCTGAGTGTGAGTAGAGCCTTGATCTTTCAGTGGGGGCTTTGGGCAAATGGTAAAATTATACATAATTTGTGGTAACCACAAATTATGTATAATTTTAACATATCCCACTTTACGGACATGGAATTCTGGTTGGGCCTAATGAAAAAGTGACGGCACAAGTGTAAATGGTGACCTATCTCAGCTGTTGCCACAGTCCAATCATCTCCTCTGTAAATTATTGATATGTAAATTATTACTATGTAAAACACACAAAGAGTCTTTGTACTGACCAGGTCCCGACTTGCTGTCAAATTCTGTAGCGCACCGCAGCAGGCTTCCAAGGTGCCGTTGTTCTGGGACAAGCCCAAAAGAGAGAGGTATGTCTGCATGGTTTTAGGATGGTTCAGCCACATTATCCCCGAAAGGGCACTGTCTGGTTTATGATCAAATGAAAACTGAAGACAGCAGAAGAGAGAATCATGAAATCACTGAAATCACATGAAAACCTGCTGAATGCACATTGATACTTACTTCTTTTTGGGCTTTGCTGCTCTTGGGACTAAAGCATCCTGTTGTGGAGGAGGATTTCTTCTGGGCTCCTTCCTGAGGGTAGTAATTAGAGAAGCACTCACGGGCCTCCATCTCCAGTTGGTAGCTCAAATTATGGAGGATACATGTCGAGTTCTCCACAGACTGATGACAACATTAGCAAGAGAGTAATTACACTGAACAGATAACATAGTATTGTGAGATTTCATAACACTTTGAAGCAACTTTCGTTAAGGTTAAACTCATCATTCTATCAATGTGCAGAAGCCAGTATTTTTCCCTTGTTTTGTCTATCTGAAGGCCAAGCTACATGGCACCGTGGAAGCTGCTGGTTGGAGGACTCCATGCCTCCGCTCTGTATAATACACTTGCATTCTGTTGTATCTGTTGTTCGTGCTGTCTCTACCATCGACAATAAAACAAGTCTTCTGTCTGAATGAAAGACGCGATCCCAGACATGTCATCTTCTTCAGGTGGTGGAAGGATGCGGGCCTTGTCTGTAACATCTAGTGAACAGAAGACTTTTTTTTCAAGCCAAAACTGAGAAACCTCAAGAGAATGCATCTGGATCAGCACATGGACAATCTGCACAGCCCCTGATTCCACTCAGGCTGTGAGCTGCTGAGACATGGACAATACCATCGTCCTCTTTTGCATGGACACCATTTGGAACAATTGAATTGCTGAATCTGGACACTAAAGCTGAAACGTGTGATTGAAAGACACGTCACAGAAGAATTCATGGCTCGACACAAATGCAGCCTGAGGAATCAACACGGAGAAGTGGGAGAGACTGTTTTCAAAGCAATATCTGGAACCACCATCGACTGATGAAGTTTGGTATTTTACTGAAGATTGTTGACAAGTTTTATGAAAGATCTGAACATGTTTTGAGTTTTTGAAGTATTTTTGAAGTACCGAGTGAAGTACCGAGTTTTGAAGTATTGAGTTATGATGTTATGTTGCTGTCGATCCTGATGGTCACACATGAATGTGTGACCAGAGGGGGGAATGTGAGATTTCATTACACTTTTAAGCAACTTTTGTTATAGTTAAACTCATCATTCTATCAATGTGCAGAAGCCTGTACTTTTCCACTTCATGTTTTGACTATCTCTGCTGGCACCGTGGCAGCTGCTGATTGGAGGTCCCCATGCCTCCGCTCTGTATAATACACTTGCATTCTGTTGTATCTGTTGTTCGTGCTGTCTCTACCATCGACAATAAAACATGTCTTCTGTCTGAATGAAAGACGCGATCCCAGACTTGGCACATCTTCTTCAGTATAGCTGTGAGTAGTAGAATTGAGGGTAGCACTTTCAAAGACATTGACAAGCTTATAAAGTGCTTTACAAGTACAAGGCAATATTATTATTTTGGATTGAAGTAAGCTTATCTTAGAAATCACTATATCTTTGCTTGTCAAGCAATTTGATGCAAAATATCCATAAATGTATCTATGATAATAAATATCAAACTGATCAACCTGTACTTAGTTTGACATTATTCTACTAAACCCTCAAGTCGGAATAAAGTAAAGGTTAAGACTGTCATACTATCCCTACACCAAACACTATACTTACAGTACATAACTAGGATTACAGCTTTAAACGCTGTCATGTAAAGTAGTAATTTGGCTGTATAAGTAACGTCTAGACATCTCTGTGTGCTCTCTGATCACCCAGACTATGCACCATATTCCTCAAGTTCATTTAAAATAGTCTGTAAAAACAGAATGAGCAGGACCAGGGCAAAGGAAAGTCTTTCATTAAAGCATTAAATACTAACTGTTAATCATGTGCACATTTAGATGCAGTGAGTTAGAAGTGCATCTTATAGACAGCGCTATGATGTAAACAGATGTAAACTGTTGCATGGTCCAATCAGAGTACTGTATTCTGATTACTTGCAATACTTATTCTTACATTTTCTTTTCTTGCATTTCATTATATATATATATATATATATATATATATATATATATATATATATATATTAGGGCTGTCCAAAATAGCGCGTTATTAACGCGTTAACGCAAATCAATATTAACGCCGTCATTTTTTTTATCGCGCGATAAAAAAAAAAAAAAAAAAAAAAAAAAATTTTTTTTTTTTTTTACTTTTTATTGCAGACAAACACATAGAAACAAAGAAAAGGACTAGTTCAGATACATTGTAGACAGAGATTACAAACAATATGTAGTTGGAGATACAGGGGGCCAAAGAAGAAACCCAGAAGGGCACATAGGAGGGGAGGGACATGAAGTGGGAGATGGGGGGAGGGGTTAATAAAAAAGGCAATACAAGCAAACAGTATACAGTCATAGATATACCAAAGGTAAACAGAGAAACAGCATAGAGTATTTACATTAACAAATTTACAAAATATTTACAGATTGTTTATCATCATCATAATGACACCATGATGTTTCTATACAGTCTATGGTCTATACCCACACATACACACACACACACATTGAAGGGGCTTTTTGTTACCAATTATTTATTTTGTCATCCATTTATTGATGATTTTGCATCAAATGTTAGTGTGTAATATAACACTACACATTGTTTTCAATAAAAAAAGCAATTGCACACAGCACGCAAATGTGTGACTAATTTGCGATGAATCGCGAGTTAACTATGAAATTCATGCGATTAATCGCGATTAAATATTTTAATCGTTGGACAGCACTAATATATATATATATATATATATATATATATATAAAAAAAAATCAATTTTAACAAATAACTTTTGAATACCAGCAAAATTATTCTGCTTCGCCCCCACACAGATTTTAGGTGAATAGTTAGAGTAGAGATACAGGTCGGAGCAGTAAAGTTTACCTGGTCATCTGGGTTTTCCTCGGCCACACAGGACCGAGTGTAGCTGACCAGAGCATCGATAAGGCCAGGGCACTTTCTCATCGAGTCTCTTTCTTTTTTTTGGGCACAACTTAAGTTCCTGAAAAAGATCAATGATATCAACTACTACAAAGAAAGAAAAAAAAAAAAAAAAACTCCAATGGCAGAATAGAGAAGGCAGAGGAGGAGAGTATTCTTACCCTCTTTGTACTGGTATCTGAACTTTGTTTGACTATTGAGTATTTTTCTTACAACTGTTGACTTTCACATTACATTTAAACTTGAATATCTGTACTTTCTGCTCTTGAATATTCATAAATGGCTTAGTGATGTTGTAGATGACAACAGAACGTAAAACCAGACAAGATCAAACCACAAAGCTATAGGAGAAATGCCCAACATTAACACAGGTTAGCCAAGCTTCTAAGAGAATGAATTACAATGCACATTAATGAACATCAGTGTAAAACAAATGTAAATATGCCAAATTATAGCTCCCAATCCATAGTCTCTAGGCAGGAAAATACATAAGAAATGACAACATTTATTATGTGGTTTTTGATCTTTGTGGTTAGCCAATCTTCTAAATTAAAACAATGGCTACATTCAGCTTCTACATGTAATATGCTGTGAAACAATCTACCAGTGTAGGGATTGTTTAAAGTCATGTTTCCACCGGTACAAAGTTGGAGGCACCGCAGAGGAACAACACCCAGCTTCTGCTGTAACATTACTGCAGTTAACCAATCAGAGAGCAGCGACAGTGACACACGTCACAGACAGGTCAGAGGGAGAGGGGGAAAACAGTCAAAAACCATGAAAACTTTATCCAAGAGCTAAACCAGGACGACAATGGAAGATTGCGGTACAATGCTTTCAACTGAAGCTATTTAATGTAGCTACATTATATTCCACGTTTGGCCATTATGGAACATTGGCTGTATATTATATGAATATGTATGGCTCTTGTCTCTGTATGTATGTGTGTGGGCGGGTATGTGCAACAGTATAAAGTAAAGTTAGGTATAAGGGGTGGGAGCCTAAAAGCTTGACCTCTTCCCACTCATTTTGGAGTGAAAAAAGGAAACCCTTCAATGTATGTATGTATGTATGTACATTTCTATCATGAAATATGAATATGATATATGAATAATATGTAATTTCTGTTAAATCTATAATTGATTCCTGTTTATAAGCTTGAAATAAATACAATCAATCAATAAAAAAATCAGTTTGTGCAACAGTGGGGTGAAACAGCTGACCTCAGGCAGCCTGTGGCGTTGTAGAAGACATCCGGGTGTATGTTATTGTTGGCCGAGTTATCTGACCAACAGGTGAATGGCTCGATCACATTATTAGTCAAAACAGGCAGCGCTGTTGCAATAAGTTCTGTCTTCAACTCATCCGATGAGGACAGGTTCCAAAGCAGGCCTAAACAGGAACAAAACATTCACAAATATTATCTCCAGTCAAATTGTACACATATTTGTCTTCTGGAGACATTGTGGATCACAAGGACCCAAAGCAGAACAAAACAATGCTCATGAAATAGGTCAAGAACATATCAGGAGTGTAGAGCTCAGTGGAGCAATGATGTGTGCATGAACTGTTATAGATACAGTACGTTACACCACCATGGCACCACCAATCTATCCATCCATCCGAATTCTACCCCTTAATCTATTTCTTGGTTGGTTGGGGGGGGGGGGGGGGGGGGGGGGGGGCGGGGGGGGCGGCCGCGCTCTATTGCATAGCCTTGATCTTTCAGCTGTCCACCAATCCACCAGTCCACTAATCTAATCTAATTACAAGTAACTTTATTAGAAGTGTTTCGAACCTAGGCCTGTATATTGCTCCTGCTTTGTATTTTGTGTCGTTTGTGTGTGTGTGTGGCAACCCCTCCTGTCTGAAGATCCCTGTCCTGTCATTGGACAATCACTGGCCCTCCCACCTCCCAGAAGTTTGTGACTCAGGTGCTGATTTGAGGAGCAGCAGTGCACCTGGCCAGTCCAGCTTCCCCACCTGGAGTCACCTACTTAAGGCCACACTCCACACCTGTTCGGGGCTGCAGCCTGTGTGTGGCTGGTATGCCATTGTCCTTATGAAAATGTCTGTCATTGTCACAGTGGTGGCAATGACGTGAAAGACAGAGTCCGTACAGCTTTGATTTGGTTTGTTTCTTTTTAGTTGTCACTTTGAGGTTTTGTTTTTGTGACCCTTCGCTTTATTTGAGACAACAGTCAGTTTAGTGTTTAGTTCTATGTGGATTAGTGTTTAGTGGGTTTTATTTTGGTAACGTTGCGATACCCCCTTATGTCCTGCATTGTGTCCTTTTGTCTATTTATCATTTACATCCCTTTTTATTAAATACTTGCTTTGCCATTTAACATCTTGGTTTTTTTTGTTACCTCCCTTACCCTAGCCGAGCTGGGTCGTAACAAGAAGGCTAGAGACAAAAAGTCATGAAATGTTCAGAACTATTCACCATACATCACTGACAGCAGGAACACGGTTCAAGATAAGATAATATCAACTTTATTCATCTCACAATGGTGACATTTACAAATCACTGCTTACCTGTGATTTGCTTCTGGGTCTCTGTGGAGTTGGTTTCTTTGAGCAGCTGCAGGGCCTTCCCGATGCCCTCACATTTCTGAACCTCCAGTTTGTTGGCCTGGTTTTTGAACACCAGGTTCCTGAGGGCCCCGGCAGCTGCCCGGCACACCTCAGGATTGGCACTCCGTAACAAACCGACAAGAAGAGGGATACCGCCCAACTGGTAAACCTTTTAAGAACAAATAATCAGTAACATAATTCCTCCGACCAAATGCTTAAAACTAATTGAATAAAACTTAAAGTTTTATAGGAGGATGTGTTTGTGATGGTTTGTGCCAGAATTTCCAGATATTAGCAATGAAGTTAAAACTACTCTAGAGTATGTTTTTGTTGAGGAAACAATGTTCTAACATTGTTGAAAGTTCAAAAAAGTATTATATTAAAGTATAAAAGAATATATTCTCATTTAAGATTTAGCATTTGAGGTGCGGCAGTAGATTGGCACCACATTTAAACACAATCTAACTTGCAGCCAAGTCACAAGTGTGTTCGACCCTCAAGGCAGGTTACGTTATGGTCGGTTATGTTTGTTATGATAAAAGGTCAAAATAAAGTAACTTTGCAAGCGCTGAGGGTAAGTAGTACCTCTTCTTTGGCCTTTTCTTCTTTGAAGGTGCAGTGTTGAATAAAGGTGGCTCCACAAAGTTGACGATTTTCGTCTTGATGAGACAGATACTCTACAGCCTCCTCCAGAGTCATATCTGATGTATTCATTGTCTCTGTAACACTGTAAAAATACAACTCATTAGGAGTTATATTAGTGGGTATACCAAGGCAAAAATGCAGATATATACATACACAGTTTTCTGCTCCGACTTATTGGTCTTGGTGATTTTGGCCTCAGTATTGGACTGGGCAGAGGGAGGGCGGCCCATGCGGGTCTGGCTGGAGGTTGTCTGTCCTCCGTTAGTTAAAGAGTAGGTGCTGTGTCTGCTCACTCTGGTTTGTTGGGAAGGAATCTGGCCTTTGGCTCTCTATCAAATAAATGCATTAGAACACATATGAACATTTAGGGAGTAGAATCGACTGTACAGAGCCAAACTGGTATTATGTCCTTAGGCAAGACACTTCACCCACATTGCCTAGAATGAGTCTGGTGTGCGTGCGCGTGCGTGCGTGTGTGATTGGTGGTCAGAGGGGCAGATAGCACTGACTGGTTGCCTCGCATCTGTCTGAATGGAGTGAATAGCACTATATAAAACCCAATGCATAATTATTATCATTATTATAGAAACATAAAAATGATCAAATCCAACACTTATAGGTGGTGGTAACACTACCATCATCATTTTCTCTCCAGGCCTAAACATTATTATAACATAGCTCCTTTTTTCCTCTAACCCTAAACCTAACCCTAACCCTACCAGACATCAAGGACTTTTCACTTCACACTTGTAAGAGTAACTGACAGACATGGCAGATGTTACAAGTCACAAATGATTAAGATATATCGTATTATAGAAATGGCCTGCTTTGAACACAGGAATAGGTGAAAGAAAGAAATGATTCTCCCTACACTCACAGTTGAGGGAGAGTCGATTAGTACACTTTTATTGATTCACGGCCACTTGGTCACCATGTTGGTTGTATTTGGAGTCATTATGCACAATCCACTCATTCTTTTTGTCTATACTGTTTTGAATATCTTCCCCAAATTTATGACTTGCATAACTTCTGCTGAAAACAAATTAAAAATTAGCTACTTTTCTGGTGAACTCTAAATGCATTCAATGTAAGTTTCAAAATGATCCACAGTTTGTAATCCTGTATATTAAATTTAATCAACAAAGTGAACGAGGAGAGTGACATCACTTTGTTAATGAACTCACATGGTTCACATGAATTCACAGGTTTTACTGAGGAAAACCCATGACATCTCAATAGCAGCTCATGGGTAGCTTTCATTTTGAAAATGGTATAACATGTATTTTTATTTTTAAAAAAGGTTCTGAGTTTCATTTTTTAAGCCCAGAGCTGAGGTGGTAACAGTACTCATCTATGTACTTTAGTAAAACTATAGATACTAATGTACAAAATATACTCAAGAAAAAAAGTAAAAGTATTGAAACCCAATTCCAAGTAAAGTTTAAAATGACAAGCTTTTGTAAGAACTTAATGAATGTATGTGGAAATTCATCTTAACTGTTACCTTGGAAACACAAATTATTTGAATAGTTGAACGGCTATTTGAACTTAGAAGCATTGCTAACCACTTGAAACATGTTTTTATATCATATCGTCCTATCGTGATGGTAGGGAGTAGAAAAATCCAACATTTGGGCTTCAAAGTAAGGAGTAAAAGTAAAACGTTGCCAGAAAAATGTGTAGAGTAAAGATGAGTTTCCTAATGCTACCAGGAAAAAAATTAAGTGCAATACTTGAGTAAAAATACTTCAAGTATGAAGTTACTACTTAGTAATAAGAAAGATTCTTACCATGCCGTTTGATTGTACATGTACAGACAAAGGCGGTGCCAGAGCTGGGTCACTGCGGCTGGGCTTCAGACCATTGGGAGCCCAGTTGGTTGGAATGGTCTGTTGCTCGCTGGTACCAGAGGAGCTGATGAACCTGCCCCCAATGGACTTTGTGGACAATGTGCGTGATCTCTGAGAATGCATCTAAAACAGAATCAAACAGAATTTTTGTTGACATGACAAGAATAGCAGAGATTGACAGATGATTCAGAGGAGGAAAAACATTCCATAACAGAGCAAATGCCTGGAGGACTTTCAACAACTGAAAAAAGTAGGTAACCCACTTTCCAGCCCGACGGTTCTCACAGAGGAACCCCTGTAAACCAAGACACAGGAATTCCCTCTTAGACAAAGCGCACAAAAGTGTTTTCTCCCTCTCCGGACTCAACAGAGAATGAGTGCGATACAATACTCCAAACGAGCCTCACCAGGGCCACATCATATTTCTAGTTTGATGGGATTCGGCACAGATGGTTTGTGATTGAATGGCACAAATACCAAAACACCAGCTGCCCAAAGTGCTTCACAGTAACAAAAGATAAAAATAAATAAAAGCAAACAGTATAGAATACATACGAATACATGTAACATATCTTTAGACTAGATTTTAAAACCTCCAATGAAAGACATGCTTTAGTCTACAGAGTTAACTATTCCACAGAAAAGGCCTGATCCCCACGAGTTATTAGACCAGGGTACTTTCAACAAAAGCTGGTTTTCTGTCGTCACTGATCTAACAGGGCGTAAGGAGATAACAGCTCTGACAGATATGCAGGGGCTAAACCATTTAAACATTTAAAAACAACCTTGGACGTGACAGGGAGCCAGTGAGGGAAGGCCAGGCACAGAGATGAACACTTGAACGTTGAACAATAGCTGCCCGACATGTGCAATTATAGTCAACAGCACTTTACTTTTACTTGTGCATTGTTTGTATCGGTTTCCAAATCTTTGCCAGAGTGTCGCTAAGAAACTGCTTGGTGCAAAACAACCATTGACAGGAAGGATATTAATTCATGTTGCGCTTCCAAAAAACGTTCTTGCCAGTTGATTTGTAGATTCCAAACAGAGAGGGCACCGTGATGGCATTCAGCTGCTATATTACGGAGTAGTAGCTTCATCTGCGTCTCGTGTAGCTGTGGCATCTGTCAGGCCCCTGTCAGTGGGTAAGGTCAGTCCAGGGCAGAGACCAGCTCAGTATAATAGTGTTTCGGTAACTGGGCTGGGGCAAAATCTGGACCAGATAGTGATGATCTGAACTCCGGATGAATTGTAGAGGCAGGACTCAAATTAAAGATGTCAGTTTCCTCTTTGTGAAATAGGTTAACTCCTCATTATGACAAGAGTGTAGTCAGACATTTCCAAACACACTAAATAAAAGATTAATGAGTCTTGAATTTCCAAACCATCCAAGAAGGTGATTGATGAAGTTAATCATGGGACAATATTTATTGCGTCATCAAGGAATGACTCAAGTGAAGGAATAACAACTATTACTTTGCCTGAATAAATATGAAATTGGGGTTAAAGTTAGCTACAATGAAACCTATGTGACTGTGCCCTTAAGCATCACTACAGACTTTGTCCCCATCCAAACATGCACCAAGAAGTAATAACTCTGTATCTCTGCTATATTTGAGCCATATAATCACACTTGTGTTTTTGCTAAGAATTGAAAAATTCTCTTTGTAACGCTCCAAAAGGCTTTCATACGAGTTTTTTATTTTAATTTTAAAATCACACAAAAGTCATTTTAGAAGGTGTAAGAGTGACCAAGGGTTTCTAATAGAAAAAGAACATGTTTTCCTGGTTACACAAAATGGGGTGTACAATGTATTTTTCAATCGGTTCCCATGTTTTAAAAGCCAATAAGAACATGCTCAAAAATACATGCACCTTGTTGACCACCATGTTATTACATTTATAATAAATAAAGAAGAAACACAAAGACTACCTTTTTGTTGTAGGTCGTCATAGCAGAGTTGCTTCGACCAAAGTTGGCATTTGTTTTAAATGGTGCGAACTTAAATGTTCCAAGAGACCCCGTTTCTGAGAGCCCCCATGACGTCATACCTGAATGAGAAGAGAGACATTTACAAAAGCAACATTAAACATTTATTTTTAAAGAAGTTCAAATGAGCATTGGTCAGGTAATGTTTGAAATAAAACTACAGTTGAAACGTTTGATACAAATGATAACTAATAAAACCCATGCAATAGTTGCTAGTATCCACATGCATTCCTAGTTTCCATATGCTTGTCATATCTTCAGATCAGCTTTATCAGAGGAAAACAGAGGGCCAGGTAATCAGCTCTCATTATGTAAAATATAGTGTTTTCTCAAAACAAAGTCTTTTTAAGTTAACATTAAATTAGGCAGGCTTTTCCAGAAGTGTTGACAAAGAGGAATATACCGTACTAATCATCATGTTAAATGGTAAACAGAGGTGTGTGTACAGTAGACTGAGCAGAGTTTTATGAGCTGCGTCACAGAGTGTGTCCGCTGCTGAGGGGAAAGTGTCAACAGAAGTCTCCAGCTCAGACAGGTCCATCCACCACTCAACTGCAGCAGGAACTCTATTTGTCACTAACATGGCATCTCACCCAATGCACAAAGTATTCATTGTTCTACTATCAGACTATTTAGGAACCTGATCTACGCACACTTCACAACAGTGTGTGTAACAGTTAGCAACCATACCATGTGGTGTTAAGTCCGTGGGTGTACTTGAAAATGTAGAATTGCAAAACAATGTTGGCATGGCCAAATGTAAACACAGCCGTAAATACGCATGTGTACTGCTGTAGTGCAGCTGTGGCGCTTCAGGTATGCTGTTTCATGGCGCAGGCTATGTGTAAAAGTCCACCATAAGTGTGCAAGAAACAGAACACATACTTTCAATTGTAAACACTATGACTCTAAGTGATTTTCAGGGTTATTGTGTGAAGACACATACTTGTAGGCGATGATGGAGACACAGGGCTGGTCTTCCCTGGCTTAGACTTGCTCCTCTTGATGGTGTGCACCTGGTTGAGGACGCGCGCTTGTCCAGAGCGCATTGTGGTGTCCGTGGGCAGCGCCAGAGAAGTGTCCTCTGAGTTTCCAATGGTCATCGCTGATTTCAGCGGCTCAGGGGCCATCATTTTCCCTGGAGCGCACCTTCCCAATGTCAAGCGTGTGGATGAATACGGAAGATCAGACGAAATGAACACAGTAACGTATGCAGCGCTTGTGCCAAGTATGCAGATAGACGGAAAGTTCCCAGAGCAGAGCGCTCCACCCCGGGACCGCGCCTTACAGGAGGGGGGTGGAGCGGGGGAGGGTGAGACAACCACCTCACACTCACAGGTGCGAGAGGAGGGGCCGCCGGGGCAGAACAACGCCACGCCGCGTTTGCGCCACAGACACAACAGAAACCCGCACCGCTTCTACACGAGTTTTAGGATTTGTCGTCATATACAACATGATGTTCTGCTACTGTCAGAGAATACTTGCTTCAAGAAAAAAAATACTTATCTTAATGGAGTTTTAAACTGTACAAATACAATTCTCCGGAAAGAGTGCTTTGTTGTCAGCAAGTGATTTAATTCAGAACTTTTGAAAATATTGCCATGTTAAACAGATTGTTCTCATTAGGCCTACATCATCAACAGCAGTCTGCCTTAACAAACTCCTTTGCAGTGTTGGCTAAACAGTGATACCTTTGAAAGTCAACCACCTAAGTACACAGGCTAGCTGAACTAAACATTGTAGATTTAGTACCGTCAATGATTAACAGATCAAATATAAAATTATATATATATATGATAGCACAATTTATAGGCCACTATATATTGAGCTCTCAATATAGCGTAGGTAATTAGTTTCATACAGCCTGAGCCTGGTAAACGGTGCCATCTCGTGGCCATAGAAAGAATAGTACGACAGGTTGTAGGGCAATTTTCTAACACAGGGTGGCATCAGACTTCAGTTTCATTAAAACCGAGCAAAAAACAACTGTTTCTGCAAAGTTATTTTATTGGTTCAGCAAAGGCACAATGGTTTCATGGCATTTCACTGATAAGTCAGGACCAAAGGATTTAACCAGCAAGGCCAACATGAAAACACTACAGTAACAATAAACATACCTTTGGTTGACCACAGAGAAAATATCAACAGTCCTAAGAAGTGGATGAGAGTGAATGCATAATATGTACCATCCGTATATATATATATGTAAAAAAAAATCTGGACGTTAGTTTTACCCCATTCAGCAGTGCCAATAATGTAAGTTGTACCATATAACATTTAACACATAGTAATAATAACACCTCAGGACAGCAGAACCAACACATAAACAATATGAATCTATGCTTTTTGCCATCGTGTAACATGTACACACAAAATTAATTTTTTTGCAGAACATTGAGGTCAAGTCTGAGACTTGGTGAACTTGAATGTGGGTTGCGTGAGCCAGATTAGTTAAAAAAATATATTTCTATATAAAAGAGGAGTCATTATGATACACGACTCAGGTTGTAGTGCATTTCACAGAGGCACAAACTTGGTTATATCGTGGTACTTGGTTTTTTTGACCAATAACAAAATGATAACTTAAGTAGTGATATTTGAATTAAGCTTAAAAATGCATTTAAACATCAAAATGTCATGGGATGCATAAACAAGCAGAGGTTGTTCAGCATCCTGTAGTCAAACTTTTAGTCACAGTAATCACTCCAACAATTCAAATGATTTTGAAAGAGTGATATGAACAGGTGTTTCCATGAATACAACATTGTATGAATGGCAGATATCAATAAAAAAAAATCCTAATTTTTGTACATTTTTTTGATTCCTTTTATGAGTCACATGGCATGTTTGATCCAATAGGAATGTAGTGCCTTAAACATCCCATCAGTTAATACATGGGGATCTGAGTAGTGTTGCCATAGACTCCAAAAGTCTGTAAAGTCTGACATGTACATAGCGTGCTAATCATTAACTAATCGATAGACATGATACTGTGCTCCATGTTCACTAGTAGAAACTTCAAAAACAAAGGCAATGCACAGCAAAGTCTCTTGGGTCTCTCTATTTGACACAACCTAGAAAAAAAAAAGAAGTCACATTTGTTAATAGAGCTTTAAATACAACAAAGAGGATTGAGGCAGAATACCTGTAAGATCGTAAAGTTCTCCAGCACACTGTTCATCATGTATTTCTCCGGTAAGTGTTTCAGTTTGTGGATGAAGTTGATCATATATTCACACATGGGCGAGCGATTTATTCGAAAAACATATTTCCCTCCTTCTAAGCGAGCGTATTCAGTCTGAAAAAAGATTTTCATTAGAATACTGAAAAAGATCCCAAAGAAGACATTTTGCATAGAATGGATTTTCACCTCCACTTTTTCCACAACTTGTTTTCCAAAAGAACAAACTTTGGTTGAAACACTAATGCTGATGTTTTCTGTTCCGCTGTACTGACTGCTTACACCATAGAACACACTGGAGCCCTCCTCAATGTCGCTGCTCAGGTCCGCCTAAACAGCATATTGGGTCATTTTAGACGTGTTCATGCAGAGCGAATGTTCAAATACTTACCCAAAACTTGACCAGGAAAAAGGAATTGTGAGGCCCTTTTTCATAGAGCTCCTTCAGTCCACCTTTTTTTTCAGAAAACTTGTCATAGATCTGTCTTATATCTATGGACTCCAGCACCGGGTCGTTGTAGCCAGGGTTTGAAGGCCCAATGTGCACAAAAAGATGTTTGAACTACAATAGGAAAATTCTGATGATGAAATGCACAATCTAAAATGTATATAATTACGGTAGGTTTTTCTCTTTACCGTCTCCCTCTCACGCTGGGTCTCCATGAAGGCAGAATACTCGAGTAACCGGAGCTTAGCCGAGGAGATGGTGCGGTCTTGCCAAACAGGGGCTGCTATTGCTGCAGGCCGCGGAGGGGGCAGGGGCTCATAACCTGCAAAGTATTAAGGACAGTAAAACTCTCCCGGTCTCATCAAGATAAATAACAGAAGTTTGCTCACTCACACTTACTGATGGGTGTAGGGACAGGAGCTGGTAGTGTAGTGTACGGAGGCTGTGCAAAAGGCTTGATACTACAAGAGAAGAAATATGTGTAATACATATCTTTCACAGCATCCTGCTGAAATCATGAATTTTCTTTACATTTACTAGTTAAAAGTAGCAATAAGTAATATTCTCATGTCAAGTCATCATTAAATGGCCCAGTTTTTTCAAAAGGCTCTTTTTAATGGTCCCAGATAGATTTGTCTGCATATCTGGCCACCTAAGTCAGGTGAGAGAGATTGCAGAACCATCTTTTAGAGGCCAGATGTTTTACATACTGCTCCTTTAACAAACTCAAGATATGTGTAATAAAACATTAGTATTCACATTATGTCATATGAATTACAAGTATGTGTATTTGGTTTTGGTTACTCACTCCTGAGAGTGTCCAGGCTGTCCTGGCATTGGGCTGGGCCAAAACTAAAGGATGGATACACGAATGAAGCACATTATGACATGATTAAAATGAATGAATAAAAATGTATGGCGCGTGTCTCACTCTGACTGGTGGAGAGAAAGGAGTCTGTGGTTTCATGACACTTGCAGAAACTATTTGAGCAGATGACAGGTTGGCTACTGTCTGCAGTGCTTTGTCTTTTGAGGCCTGGTCCTGAGTAAAGAAACAAAAAAAAGTAACAATACAACATTGATCAAAAATATAGTCCAATGCAAATAAGTCCATCAGCCAAAAGCCAGCCCATTTATATACGCATGAACTACAACAAAAGACAATAACAGAAGCAAAGCAGTAAAGGGTATGCCAAAGCAGGGATGCACCAAGCTAGCAAACTACACAGCGCCATCACCTTATTTAAATAAACGACTCAAAGTCGCGTGGTGAGCAGAGCTCAGGCAGGCCAACTCCAGTGGGACTAGCGGTAGTACAAGGCCAAACACACAGCCTGAAGCAAAACGGCAGAGAACCAAAACTTACCAAGTTCATTGCCTACAGCAAAGGAGACAGATTTATTCAATTACTGAAAGTACAATCTAGAAGTATCAAAACCTATGATATCAGTGTTAACAAAAATAACAAATGTCAAGCCATGATTTTATTATTGCTTTGAATTTGATGTACACAGTGTTAAAAATGATTAAAGCAGGTGATGGGAGACGATGGGTACATCACATCACGTTGGGGTTACCAAATACAAGTCAGATGTGGTTTGGGAGCTCTGGCAAACTTGCAAAGTAAGTTTGCTGTTGTACTCATCCCAGAGCTCAGTCTACCCTCTGTGAAAAGAATTTGCATAATGTCAATTTCTTCTAAAACACCTCAGTGTCGTTGTATGCATCTGTGCTGCTTCAACCAGATACACTTTCTACAGGGTACTGTGCTGCATAAGAGAATGATACAAGCCATATGAGGGGTGGAACTAACGGTTATCTTGCTAAATTGATTAATATAGCAATCATTCTTTTGATGAATCAATTTGCTGGTTACAATGTAATTGAAATGTCATATCTTAATATACCCAGATAACGCTGAAGTAAAGACACCAGAGAATATCACAAAACTTTTGTCACCAAAAATATTGACTATTTGCTGATTAAGTAGTTACTGCTGTATATTTAGGGTGTATTCAGACCTGAAAAGTCCTTTGCTCCGCTTGCTTGATCCGAATCAAAAGCGGACCAAACTTTTTTCTTTTGCTCCGGTTCGTATTCAGACTGTCCTTTTTGCAAGTGAACTTTTTTATATAAACATATCGACACGTGTGACGATCCGCGCTCCTATTGGACAGTGAGAGCTCACAGAGGATAGACGCGGAACCGGAGGAAAACATTGAGGGCTCGTATGTGCAGCATGTCTGCTCTGCCTATGTTTGCTCTTTTTAGAGCAAAACCACCTTCAACATCAACAGCAGCAGCTCATATGACGCAGGCGAAACACGTTGTTTTAAATATTGGAACAGCGTCGGAGAATGCGTGAGGAGAAAGCCAAAGGAGACTCTGCGCTACGTGTCCTGTCCCACACATGGATCTATGATAATAACGGCCCTGTTCAGCATTGTGGATAAACCATGGATCTATAATAACCATGGGACAAACAGACGCTGAGGATCAGGTAGGAACCAAAGAACACAATTCACTACATGATGCGGGATATTTCTTTTTGAGACGTGAGTCAAACAGTGTCAGGTTTTTAATAATGCAAAGTATTTAAAGATGCTGCCATTAACATCAATGTATACTGTGAACAGTTCTAACTCCATAAGCCTGTTGCACAGCGTCTCCTCACTGCTCCAGGTCTGCACACGGCTCAGTGTTGTTGTGTAGCGTTAGCAGCATAGTTAGCCGCTGCGTGGCTAATTCCTCAGTTTCTGTCTGCGGCTTGTTAAGCCCAAAAAATGCGCACGTATCTTGGAGTTGTGTCGGATCGACACCGGATGTATTCAGACCTGATTCGACTTGGACCAGAATTCGTTTGGAAGCGGACCGAGACCACCTCAAAAAGTGGGTCTCGGTTCGGTTCTTTGGTCCGGACCAGGATTCGTTTGTGTGTATTCAGACCTGCATAAAAGATTCGGATCAGAGTTCCAAACGAATCCTGGTTCGTTTAAAGTGGAGCAAATGTGCAGGTCTGAATACACCCTTAGGGTGTACTTATGGAGTTACAACTGTTCACAGTATACATTGATGTTAATGGCAGCATCTTTAAATACTTTGCATTATTAAAAACCTGACACTGTTTGACTCACGTCTCAAAAACAAATATCCCGCATCATGTAGTGAATTGTGTTCTTTGGTTCATACCTGATCCTCAGCGTCTGTTTGTCCCGTGGTTATTATAGATCCATGGTTTATCCACAATGCTGAACAGGGCCGTTATTATCATAGATCCATGTGTGGGACAGGACACGTAGCGCAGAGTCTCCTTCGGCTTTCTCCTCACGCATTCTCCGACGCTGTTCCAATATTTAAAACAACGTGTTTCGCCTGCGTCATATGAGCTGCTGTTGATGTTGAAGGTGGTTTTGCTCTAAAAAGAGCAAACATAGGCAGAGCAGACATGCTGCACATACGAGCCCTCAATGTTTTCCTCCGGTTCCGCGTCTATCCTCCGTGAGCTCTCACTGTCCAATAGGAGCGCGGATCGTCACACGTGTCGATATATTTATATAAAAAAGTTCACTTGCAAAAAGGACAGTCTGAATACGAACCGGAGCAAAAGAAAAAAGTTTGGTCCGCTTTTGATTCGGATCAAGCAAGCGGAGCAAAGGACTTTTCAGGTCTGAATATACCCTTAGTCATAACTGCTCTATACACGTTGCGTGTATATGCTGAGAGATGTTAACAATTGATTACTAAAATGATTTTTCGAGTTCTGAAATAGATTTCAGCTCCAAGCCATACTGGCTCTGTATTTAGCGTAAACCCACATAAGAGACTGAAAGGGTTTTGGATTATAAAAAACTTTCTAAAATATATATATATGGAAAGTTGTGATATCTCCATGCAAATTAGTTCACAAATTCTAAATTTTAGCCATGCATTCTTACTAATAAGAAAACAATTGATATTGTATTGACATAGGTGATTGAAATTTATCTAAAACTCAGGCATTACAGGTTTAATATCCTACATTACATTTACACCCTAACAAGAAGTCACAAGGTCAAAATCTTAGACAAGAGCATCTGTGATCATAAATTTGTTCCACTTGTCGATACATCCTGAAGTACCTTGAGCTTGGACTGAATTTCGCGAGACTTTCTCTTGGCCAAGACTTGCAGGTGACTAGAGACCTGAAGACGTCAGGAGCAAAGAGAGGACAGGGGAAAGAGAAGAAACAGAAGAAGAGGTGACTTCAGAAGCAGTGGATGGAGCACCCACCTTGATGCTTGTTTGGTATTCTCGAACTCGCTTTCGCGCCAGAACCTGAATGTGACTAGACACCTATTTGACCAGGGTTAGATCACAGAATATACAGGGTTATTCAGTCATACAAGTATAATACCCTACATCACATTTACACCCTAACAAGAGGATTGTAGTGACACAATAATAAATTATTATTTTAAAATGTATTTAAAAGTTGATAATCAGTATTCTATGCATGTAATATTGCCTAATTTTCTGCTTGGCACGAGACAAAATATACGCTATAATATACACTTCAATATAATCAGTTTTTAAAACTGTCTAGCAATTGTGTGAGTATATGTTAATTATATAGGAACAGTTATTAAAACAGCGTTAGTGTTATCATAAAAGTAACAAACCTGCTTTCTGGTGCGTGTTTTCCCAGTCCGTAGCTTGATATACCTAGCAATTAGCTCATTGCGACCTGCAAGTACAAGTGAGAGTTACTAGAAAGATTGATATGGGCAGATAACAGGTGCCTTGATGTGACACACATCACAACAAAACATACTAGATATAGGATTTAAGATAATACACTGTGATGAAAACTCCTATTGTAGCCAGAGCTGCCCTGGGACAGACTCAAGCGAGGGTGCATCTGCATCATTGGCCCTTCAGACCATTACTAACACAGATTCATACTAACAAAAAACATTAGTTTGCACTTATAGATCCACAGTCGTCCCACTATGGAAGCTGGTCTTCCCAGAGGTCTCACTATGTAGCCTGAATGTAAAGTTACTTACTCTATAAAAGTAAAAAAAGTTATAACACAATCAGCAATGTCATTGTTCTCCTCATAGTTGTGAGATCTATAAAAGAAAAACAAAGTGCTGGCCATGAAGACAAAATCTGTCCAGTCAGCACCTTGTGTGCAGCTCTCCCCAGATTCCACCCACACTGAACAAAGTGAGTTAGGAAACTCCCATCTCACTCCTTAGACAGGTTTAGAAGACACAATACTGAGCCCCTGGAACAGACTTCCGAATCCATTTCTGGTTCAATCAGAATCCCCTTTTTTATTTGCAGAGATCCAATGCAGAAAAACGGTGAGTCAGCCCAGCTTTTTAGAGTTACAGGAAAAAAACAATTCCTAAAGATCCAGGAGAATAAGTTGAAAATATTGCACCTATTCTCACCACAAGTTCACCTCCCGGGTTGACCACAGCTACTTCATCACATAACTTTTTACATCCTTGTTATGGAAGATAAATCACCATTTGAAAATGCCAAATGAGTTTGTTGCATTCATTGGAATGTACTTGAAAACACCTCTGTATACAAATGCACGTGTGAAATGGATTTAGGGGAGCTAACACTTTCTAAAGACACAGTACAATCACAGATACTAGTGTATAGTCAATTACATGTTTTTTTTTTCCCCCATTCTGAATGGTGGAACGACTACAGTACAATTACTAGGCACTCCCTTTTAAAATCTAAAAATACTTTAAAACTTATTGGTACAGTATATCATGGAGTGTACACAGACTGTCTTTGTTTCGTCTGTCACCCTGAGCTTATACGTCTGATGGTTATTCTAATTTGAGAGTATACGCTTGAAACCATACACTGGGTGAGCTCATAGTAGTAACCTATAACACAGAGCCCACTCCTTTCAACCACCCTAGTTAAGTATTTGTGGTGTAAGATGGACCTTATCAAAGTATTACATATTAACTGCTTGCTAACAGTATTCTACGTTCTCTAAAAATACTAGAACCTCTTAGTCCCAAAAAACGGATTTGAACCTGCAAAAGGCGAAAACTCTTGACCCTACTTGGCCCTTTGATAACTTCAAAAATAAGTACTGGTTGAGGGTTAGGGTAATTTTACATTGAAAACAAATCAGCCATTAGAACACTTCGTTAAAATGCCATTGCAAACAGATTGGATTCATATTTTGAGATAATGTAAGTAAAACAGGAATAATTTTTCAAATCAACTGTACGCAGTACATTTCTCGTCTCCAATGGACCTGATCTGGAGTAATTGATGTATGAATTATTGAAAATCAAAAGATATGTTTGATAAATCAGTGCATGTCATTCCCTGCTTGATGTCATTGGGCCTCATTCACGAATAACTTCGTAAGAAACTTCTTAAATTTCTTCTCAAGTCGTTCTTCAGTAGATTTCTAAGAAGACCCTACGTGGGATTCATCAACGCACTCGTAAGCCGCTGAATTGTTCGCAGCTGTTCTTAGATTGATGAATGCCAACTCCTCGTAAGTAGAGCGCGCGTGCCCGGTGCTTCATTAGCATAGGTACTTAGCATAAGTAACCGCCCATTAATGCCCATATAAGGGACTGCAGGGCCGTGTGCAGACGGCAGAGGAAACAGCAACAGGCCTAAAGCAAAGAGTTACACGGAGCAAAAGAGTCACCCTTTTTTCTTCTTTTGCCAGACTGAGAATAAAGTTATAAAATGTTGACTTAAAAGTCAAAATATTATGAGAATAAAGTCGAAATAGCAAAACTATGAGATTAATCTAAACATTTTATGAGCGTATTATGTTGTCAAAATGTTTTGATATTAATCTTAAAATATTCTGGACCCTGGGAGGAGATCCAGCGCGGACCAGCACTGAGACCAATGCAGACCCGAGGAGAGACTGGAGTGACCAGCACACAGAAACCAGCTCGGACAGGAGAGACCGCATACTGGAGAGACCTGACTGGAGAGACCTGACTGGAGAGACCTGACTGGAGAGACCGGTGCGCAGAGACCTGACTGGAGAGACCTGACTGGAGAGACCGGTGCGCAGAGACCAGCGCGGACCGAAGCGAGACCGCATAGACCTTGGACCGGAGAGACCAGCGCGGACCCATATGGATCCAGGAGCATGCAGCACGGACCCGTAGGGAAAGACCAGTGCAGACCCGTATAGATCCATGGGAGAGACCAGCGCAGAGACTCAGCGCAGAGACTCAGCGCGGACACCGCAACCTCCTGCAGCAGCAGTATAGATGCCATTGTTCTGTGGCCCGTGGATAAAGAAATACCCCCAATAAATAGGATGGAGTCACTAATACACAGCAAGATTTCCAATGTATTTGATAAAGCGTTGGCACACTTCATTTCAAAATTAATAAAAGAAATAGGCTAAATTACCATTACAAATAAATAAATACATACATCATTATGACGGATATATCACTGTAATGTTATGATTTATTGAACTTCATAACACCAGCGTGCAAACGTGTCGACACTGAATGTACGTACGAGGATTTGTACGTACCCAAGAGAAATTCTGGTTACGATAAATTTTACGAGAAAATTTCGTGAATGCCACAATCCTCGTAAAATCTTTGTAAGTAGGATTTACGCACAAATTTGTTCTTAAGTACGGTTCGTGAATGAGGCCCATTGTCTTTTCTTACCGTACATCTTGCCCTCATCTGACAAGATGATTTTCCTGCGACCACAGGGGGGGTAAATGGCCAGGGCCTCCTGGAAACTCTGCTCAATATCTGGACTCCACACTCCCTCCGGGTCTCCATCCAGGCCGCGGTCTGCCCCATCACCCACCTCTGGGTCGGGACTGTCCTCCTGCGCCCCATCAGGGCTGCCACGGCAACTCCACTCCGACGCAATGATGACGGCTCCACTGAAAACGCCCCTGGAAACAAGAGTGATATTATGATATAATCCTAACCTGGTCTAAATGCTAAACATGCCATAATGCAATAATCGCATCAATTGAAAACATTGCAAGACAGCTACTCTATCAACAATGAATTGCTATTAGTCATGAAAAACTGCATGTTTTACTTTGTATTGGGATTACCAAAATTAGAATGTTAAAAGAATTTTTTGTGCGGTCAGAAATGAAGTGTAATTCTAAAGAGCGAAACATACACATGTGTGCTTTGACTTGTTCTTTTCGAGTGACAGGTAATGATGGATGGGGAGGGCCAGGATTAACTCTACAGCTGCTAGGAATGGTGACAGATTTCTGTGAATACAACTGTCTCGAGAGTCCACAAAGTGCAAGATCACATTTATCTGCATGTGTTTATAGCCTTCATGGCCACTGCGTATATTATTAGCATATCGGTATTTGAGGTTAAAGACCCAGCAAGCAGAATGGCTCAACATGCAAGGTTTGTAAATTTATGGGAGCCATCGCCAAGGTCAACAACGAAGATGGTGGACCTAGAATGAGAGGCCAAACACAGATTCTTATACAGACATTATAATAAATATTAACCACCTACACCATTGCTGAGGTGTTGGATATGTAGGGCCATTGTAATGATAATAATGAAAATCTGCAAAGTCAATTCTTTTTAATATTCTATGATTATTAAAGAAACCTGGTCTATAAAGCTGCTGCAGGAAGGATTCTGGTGTGTAATGTTTTCCAGAATGTCGTTGTTGCAATTTGAGAAACCACAGTGGTACAGATCTTCCCTTGCTGGTGGGCTTTCTAAAGATTTTAATAGTTCACTTATAACCAACACTTAGTCATATTGTCAATATAGTATTAGGCTTATGATTTAGAAATATAAAGTAAAAGATAATATGTAAATATTTAGGTTTTTCAAATACAAAGTATCGTGTCTACATGTGCATTGAAGTAGATATTTTATTAAGTTTAACAAACGTTATTGGTGCATAAAAAAAACAAACAAAAAAGGAACAATTGTAAATACAAACACGGACCCATGATTGAATGGAAGTGTCTAATTAAGGATATATAACATAACATTTTATTCAATTGTAAGAGTAGCTACTGTACAGAAACCCACTTAACATGAAAATAACAAATACAATGAATTATCTTCCACTGGAGATGCATGTCCACCAGCTTTCTCTGCAGTTTCGATATTATAAACAGCTTTGGTGATGTATATAGCCCTCAGTTGCCAAAAGGTCAGCGCAGTGAGAGCCAGTGGAGCAGTGGGCTAAATAAAGCAATGAGCTCAGCAAACACTGACAACCCACACGCATATTACAGCCTCTTCTGCTCCAATGGGAAATGTGGGACTCTGTTATTAACGAGGCCAGATTTCATCACAGCAACTATCCAGGCATCAAAAGCCAACATTATCCAGCAGAAAACACACGGAACTATAACAGAGTGTGGCCGTAAGTGTGGAGTTACATTTGAGCGCATTCAAGTTTCTCTGGATCAATTATCACCGCAGGCCTGAAGTTAAAAACAGTGTACAGAGAGCCGTGCTGTAGAGAGCCGTGCTGTAGAGAGCCGTGCTGTAGAGAGCCGTGCTGTAGAGAGCCGAACCGAGTTCATGTAAAACACAGATGATAGGAATTGGACACAATTCGTCCAAAGTTATTCAACCACATCGGTGATAAAACCCTGTATGACACTGAGATTAATGACTTCCTAATTTGGCTGGCTAATGTTAAAAACATTTAGCAAAGAAGAGCTAGCGCAGTGAGGCTAGTCTTGTAGCATGCTAGCTCACACACATTAACACACTGAGGACTAACACTCCGATGAATATCAATCATTAAAGTCATGTAGAAGTTGGTGACACCGCGAGATCTTCACCGTAAACGCACGAAACCATGATTCAGCAAAGCAGCGACGAGAAATGACAAATATGCGAAAAATCCCAAAACTTCAGGCGCACACAAAGCGGAGCAGCTGCTGCACATGAAACTTGTGCACAACAAAGAAGTTAGAGGCTCACTCACCTCCAATGGATCAACGCTGCCGCACCGCCCCGACTCCTGCAGGACGCCTGCTGGATCTGTCCTCTGAACTCACGCTACAGTGTTGGCAAAAGTGCTGGAGTTTGGCACAAAACGCGGAATGCCATGTATGACTTTAGTATGAAATCTGCGCGCGTAGGAAAACGCACAGAGGCGTGGCGTAAAACACGCACACGCAACTTTTGAGTCTCGAACATAAACTCCTCCCATAATGCAACATCTGACGAGAAATGAAAACTATACACACAACAGTGCTGTTTGTAAATCTAGCCAAGAGAAGTTCATGCGCAACTAAAGATTAACCAACAGCTGTATGAATATGCAGATGAAGAACATGTTAGTTTCAACTATAGGGTGTATAATTATCATCCTACCGCTAGAGGTCAGTAATTTGCAATAATAAAATATAGGGCTCCAATCATGTCACATTGAGTCAATGGTTACATTTGGACGCTAGATAGAGCCATTTACCTGCTAATAGATATAACCCATAACCACGCGATGACGATCGTACAGGTATGGCTGTAGTCTGCAGTTCCGCCGCTCGACTCGTTTGACCAGTTGACAGTGAAACAGCCAAATGTTATTATCATTAGGACAGCTGTTATCTGGGCAGTATGTTAATCCAGTTCTGCAAGGATCCGGGTAAGTTCATTATTAGCAAGAATACTCAAATCTAACTCGATATGGAGCCTACAATCATTGCCAAGCACCTATCTTCGAAACCACAACAATGAACTATGTGATTAAATACATGTTTGCAACAATACATGCAACTACTACAAAATAGCTCTCAAAACTGTTTTCATCACTATTTCTCGCAAGTATTTTTGGCACATGAGCTTTTTCAGTGAAAAGGAGAGACCTCACTCAGCTAATCACATGATCAGATGTTCTAATACGATTAAGACAGAATACATTCGATGGTTGAGGAAGACAAGAATTACTTGTGAAACAACAACAAAAGTTAGGTCCAACAGCTTTAATTATGTCATTACATTAGAAAAGTATATGACATATGACAAAGACTTAAAGGTCATTATTAATACTATTACTATTGTTATTATTAATAATAACTAATCGATCATTACAGCCCTATAATGATAAGTTATTTATTTCTTTATCAACCGATTCTAAAAATGAGACCAAAAAAGGTTGTGTTTATTAGTAGTGTTGAGCTGCCCTTAAGATGTGAATGTGTTATAAGTTGGCTTCTAAAAAATATAGATTTCTCCAAAATGTTGACGATCAACTGGCTCCAGTTTTGCATGTGGTATAGTTATTTGCCCACATATGTCCATTAAAGTGAATATGTGTTCTAAATATATATCTCCTGGTGTAAAGAGTGGTTTGCTTGACTATGTGGCCTTGTGTAGCAAGTTCAAATTTAGAACTCACTTTAAAAAAATATTTCTGTAGCCACCATTCTAATTCTTCTTTGTTTAAAGAAGAGTGAAATAATGTAGTTAGGATTAATATATGTCTGGCACTGAGAAGTTTATTGTGGTCTTACAGTGAGTGGCCTGAGGACAGTGGCCCGTTATGTTTGAGTAATTTATTGTGTTATTTGATCTAAAATTACTTTAAAATATGATCAAAAAGATTGAATGTATAAATAGTGAAAAATACTCTGGAAATCATCTTTTGCAGTCCAGGAAAAAGTTCTTTGTGGCCCCCTAGTGGACATCAAAGTGTAATGTCTCGGCTAATATGGCATGTTATACATAATTTTAAAGCTAATTTTATCAAGAAAACAACCATACCATTCATGATACCATAAATATTTAATCGTAAATGACATATAATGTAATAATTAAAAGTAAATTCTTCAGGGTAGCAGCCTACAGCACAAAGTCTCACTGCCTTTAGTCTATTTTCAATCCAAGCTGCTTTAGTCATATTGTTCATGGAAAGATATGAAGACAATTATATCCATACTCTGAGGGGCGACAGTGATTCTGAATTGGATGGATCGATACATCTGCACTCATATTCAATAACAGTAATTTGATAAAAATGCCTGAATATGAAAAGTTAAAGACGCAAATAATGAGCTATAAAACTTTGAGACCCCTGCACTAGAGGGACTATTTTGACTGTTTATATTAAAACATAGCAATATTTTTTAAAGGATCACAATTGTATATAACCAAATTGTCTGGAGAAATTAAACTAATTTTACTTTTAAAGCCTGAACACATTTGTTTATGTGACATCATAGTTTGAGGATTTTTACTGAGTTTGAAAATGGGGTTTGAGACAGATGGGTATGGAAATGTGTTTGCAACAGAAAATTCTTGAACAGTGGTTGCCAAAGCGCAAATACAACATTATGACCATAATCATTCAGGTTTTATTTTGGATAGATATTTTTTTGCATGTAGACCAAAAAGTTCCACTTAGGGATCTTCTAACTACGGTTTTTTTCCATTCCCGAATGATGGGTTAAATTGTGCTCTGTGAGATGTTCCAAGCTGTAACTCAGTTACAATAAATGTGTTTAGTGTAAAGCATTACTTATGCAGCTTTAACATGGAGCATTTAGAATGAAGAAAAACCTACAGACAGTGATGCTGCATCATAAACACTTCAAACATATGTAGATATTGGAGTTCAGTCATATAATGTAGTCAATACTTTCTTGAGGCAGAACTAACTAGTATAACTTGTACATTTTTAAAAAGTAAACAGTAAAATGTAACCATGCGGGGGCCCACATGTTATGTACATTTGCTCACACAATAATGTTTACACCACCTCTCTATATAAATACACCAGACTGTGTCGTTCCTCTGCCCCTGGACTTCAAACCAGGCAGATCTTTGTTACTGATATGGAAATAAACCAACTTTGAGTTCATCCTGTCTCCTGCAGCCTTTTCCATTTCTACAATATATATATATATATATATATATATATATATATATATATGTATTTTAAGTAATCACTTGAAGTAACTTACCCATCACTGCTGCTGGGTTCCTTAGACTTCATTATGCTGCTTTGTGTCCAATATTCTCTTATCAAACTTATGAAGCCATCACAGAACCGCTGTGATGCTGTATACTGATATTGGATTGTCTCTTGTGGACTCCACTTAATAGTTAGGTCGACATTTGACCATTCATCAGTCATCAGGAAACTTCTAAAGGCAAATGGATGCGCTCAAAGTAAAGGCAGCAGAATCATTTTGCTAGCCCCACTTTGACTGGAATGTTCCCCACTACATTATTATCAATGTAGTTCTATTATATTCTATTCTATTCTACTGTGTTCTTTTCTTCTAGAAGCTCTATTGAGACATGCATTTATGACTCCCAAAAATACCAATATTTAATAATGAGTTAGAAATGTATTTTATATATTTTTCTCCTTCAATTATTGGTTTGTTTGTCCCTACTGAAGACATCAGACAGCTTAAACTATGCCCGCATGTGTGCGTGTGTCTGTGTGTGTGTGTGTGTGTGTGTGTGTGTGTGTGTGTGTGTGTCTGTGTGTGTGTCTGTGTGTCTGTTTGTGCGTGTGTCTGTGTGTGTGTGTGTGTGTGTGTGTGTGTGTCTGTGTGTGTGTGTGTGTGTGTGTGTGTGTCTGTGTGTGTGTGTGTGTGTGTGTCTGTGTGTGTGTGTGTGTGTCTGTGTGCGGCGTGCGCATGTTTTCTGTTCTTATTCTGTTGTTTAATTGCTCAATTACAGAGTAGACCCCTGCAAAGAATCATACCTACTATTATCTCCCTAAATGTATTGATTCACTACAGTTATATGAATCAATGAAGGGTGTTTTATTTTGTTAAGCTGACTTGAGCTCAGCACTCACCATTCTGAATGCATTATAAAGGTTACTGTTTACTGACTTCTTGGAAACCGGAGAGCCCCTGTGTGACCGGGGCGTGATCTCAAAAATACATTGTTATCAGTGTCAGCTGTCACACTACCTGTAGAGCAGTAATATCCACATTAGACACGGCCACTCTCATGAGTTGCAAGTAACTTCATTTTACTCCACTTAACCAAATACAGTATATACTTGTAAATATTAATCTAAAAATGTATCACTTAAAACGTAAATTTCTAGTAATTGTATTAGTTCTTTCTTCGGTTCTTCCATTTACCCAGATTATGCCTGTTTTAGTTTAAACAAATACACAAAGACAACATTGACATGAATGGTAAAGTTGTATACTCCATCCTCCAACAAGGCCTAAATCTTTTTATTGTTGTTGCAATCTTGTCATGGTCAAATTGTGTTTCCTTTGCATATTGTAAAATATGACTACTGAAATGTGTTTATGATCTTACACTGCTTAAATGCAGTTTATCTGGCTCGTTGACTGTACAGTACACTCCAGTGTGAGCTATATTTGCAGACCGTCTTTATCTTTCTTGTGAGCGACCGCAGTCAGGAGCTGGACTGTTGCCAAAAGAGGCCGGACCACTGTGCAGCTGAAACTTTTACAAGCCAAGCAGGAAGAAGAGAAAGAGCCAGCACGGTCAAAAGGAGAATCGCAAATGTGAGAAAGATATCTTTCCCCTAAAGTTTGCAGACCTCTCCCTCCTCTTTGTGCCTGTCTGTCCCTTGTCTTTTCTGTATACTGTATTTGCCCGCCTTCACTGGTAGGGGGTAAGGCTCGCGCACACAGTACTGAAGGGACAGGGAGGGAGGGTGAGAGGGACGCTGGGTTCATAGGGTTCAGCTGAGGAGAGAAATAAATTCATAAACAACAAAGGAGATGTGACGTAAGGTGCAAGGGGCTGTCCAACCTGCCTGCTGAATCTGAGCCTCTAGGGAGAGACCGGATTGATTTCAGTGTAATGTACAGTAGACAAGAAATGTAGGTCCTTTTGTTTGAGATTTTGCAAGTATGAAAGTGAAGACGGATATTTTTTTTGGTTGCTCTGTTTGTGTGGTGAGTGATCAATGTGTAAAGCTTGACAAATGTGTAAAACTTCAAAATATGTATGTGTTGTCGTAATATCTTACAGGTCTCAGATACAACAGATAAAAAAGCTGTAAGCACAAAGTATACCAGGGATTCACTGTATTTGAGACATTCATTTCCAAAGTGACGTCAGCTTTAATACACACTCTGATTGGTCACTATCGAGTGATACAGTTGTCAATCAAATATCTGACCATTGGGGATCTCAAAACATTGGGGGCTGGTCTTTCTATTTGAACAGATGGAGTTATTTGTCCAGTGATTGAGGTCATCTTAAAGCGACTACTCTGTTCAAAATTATCTGCCTGTTACTCCGTCCTGTGAAGTCAAGCAATTAAAGGAAGACCTGGGAACAATGCCAAACAGATGAAATGTCAAAAAAAATATATGAATTTTTTGAAAGTTCTCCCAGCTCCTCCCACCCAGGAGGGCTACAATGAAGAGAGAGAGGGGGCGATTTGACCGTCATGCGGACACAATCGGGGACAATAAAGATATCAGAAAGACAGTAAGTCTCATAGAGCTTCTTGGGCTCTAAGGCTGAATTTAACAGACCCTTTACGCTTCATATCCCAAATGGCACACAGTGCCATGGGATGGAACAATATGGCAGAATGTTAGTGTTCTGTCTTGCCGTCTGTGTGTGGCTGCAGGATAGTGTAAGTACAGTGCAACAGGAAGGGAGAGGTGCGCTGTGGACGTTCGATGATTAAGAGACGGCTTTGCAGAGTTCACAGCTGCTGTCAGGCTGTTTTGTGTCACTCTCGCCTCAAAGCAGAACGCGTGTCCTCTGTTTTTGTGTAGACACTTTTTTCTGAATTCTTTTTCGGTAAGTCTGTCCAACTCCTCTCCCTCTGTATGTCTCTCTTATAGCAGTACGTCCCTCCCTTCCTCTTTCTGTGTATCTGCCCTCCTCCCCTCCTATTTCTCTTTTCCCTCTTGGCAGTGATGCCAAAGTGGGCAGGCATAGCAAGGCAAACAGCATGCAGGGAAGAGCTTAGGGCCATCTGAAGACTGGCAAACTCCTGTTTGATTCGTCCACTGCCTATCTGCCTGTTTTGTGTGTCCCTTCTGGTCCATCAGAAACGACTGCGGGTCCTTTGGAAGTGAATAAGAGCTCAGTCGTATTGTAGTTCAAACTTGTGGAGCTGACTTGGAGCCTGTGCTTCAGTAGACGTCCCTGTGTCACCCGTACGGACAGACGCACTCACGCCAGGAGGAGGGGATTGTGGAAAAGGGGTGTAGTTCTCAGAGGGTGTGCTCTATTCCTCTCTTTTTCCTTCTTCCCGCCATCACGGCCCTCTTCTGCTCCAGTCCTGCAGCCCAGCCCGCCGCTCATGTAGCCTACAGGTTCCAGGTATTTGGCCTTTCTTATAGCTAATGCGACAACTCTTCCCATTTACGCCACTGCTTTAACCTTGATTCTCGTTTGGTTCGGGCCTTTTCTTTGCTGTTCGTATTGCCCGTTTCACTTAAAAACGTGCCTTCCATCGCCAACTGCCACGCCGCACTATGCTTGCCGCCATTTTGGCTTGATATTACAATAGGCAAAAGTTTTGGACCTCAGAGAGACTCCTCGAGTCCATGCTGCCCTTTTCTGTTCCAGGCATTCTCTGGGTTGTCCCCAAACAGCTTTCCAAAGCTCTTGACTCCTGCACTGTGCTGCTCAAACTTTCAGGGGATTTGTGTGAATAATGATAATAGCTTTGCATCGTCACAATATGAAAAAAGAGTCCTGCTTTCTATCCTACACCAGAAAGCATGATATGTGCATACATATACACTAAAGTTAAGTGGTGTGGGAATCCAGAGGCTGTTGAGTGTTCATACACCATGATCATCTTTCCATACGCAGTATGTTCATGAAACAGATCATGTACTGCCCTACTTAAGAACATTCTTCAATTGTTCTGCTCTTTGCAGAAACATGTTGCATATGACGTTTATCTTTGCACCATCAACAGATATTCTGTTTAAAGGTTGCATCTGCATAGCTTCTTCTGCCACCACATGGTTATGGACCACAAGATACCGTATAGAGGAAGTACAAATGTCCACTAAAAGTAGCTCATCTTTGAAAAACCTACATACGGAAAATGTTAAGGAGCAGCCAGATAGTCCAAGTATGTAGTTGATGACATTACACAGTAACAAATTAAGTGACTTGAGTCTGTGAAAAAAGGTGAGGTGATGTCTTAGATATCTTAGATATCTACTGTAAACAGTTTAAGTCTAAATTAGGCTCGGCGTTAAGATGGCGCCTTTGTGCCACGTGTTTAGTAAGCGGTGAACAAGGGCAGACCCTCTCAACATACCCCCTACAAATTAAGAACATAGTTGTCATACCTCACCTCAATCAGCTTTATTAAACGCATTTGTTGAATAAAATAAAGTGAATTTGTTCATGAAACATTTTAAACACATGCTGTAGAAGGGGACAATCATTAAGAAATACTGCTGAGTCCAAGCAGAGAACAAGAGCAATAGAGACAAAAAGAGTGGTTGGAGTTACAGAGTGCTGTCCCCGCCCCTGACCTATCCTCAGATGAACTTATCATGTTGCCTCATAATGTTTCTGAGTTTTCCTCCTAGAGGCAGCGAGGTTCACAACAGCTGATTGGTTGATATTGTGGCTGCTTATTGGTTGATATCTTAGCTGGCCCGCTGTGGTTTGCAGCAGAGAAACAGGAAGCTCGTCTTCATGCAGGAAGCTGCAGCTCCTAGTCCTGACACATGCACCGCTTAGAACACCTCTTAACTTGTGTTTACGTGCAGAAATCTGAATAAACAGCCTGTACTGTGCATGCAAGCTGCATTTTCAGAGTGTGCTGCTGAATGCTGTAAGACGTGGGTGTGTGGAAACATGTCAGGCCAAGCATCTGAGGCATCAGAATGATTGAAACCATAGTAACCATACATGTTCTCGATCAAAAAGTGTTGCATAATTGAGGATAGTATTTGTTTGAAATACATATACACACACACAAATACACACACACATATATATATATATAATTTTGCAATTATTTCTTTTCCCACGACATGTGTTTGCTTTCTTCCCATTTACATGACTCCTCCGGGTCAACCTTATTTGTTTATATACTAGTTACTATACGTCCTTCACTGAACATGATCCGTGCATCTTTTTACATCTTTAATGAAGATATACAAAACATGAGAGTTACGGGCTAGTGACAAACACAACAACGTCACTTAGGATTACTATCTTTGAGAAACAGGTGTGTATACTATATGATTCCAATTTTAAGCAGATTAGTATTGTTTTGACATGACTATAGATTTGTGTGAAATCTCCTGTTATGGTATCCCTTCCAACCTGACTTCTCCTCGTTTGCCTCCGTTACCAACACCTCCTCCTTCGTCATTGATATTCAGCCTGGTGCTCAGACACTGGCCGTTTCTTGGCACAAAGCATTTGTCTGGTGCCCCTTCCACCGTCTCTGTGCCAAGCATTCATCCTGTCTCAGAGAGGGAACGAGGACCAGAGGTATTTCCCTGCCTGTGTTTCCTCTGAAAGTTGCTTCTAAGAAGAGTTGAGCTGGCTGCAAAACGAGCCATGTGTTCAGGGATTTTAAAATTAATTTCTGTGTTAATGTGATTTGCATATTTTCCATGGAGATAAAGGCATAAGTCCACAGAACCCGCTGCATGTTTCAATAGTTTGTATTATTTTGCGGAAAGATATATATGTGTAGGTGGTTTTTTGAGGGGAATGGCTTTGAACATTTATATAATATTGAATCACAGGATTTTGTTAATTTATTTTTCCTTTAAAAAATAATTTCATGAAAACTTTTTGCATTGGGCACAATGGGAGTGTGACAGTTGCCTAAAAGGGAATCCCTGGTTAGTCAGAAAAGCTCCTTTATCAGAGGGCATGAGAGGACAAGGTCCTTTTTTGGCACACACTTAAACTGTGTTTACTACATTGTCAGATATAATGGCTAGCACTACACACAGCCTTTCTGTTGTGGATTAGATTAGCTGATTCAATCACATTAATTTTGGTTCTATGAGACAGAGCTGGTAGTTTTTGTGGACAGGTCGGTGATTTGACAGAGAGAGCTTGTGCTTGTGATCCGTGCTCACAGACTACAACTGTGTCAAGACTAGTTTCATGACTATTAGTTCAGCCTGTGTGTTATAACAACACTCTTACTCACATTATTGATGCATTCAGACTGTGCTTCTTCTTGACAAATATGTAATGATTAATCAACAACAAGTGATTTTATTGAAATGTTGTTGTGCTTCCCTTCATCAGTCTCTGGCCTCTGTAAACAGCTCAGACACATTTCTTGGCAGTTGATGGCAGCTTTTAGATTTGTTACTGACATACTGGCAGTCGGGCATCATGCCAAGATGCCCCCAGCCCCCTCCTCTGACTGCCTGTCTGGACGTGGGTAATCAGACTAGCAGGGTCTGCACACTCGCTATTGGCCATTCCTGGCCAGTCAGCTGGGTTTCTGCCTATATGGTAATTTATGCAAGATGTGTAACTCCTAAACCGCTCTTTCTCAGTTTGAGGCCCAAGTCTAACAATTAGTCTGGCACCTTTTAACCCTTCAGCCACTACTGGCTCATGGACAAATTTAGCTGTATGAATAGAAAATTGATTTTTGGCCTCATTTGTAACATTTGGGGTCCTTATTAGTATCAGACTGATGTTTCTGTACGTGACAGGAAATGCGACATAGCAACCACAATCACCCAAACCCTCAGGACACCAATCACCTTGCATGTGTACTGTTTTCCTGCACAGTAATAGCAGAATACACAATTCCGTTGATACAGGGGCATTATGCAGGAGCAGACAAGGCCCTGTCTTAGGCCGTTGGCAGTGTCCCATTGTTTGGCACGACCTTCTGACACGCCGCCTTGGAATGGGCATTTTTCTGCAAGAGATAGTTGGCTTGTAAAGTAAATTGTGAAGTCCACTTTAACAATGAATATAGTACTTAAAATGGCCGGTGTTCCAGGCGCCATTTTGTTTCCTCGTTTTGTTTTGGAGGCAGAATCCCAGGCTCGTTCTGAATTAGAGGCAGCTGGTGGTAGCATGTTAGCTGCTGTGTGTGTGTGTGTGTGTGTGTGTGTGTGCATGAGAGAGAGATCTAATTCTGGGATAGCCCACTGGAATTAGATCCGAATTTTCCAAAACCTTAAGTAAATTCAGACTCAAGTTTTGGCAATCAAGTGAGTTTGCATTTCACTTTTCCATTTGTTCTTCATCAGCTTCTACAGATATTTTACAGAATAATTTTTACATTGACTTACAAAAGAAAATTGGAAATGTAAAATATTGTGCAAAAGTCTGTTTAGTTCTGTAATTCAACTATGTATATAAAGCCTTCACTTGCTGTTATTATTGGCTCACAGCTTAAAGAATACCAACGTAAAAACACTAGAAAATTAGAATACTTTGAAAATAGACTGTGAGGATTAGATTATGCTAAACAAACATGTCACTGTGCATGCAATGAGTCTATAACATTTATATTTATTTCACATTTTAAATTGAAGTACAAAAATAATTGAACTTTTGAACTGTAAAGGAAATGCTGAAAATTGTGAATTGCGACAGACCATTCAACTTTAAAACTGCAGTCCAGAGGTTCAAGTGCAGCGAGTCAAAAAGATGAGCATTTAACCACCTTCAATTGATAGCGCTTTTAAAGAATATCTGTCGTTGAACATTGAGAACAAATATGACATGATTATTGTTTGTAGAAATGTTGTGAATGTAAAACAGAAATACAACGTGGCTATGAGATCTTTTCTAAAAGGGAGAAGGTGTTTTTGAGATTTCTAAACTGCCACTTCTAATCTAGTCCTCGGCCAAACAATATCAGTGATACTTTCTCCGTGTCTTTGCAGTTGTGCCGCATTGGAGGACCACACAGAGGAGTCCACATGAACTCTGTCCTGGGGGCTGAGGTAGTAGATTGAATAGTTGTGGGGTTTTCTAGCCTCGTTTTGAGATAACTATACAATCTACTGTCTTTCCCATGGAGACAGCTCAGCCACTCGACATCTCCTCGTGGACCCTCATGGAGCTCAGAGATGTGTCGCAGAGATGTGCTTCCTGATTCAGGGGCTCTGTCTGGGTGAGGTAGTAGGTTGTATAGTTTGTGGGTGGGTCTGCCCCCTGCTCAGGTGATAACTATACAGTCTATTGCCTTCCCAGATGAACTCACTCAAATTCAAAGATTCTTTTTGAGATAATGCCAAACATGTATTTTAATTAGTACCTTTTTATTTTATGAATCAATTGTCCTCACTGTAGAATACCTTTTTCTCACACTTAATAAATGATTGATTTACAGAATGAGGATGCTGTCAGTCAATAGTTGAATTATAATACATCTTTTCTACTCGTCAGTGTACCTCATGTGTATTGTTTTCACAATTAAAATGAAACAAAAACAAAACATGTTTGGAAAGCAGGCTGCAGATGCTTGTGCTGATTTGTATGTTAAAAAGAAGTTTAAAAAAGAACATTACCGTGTGTAAAAAAACCCATATAAAACAAGATTTGATTCGATGTCTTTTTTATTAGATATATATTAATTTTCACAACATAAATACAATTGTATGATACCCTCCTTTGCATCGTACATGGATCCTGTGGACAGTTCCAAACAATCAATGTCAAGAATGTTCATAACCCACTGGTGGAGAGACAGCAAGAGAAGGGGCTCTATCTCGTTGCAGCAAATTTTAGCGGTCATCATTCTAGCCAGAAGCACCCTTTTCTGTGCCCTGCGTAGCACAAGTCATAGAGGAACATGGTACTGTGTGGAAGAAGAGGGAATTGGACAAAACAGGACCAAACAATTGGACACCATCCCACAACAGTTTTATTTTATGTACGAAATTATGATGGCATAAAAACAGCTGCAGCAGATAGATACATTAAAAAAAAAAAAAACCTTACATAGAAACAATTTTTACGACTCTCAAAAATTCTATATTGTCTGCAGAATGCAGAATGAGAATGTGTTTACAAGATATTTTAATCTAATACATTTCTGTCATCACCCAGAGATTATTTGGAGTCCTGCACGTCTTTTGACTTGTCCTTTAATTCTGCAAGATTACGATAACCCACTTATATCAAACAGCTTTTATTGGCAGCTTTAAACTTATAATGTCGTATTTTACGGTCTGTCCTGTCTTTGTCTTGTCGTCTTGTGTTTCCTCTGTTTGTCTTGTCTTCTTGTATTCTATCTTATTGTTTTTACTTTGTATTATGACTGATTTATTGTTTATTATGCTGACTGTGCAGCACTTTGTAAACATTGTTTTTGAAAAGTGCTTTACAAATAAAGATGTATTATTATTATTATTATTATTAAAGTCACCTAGTGTTTAAAATGCACATTACCCAGTCCAACAAATTCCAACGTATTGTGAAGATTTTCTCCACTTTCCTATGTTTACATTTTTATTTTCAATACACCTGCTCACACAGCAGCAGCGGAAAGCATTGATCCTCAGTTGCATACATCACTCCTGTCTATTGTTTATATTTTACAAATAGTAAGACAATTATAAATAGTTGTATGTTTTCTTTCAGTATTTATTAAGCCACTTTTTTTAATTTAAATTCATGATATTGATAAACAAATAAACACATCGAATAACATGTCAAGTTATTTGTATTTATTCACTTTTGATTGGTGTACTGTTTTAGATGTAGCAATGAATACAGTTACGTCACCTGAATGTTATAACATAAGACCATAGACTGATGTTGTTACTGTTGTTAACTTGCCATTTCCGAGCTTGACTAATGTAGGTGTTAGAAGTCTGCCCTTTAGTGTCTTCATGGATGACTGTGCAATGTAAAATAAGTATAAAATACAAAAAGTCCAAAAATATAACATTAATTTCGCCAAAGGGTCAGAAGACCACAAAGCAGAAAAAGTTGTCATGATTGTTATAATCATTTGGGATTGCCTTTCACGTTCGTATTATTCTTTTCTTTGTATCCTTATCTTAGTAAATTCCATATAATGTGGAAATATAGAGATTGATGAAGGAAATGAGTGTATGATGAAAAAAGGTTTGTGACAGCTCAAATAGACACAATGTTACATTAATGGTACTCTGCATATAACACGTACACACGTTTGTTTTCAAATATTAAATATTTATTTCAGTTAAAAGATGAGAAGAAAACAATAATGACAAATACATGTCTACTTATAAAGTAGATGATCCTGATTTATAAAATCTTGGGAGTCTTTTCATGCTCTGACTATCTGCTCAACACCTGCTCAATACTCAGTATTCAAACATTTCACTCGGGCTGCTATGTTTGGTGACATTGACACTCACTAACAAGAAAAAATATTGTATAATAAATTAATTTTGTAATCTGACCTGGGCAGTGCTTTTTTGCTACTTAGTGGAGCGATATGCTCAGTGTCTCCGAACATGTCAGCCCTGTCTCTGTAGACAGTATAATATTAGACTATGATACATAGAGGGCATTGCAGTCTATGGTCTCACACATGTGGCCGGGCCCTGCTGCGCCCCCTGCAGTCCTCTCAGCGTCCGCTCATCAAACCTGTACGTGAGTTTCCTCTTCACCTTCTGGATCTCTCCAGTGCGGGAGTAATTCCGCAGTGCGCGCGCCATCTTCTGGTAGGTCATAGTTTTACGGTTGCCTTTCCTGCGGCCCCACAGCTGCGCCAAACGCTCCTTGTTCTGGGAAGAGAACTGGAAAGTTCCCGAGGAAGACTGAACCCACCAAATGCAGCTGTGCATGGACGGAGTCTGCAGCATCTCAAACAGGAATTGGAACAAACGCTCTTTCCTCTTTCCTAACAAACAAACCCCAAAACAAAACAAAACAATAACGCACCATAAATGACCAGGGGCAGATTGTGGCATATGAGCTGGCTGGTAAAGGGATTACCTGTGAGTGGAGTGAGATTTAGGTCCAGCTTTTTTGCCTCTTCTGTGTCTGAAGTTGGAGATGGAAATTCTGGGTATTCCTGATACTGGGAACTGCTGGACTGGGAATCAGAGTCTTCATATGGTGTCCCACAGGGATATGAGACATGCTAAAAGAATGAAAATATGTTTTATACTGAATAAAGAGAATGATCTGTAGCTGGTGCATCATCCTGTTCTTAACGCACTCACCCACTCCTCCTCATGGGCATTGTGCCAAGCCGAAAGAGAGGCTTGCTCTGGGTACTTCTCGTCTGAAGTTTGAGGTCCATAGTACCACTCATAGGCATGCAGGCCAGACCAGCTGTTTTTACTGTACTCTGAGGTGAATTACAATGAAACATAAATCACTTATGGAACCCACTGTTATCTATAATCCAATCAATCATTCAAATGCCTGGGAGGGTAAAGATAAACAAATATACTCTTGCTGCGTCACACAACGTTCCTATATGTTAACTCTTTTTGGTCCAAGTAATTCCACCTTGGATAAATGATATTTCACTTGCATTATAGTACTGTAAAGATTAAAAAAAACATCTCACCAATGAGCCTGGTGTCCTGCAGGTGCTGGGAGTGTGGATGCTGGCCCACAGCCGCACAGGAGGATGCTGCTGTGGCAAAAGGTTGGACCTCCTGGAGGTACTCCTCGATCACCTCCAGATCCACCTCTGGACACAACGCGGGCGCCACACTCCACTCTCCTCGAATGGACACGTTTGGCAATCGGGGCATCTGCAAGAGAAAAATTTGATGCCCATTTTTGGAATATTTGTCATTATTCCAAAGAGGGAATTTGAATGTAACATTTCAGTCTTTTTCAATTGAATCTAAAGTCACTTTTATTTGTTGAATATTCCTGAGTGAAGTCCCTTTTCCCATACAAAACAAGTGCTATTTATTTCACATAATTGTTCATCTCTATCATGTAGTCATGCCGATATTTGTTTTAATATTGAAACCTAAGTGTTACTTTGTGTATGCAGAAGGAACAAAGATCTCTTGAAACTCTGGAACAAGTTCGGCAAAAGTAATTTGTTTATATTGAGCGCCCAGTAATGAGTGGTTAGAAATAGACAGGGTAACTGCACATTGTGGTTTGACTATCAAATTTATGCAAGTGTTTATGCTTTTCGGTGAGATAACCTCTCTCTTGCATGCACCCAACCAACAGCTAAGATATAAAATATAAAACCAAAAAGTACAAAAAACTCACCATTTCCATGTCAGCCAACACCAGATAAGCAACAGATCACAACTCAACAACTCCTGTTGGAAAGAAAATGAATTTAAAAAAGTGTACAGAGACTTCCCTATCAAAAGTATGTCACATGGCAACAAAAAGACTATGATGACAAAATGTCTGACTGTGAAAGAGGAAAATGCTCACCTATTTCCTCTGGTGTTTTAAAATCATGTACTTGTTCCTAATGCAGTAGAGTTTTGAAGTTCACCTGTTAGTACACCTGCTTGACATTTTATATACTGCTTCAACTCAACCGCCTCCCCTCACTTCGCCACACCAATATGGGAGGAGCTTATAACCATAACATTGTTGAACAGAAGTGTGAAAAAGAAATGGTGAAGTGAACAGCAAGAAAGAGCCAAAGATATTTATGAAAATGTTCTAGTGAAGTGACTATTGTTAACTTTTACGACAATGTGTATTTGAGCCACATCTTAGGGACGTGCTGGCCAGGCCTCATTCTATTGTATGATTGTAATTTACTTTACAAGAAATATGGCCAAAGATGGTTCATACAACACCACTCTTTCTAAAACCAAAATAATTCAAATGTTTGAATTTAGTAGATTATCAAACTACCCATGGTATTTGAAGCAAAAAATAAATATCTATCTGAAAATATATAAAAACATTGCGTACATTTTTGTAAAAGGTTGATGGAACAGTTCATCTGTGGAATGAAAAGATAGTGATAATATAAATAAATAAATAATGCAGTATTCATGAATTATGTATGTATTGAACTCTGGATGGACTCAGACAAAAACATTTCATACTTTAGTACCACAACTTTAGTTTTAAAGATATACCAGACACCTGATATTTGCAAAAGAATATTCACTTGGGGTGTAAATAATTAAATTGGGTGGTTATAAATCACTGCTCAAGTATTTGGATGGGAACGCTCCAGGGACATGTTGCCTCCGTTGCATTATTGCATCATTGTGCCTTGAGCACAGTGCGTCATTCATAAGTCCTGGTGGTTTGTGTCTTGAGTTGGTTCCTCTTTTCTCTTGCATCTTTAATACTGACGTAGATTCTTCACACTTGCTTCAATGGCCTAAAGATGGGGCTGTAGTGTTCTGGATCGGATTTCCCCTTTTTGCAGATAATTGTGCCTAGTTAGCATTTTCTCACATAATAATGCGATTATTAAAGACACACCGTGTGTTTTCTTGTGTAAGAGTCCATTGATTGTTTTTTTAATCAAAATGTCTTTGTTTTGCTTGGAATTTTCCCTATTTAATGATTTTGGAATTTTCAAGTATGTTAATTTTTGCTTTAGAGTGGTGGTCACTATAAGAGACCTTAAACGTTGTCGCAAGTATTCATGAAAAATAAAAATCTACTCAAAACTTTCTACAAAACGTTTTTTTACCAAGCTTTGATAAAGAAGATAATTAAACCCACAACCTCAGCAAAAGCATATAACAAGTCATTCATAAAGTACCTGTAGTTTTTTGTTTTACTATGGATTACAAAGGAACCGGTCGAGCAAGTAATATCCTGAGCACCAGTAAAACATCAGACCTTCCCGGATTCATCGTCACTGATTTAACCCTCTGCAGATGCCAAAACTGAATGTTATCAAAGCATGAACTATAAATAGATACTACTGTGAAACTTTTATTCAGACATGTGCTACATGTAGCACATTATGCTCATAATATTATAGTTGGAAAAAGTGGAAACATTCTGAATGACCTTTGAATATTACACTTACATGAATAAATATATGAGTATGTTGTTTCTTGTTTCTGGATAGTTCCAGACTCTGACAAGGCAAATACTGTATGTCATGTTTTGCCAAAAAAAACCCTAAAATTCTTATTAAGGGGAATTGTAGAGCCTTCTGCCGACTACAATTTTTTTCCTTCCAACATTACTCTGAAATGTTCTTCATCCACTTCCCCATCAACTCTGACACTCTTCTCTGTCCCTGATGAAGAACAGCAGCCCCACAGCATGATGCTGCCACCACCAGGTTTGCCACTGGGATATTGTATTTAGGCTAAAAGGTTCCATTTTGGTCCCCTCTGACCACAGTATCTTCTTCCTCATGTTGAATGTGTGCCCATGTTAAAAACCACTGTTGAAATAAAGCTTAAAGAAGCCAAGTATTTCAATACAGATTCCTACAGGTAAGCTGTGGATGTTTACACTTTCATTCTTCTTTGAAAAATGAAATCATTTATCATTCATATTTAACTTCACATGTGTCTACCATTGTTGTGGGGGTCTTCACAAAACAAAACAAATGGTGTTTGTGACATAAATGAATAAAATGTGGAATTGTTTATGGGATATGGATAAATATCCCATAAATATAAATAGTAAATATCAAACATCATTGATACTTATCTCATATAAAAAACAAACTAAATGGATAAAACAGAATCAGCTTCATATCAACATCACACGCAGCTCTACCAGTCACACAGCTCTGATGATTTAGAGCCAAAACTCTGATCTGTAGGAAGTGTTTGCTCATGCAAATATGATCAAAAATCCAAGGATCTTTTGTTATCTTCTTTATACATATATATTTTAGATTCAGAAAGTAGTCCGGTTCTTCTCATTCAGACTTGATAAACGTGTTTGGAAAAACCCTGTGTGTTGCATAGAAGTGTGCGGCGGTTAAGATTCCTCTCAGCGCTGCACCTGCAAAGCCCAGACAGTGATAAGGCCACAGACATTGGACCCTACGCTGAGACACAAGAACAGGTGACGTGTGAGCTGCAGCCATCAACCTGGCGTTCCTGAAATTACTTCAGTTATTTTAAGCAAAAGGGGAATGTGAACGCTAAAAATAGACATTAGATCTAAAATTAAACTGGAAGAACACACACAGTACCTGCACGTGGTACACATAAATAACCTCCTGTTGGTGCATAAATTCACTGGTAGGAGATCAACACCTTCATTAAAATAATGAGCCTTTCAGGTTGAGCAGTAAGTAAATAAGTATAAGTATGTAAGTCAACATAAATGTAAATAATAGACTTTTCCTATAAGTTGCTTTCATTGCTCCATCTAAGAAATTGGATGTGATTTTCCATTTTTTTGCCATCAGCGTTATTATGTTAAAAAAAAAAAAAAAAAAAACGGTGTTACCAATTACCGGAGCTCTTGAGAGAGTTCTCTGTGTGATGTAGGCTTTGCATGATAGGGTTAGGGTTTGTGTAATATTAATCAGTGAGGGTCAGGTCTCAGAGCGTCCAGGTGTTTGAGTTACAGTTATAGCCAAACCCCTCAGATTGCTGAGCATACGCAAATCACCTGTACGCAGGCGAATGATGGGAAATCCCCAGGCGCTGCAGACGGTCAGCCCAGCGCACGTGTGTTTGAACCAGACCCCCAATTATACTGCATCCCTGCAATGAAAACAGAGATGTATTTTAATCTTTCAAAATTATACTATAAATTAGTGCAACAAGCTTTGAAACATATATTCTATTTACTTAGTGAGATAGTAGTTTGAATCATTATTTTGATGCTAACAAGTGTGGCAGGTGATGCCGTTGACATCTACAGCTTAAAGTTGTTATGCAAAACTTGAGGTTGACCAGTCTTTACAATATTTGCTCTTTTTTCGCTCATCCTTGGGTAGAATATGTACAAAAAGCCCCCGTTTCCAAAAGTAGGGAAACTGTGTGGCTGACTGATGAACTGTGTGCACTTATCGAAATGGAACGATGCAAGATATGGACAATTTTGTTTCGGTTTGTTTTTTCAGCCTTAAAAAGACCTTTTGGTCTATGCATGACATTTCTAGCACAGTACTAAACCACACAAACACCCCATAGGTTGTCAGTGTTCTACCAACTCAGTCTGTGCCTTCTGAGAAGCAGTCATACATTGGGCTCAATTGGGAATGTTCTGGAGATAAGAGAGTGGGATTGGGAACAGGAGGGACAGTGCATTCCCACGAAGGATTGTTTGCATCCTCCAGTGTCTGTCCAATCAGCACTCAATAAACACTCATAAAGCAGGCCGACATGTTAACCCACAGCTTATCAATGCAGAGAGAGAGGACTGGGTATAAATCAGCTGCCGCTACGTGCTACTGGGAGATAAACCAGGATGAATCCAAATGTCCTGATTATTGGACATCAAAACTGTCTTGAAATAACTGATTATAGACCTGGTTTGGCCTGTCACTCAAATGGCATTTATTTCATCATGTCTGGAGGAAAAAATATGAGAACTCATGTTTTTCCAGGACTCCCTTGAAAAAGAGGTCCTTCATCTCAATGGGACTTTCCTGGTTAAATAAAGATGAAATAAAAAATAAATGAAAAAAGATTTGGAACAATTCTGTGGATGTTGTCACTTACTGTTACTCAGTTTCATAGAAGAGATTATTGTTGTGAAGCATTTGGGCTGTACAATGACAAAAAGTGTGATGAGGCCTTTGACACAAAGCTACGGAAAAATTTATTATTATTATTTTTTTTTAATACTGAAAATGTAGAACATTGTGTTAGTTTCGTTTGAACTAGATTACAGTAATTATTTGGCTCCTATGTGTTTGTCTTATTAGTGCATTTGTTTGATTCTTGGATCTGTTGTTGGTGAAACAAAATTAGTTGTATGCAAATCGAATTGAATTGATTTCAATGTAAAGTCAGAATACTGCGAGGGGACATTCAACACGGAAGATTTTGTAATTGGAATGACCCCAAACAGAGATCAGCTGCAGGAACAGTGAGCTGATTACTTTTTCAAAGTAGCATAAACAACCCTGTAGCTAGATTTATGATAAGACAAAGTATGAATCATTGCAAGGATAAACCTTTCCATAAAATTATTGCTCTACGTCATTTTTTTTGTCCGAGAATGACTGGGGAAAGTGTCATTGAAGAATAAGAAACATTTGACTCTGATGCTAAGATATGGCTAAATGAGTTTTGCCATATCTTAAAAAGCTCCTTGTCCTGCTGATTTAATCACCCCACAAATAATGCTGTTATCTCCAC